CACTAATCCATATTCTACCACCTCAATCTTCTCGCTACGTCTGTGTAATCCCACCAGGATATCAGCCGTCCCTACACACATTGAAAAGAAGACAGTTATAGAAATTGTCACACATATATATGCACATATGTATCTACGTGAAGAAAAAAAGATTCACACAAAATCCCCCAAAATCTCCAAAGACAGCATGTAAAAGAAGGTCAATAGATATTGACAGATCTCAGGTTCAAAGGACGAGAGAAAAGCCTCAGCTGATATATTTTCAACCTTATAGCACCACATTGCCAGTAGACTGTTTGAGGAGTTCCATATTTGGCACTGACCGAGCTTGCTGAATGTTGACTATATATAGGCTATATACTGTTCTTGAGTAGAAAGCTTTTTCAACAGTGTGCTATTTTAACGCCTTGTGTGATCTAGTGGGATTAATATATCTGAATTTCTGATTCTCTGATCAGACTTTTTTTTATTACTTTCTTCTGAAAGTCTGCAAAGTCGGAGCATATGTCATTGTTCATCATTTCATTGTTACTTTAAAAAATCTTTGTTTTCTCTGACACACTTTCTTTTTAAATATCTACCTTTTTGAGATGAAGGTTTTGTAATTTATTAAAAGCAGCATTGCTCGTTCAGGTGATGTACAAAATATGACTGATCAACATATTGAACCTACAAAGACAGCAGGAATCAGTGCTCCATTTTGCCATTTTGCCTCGTACACCCAATGGAGTCGGTTCTGTCAGATAATCGAGATTGGTTATTCTTTGGCATTGACCTTTTATATTAACATTTATAACTGCAATTTTCTGCAAAATTGTTTTTATAAAAACACATTGGCTTGGGATTTTTTCAAGGTAATAATTATCATGTCATTCTCGGGCCAATCTCTTTTTGTAACGGACCATGGATACACCTGCTCATCTTGATAGTGGAGGAAAAAGGATGTGGCTGTTTTTTTTGTTCTTTTCAATTAGAAAACAGTTGTTTTTAGGCTTTAGGGCTATAGAAATGAACCTTAAGGCTTCCTTGTAACAGTTTAATGGTAGGCTTCAGTGTGGGACATGGTGTTTGTGAGAAATGTGTGTACCGTATTTCTTGTAATAAATGCACACTTGAGTATAAGACACACTAAATTTGTGGGTACAAGTTTTAGGGAAAATTACTTTTTTGTATCTTGTGTGCAGTCAAAACTATACCGATTTCACCGAAATTAAAATAAATATATATTAAATAAAATTTTGAATTAAATTAATAAAATAGATTACAATGTAAGGTTAGGTATACAATCAGAACTTTTTAACCAATTGGTGTAATAACAGGTTAATACAGATTTGTTGACAAGTTATTTCCTGTGTTAGATGTTCAAGGAAATGTCATTGCGTTGGATAAATAATCAAAACTCATTGCAGGGGTGTATTATGCGAATCTCCTATCAACACAGCTGTATGTTTTGGAGAAAAAAGTGTGCACTATACACAAGAACAAAGCAGCTTAATAAATAAACTTAACAATTTACCCCAACCCAATTAACTCAATATAAACTCACAAACATTAACTCACTTTATTTTAACTGACAACTTACGTAATCTCTACATAATCAGACACAGTTTACATACAGTCCAACCACACTCTAATGTCTACAGTCAAATCAAATTAAAAGGTTATGTCGTGTGATCTGAACATTCCACTGACTTTGTTTCACTAAAAAGTAACAACAGCACACTGTTCCACTACTGCTTTGAGATAGAGCTTTATTTGTATCTCTTTTTCTGAAACAACAGACTCCCACCTGAATAAGTCTGTGACATAAACAGAGTGGGGTTTTTTATGAATTAAAAAAATGATGACAAAGTTCCATTTTCGCATTGCTTTCCACTTTTAAATACTTTTCTTTATTATCAAAGTAGATCAAGATGACCCTAGTTAATAAAAATAATAATGATTTGATAAGGTCAACAGAATTGTTGATGTAATTCAACGCCATTATTTTTATACAATTATGTTGATTATTGGTAAAATATTAAAAAACAATAATTAATATTATCAAGTTTTTTTCTGTGAATGTGCAGAATAAGAGAAACATCTTTTGAATTCATCAGTATTTTCACAAAAAATCTCACTAGGTATCTCAATACAAACACTGTGTGTGTAGCAGTAAATCACAACACAATTTTAACTGTCACTGTTCAGTCTGTAACTCTGCACAAAGCAGTAACTCTTTGTAGCGAGTCAAAATCAAAATCGTTACCCAGAGATACGGTTATGGGAGCCAGGTGATGCAGGTGAGAGATCAACGTGTTCATCCGGGTGTGAGGGATGAGCGTGTTCATCCAGTTACTCCCTCCCAGATGTGAGTGAGTGAGTGAGTATGGTTTTACACCGCCTTTGGCAATATTCCAGCAATGTGACGGCGGGGAAAATCACAAATGGGTTTCACACATTGTACCCATGTGGGGAATCAAACCCGGGTCTTTGTCATGATGAGTGAACCTTAAGCCTACCCCACCATCCCTCAATACAGATGTAGAACCAATTCTTTGTATATTTGTGTTGGTATTTAAATTTTTGCTTTTACATTTTGTGCACTGAAAAACAGAGAGGTTTTATTACCATAAGTATTTTATAGTCAGATGAAATTAATTATTTACAAACTTTTGTGATCAGTCAGCTGGGAGTAAGGAGGCAAAATGATATAATAAAAACTCTTAACAAGATTGATTTGTAGTAAATTTCCTTAAAACTCATCATATAACAGTTTTAATAAAGATTCAAGCAAACCAGCTTAATGAAACATGTGTTGGATCAAACATTAATTTGTACATTTGCATAATTAAGTGTCTGTTTACTGGTGTTATAAGGGAAATGAATTGGTCTAGCCAAAGCTCTAAATATCATTTTAAGTTTACAGCTGGTTCTGCTCTAGGGACAGTGTTTAACCTTGACCTTCAAAACTCTGGGTCCTCACCGGGTGACCCCTAATACCCGGTGATCAATTTCATAGGTCCTTACAAGAAATGTGAAGGTCCTTTAAAGTAATGAGATTGTGTAGTGGTCTGACATGAAAACAGTCTGTTAATGATTTTTGTGTTTATATTAGTTTCTAGATTTCAATTTAACCTCGTTTATTAATGGCTATGTATTTTATCTAGTTTAATCTTAATTTCAGTTGAATAGCTATTAATTATTTTTGAAAGTGACATTAAACAGTGAAATATTGACAGAGCATCAGATATTAAATTTCCTATTCCAAAATTATTAAATTGAAGCAGAAAGAGTGTTTTTTTTATGTATTATGTTGGCACAAACTTTCTGTGATGGTTTAGAAAAGCAATGCTTCTATTTTCTAAGGACTTTTGAAAGGATAGTTGGATGAGCTCAACTCAAGAATGCTCTATTTATGCATACTCTGCTGTTGAGTTAAGCCAGATTTCTCCTTGTTTTCCAAATTTGAAAACACACAAGATCACACATGATGTTCACTGAAATTAATTTAAACAATATTGAGTTAAATTTTAAATTAAAATAATAAAATTATATTACAAATGTAATTCCAGATATATACAGTAAACACTTTTTCTGACGAGATCATGTAATAACAGGACTTGTGTAGTTAGGTATGGATTTGTTGAGATGCTAGCTCAGGTGTCACGTGCTTGCGGTAATGTCTTCGCTTGGAAAAAATAATAAAAACTTATTGAAGGTGTGTATTATGTTCAAACACCTCATCACAGCTGTTTTTGTTTTTTAAAGTGTGCACTATTCACAAGAAAACATGGTATATTTTTTTAAGGGAACAAAGGTTTAAATTTCTACTTAGCTAAGCAATAGGTATTTTTACCATTGAGGTGACCAGGAAGTAAAAACAAGCGTGGTTTGTCCGTTCTAATTTGTTCATGCATCATGACACAAGTTTGTTCACAATGTCATCAGTAGGCTTTCCATTCTCATTAAGCAAGAGGTGCCTTTTAGCTTTCGTTGTACAGTGTGGAAAAATGTTCAAATACTGCGAAACTCCATTAATCCAGATTGTAACGTTCCCACTGAAATTAATAGCCCATATTTGCTCATCTCTGATGACGAAGTCATGGATATGGAGGAAAGCCACTTTGTGTACCTGTACATAGCCGGAATGTAAGCATCCAGATTAGCAGGGTTTGGACTAACGAGGTGTCACTGTCAGTGTTTGAAATAATTTTAAAAACCCACAAGACAGTCGGGCATGTGACCCATAAGTGTTGCCTGCCCATCTTCAAAGTTACCTGCCCGCATTCAGACATAAATATTGGAAAATTGCAAAAACATAAGAGACAGATCGCATCTTGATTCAGTTGAAGTGATGCAAACAATTACTTGAGAATCTAAAAGGAGTTATAAATAAAACTGAATATGTAAGTAGTCTTAAAATTATCTGCCAGACAGATGAGCAGGTGCAGGAAAATTTCATTTCAATTGTCAGAGGGGTACACAAAATACGGGATCTAGACTACCAGTTGGTTGACTTTCATTTTTTGTGGAAGTCTGAGTGGCTGAGTGGGTTAGATCGCTGACTTTGTGTGCTGGCGATTAGGTGCCTCACTCTGGCAGTGTGGGTTCAAAACCCGGACGGGACTCAACCCCAAAAAGTTCGAGAATCTACTTTATTCATAAAGTGTTCTCCCAAAAATTACATTTGTCACATTTGACCACTTTCTAAATGGCATTGTGTGTTCATGAATGAGTCCTGTCATGTCATGGAATCAGTGAAAGGCTCCACAGTTGAAGCAGGCATGATGTCCTGTTATATACTGTGATGTCTTTTGGAAAGCATCCATTGTTGCTGAATTAATGAATGCCAGGGTGTTTGATCTTTGACAGAGCCCTGTTGGTATTCATTGCAGAAGGAAGTCTGAGACGTTCGGTTGATCAGACAGCCTCAGTGGTCATTGCTGTGGCTATGGCAGTCCATGCAGCAGATTATGCCTGTATGAGTGTGGTCTGTATATTACTGCTTGACTTTTCAGACCTTTTCCCTGTCCAACATGCAAAAGAGTGGGAGGGCCGCGCTGGCGAGGAGTCGGAGTATCGACCACCAGATTGATGAGGAGAGGGAGCGGAGGCAGAAGGAGGTGCAGCTTCTCATCCTGGGTGAGTTGAGGGGGAGATGTGGGGGAGCTTCAAATAATCATCCTCGGTGAGTTGAAGGGGAGGAGGTGCAGCTTCTCATCCTGGGTGGGTTGAAGGTAAGGTGTGGGGGAGCATCTCATCCTGGGCGAGTAGAGGGGAGGGGGAGGTGTGTTTGTGGGGGGCGGCTTCTCATCCTGGGTGAGTTAAGGGGAGGGGAGCATCTCATCCTGGGTGAGTTGAGGGGAGGTGTGGGGGGCGTCTCATCCTGGGTGAGTTGAGGGGAGGTGTTGGGGGCGCCTCATCCTGGGTGAGTTGAGGGGAGGTGTGGGGGGCGCCTCATCCTGGGTGAGTTGACGGGAGGTGAAGGGGGCGCCTCATCCTGGGTGAGTTGAAGGGAGGTGTGGGGGGCGCCTCATCCTGGGTGAGTTGAGGGGAGGTGTGGGGGGCGCCTCATCCTGGGTGAGTTGAGGGGAGGTGTGGGGGGCGCCTCATCCTGGGTGAGTTGAGGGGAGGTGTGGGGGGCGCCTCATCCTGGGTGAGTTGAGGGGAGGTGTGGGGGGCGCCTCATCCTGGGTGAGTTGAGGGGAGGATTTCATCCTGGGTGAGTTGAGGGAAGCATCTCATCCTGGGTGAGTTGAGGGGAGGTGTGGGGGGCGCCTCATCCTGGGTGAGTTGAGGGGAGGTGTGGGGGGCGCCTCATCCTGGGTGAGTTGAGGGGAGGTGTTGGGGACGCCTCATCCTGGGTGAGTTGAGGGGAGGATTTCATCCTGGGTGAGTTGAGGGGAGCATCTCATCCTGGGTGAGTTGAAGGGAGGGGGAGGTGTAGGGGGCTTCTCATCCTGGGTGAGTTGAGGGGAGGGGGAGTCAAGGTGAACAGGATGTTGGGAGGAGGGGTAACTTGCGTGACGAGGCTGATGAAGAGGAGGGAGATGGTGAATTGATCGGGAGGGAGGGTGATGCATAGGAAGGTGAGTTGAGGGAGTTGCTGAGTTGTTGGGGACGGAGGGTGATAAATCGTCGAAATGAGCAAAAGAGTTAATTTTGTTCTGTACCACACTCAACAATGTCACAGTTGGGCATGGCAAACCACTGACTGATAGAATGAGCAAACTCTACATTGTGTCAGTAAAATGACACACAATCAGTCTATCCCCATAGTCCAACATGTCAGACTTTGTTTCTGTGCAGGCGGGGCAGGGTCAGGGAAGAGCACGTTCATCAAGCAGCTTCGACTCCACTACGGCGACGGCTTCCCAGAGAGCGACAGAGGTCAGTTCGTGTCTAGCATCCTCCAGAACTGCTGCAACGCCCTCAACGTCATCCTCGACATGATGAAGGAGATGGACGTGGTCTTTGAGAAAGAGGACACCAAGGTAAGGCTATTGATACAGGAGTGAAATGGGACACATGCCACTGTTGCTAATTTTGTTGCTAATGTATCAGTATACATTAAAACATGATTCCCTGAAAGGCACGAAGGGTGAAGGGAACATTTAAACCCATCTTTGTTTCGTTTTTATGTATTTGTTCAATAATGAGTCTCTAGAGGATTCTGGTGCAAAGTTCTTCAAATTTTGCTGCAGATTTTTCCAGATTTGTATCTTACAGAACTTATATTTTTTAAGTTATGACCTGTCAGCTTCATGAAGCCTTGGTGTTTTGGAATAGATGGAACTATAAGCCTTAAGACAACTTACAATGCTTTTTGACTCAACTGTATCATTGTTTGTTTGTTGTTTAACGCCGCACTCACCAATATTCCAGCTATATGACGGCGGTCTGTAGGTAATCGAGTCTGGACCAGACAATCCAGTGATTGACATCATGAGCATAGATCCGCGCAATTGGGATCGATGACATGCATCAACCAAGTCAGCGAGCCTGACCACCCGATCCCGTTAGTCGCCTTTTACGACAAGCATAGTCACATTTTGCGGCAAGCATGGGTTGCTGAAGACCTATTCTACCTCGGAATCTTCACAGGTCCAACTGTATCAAATCTGACTGAATACCAATGTAAATGATAATAATAATCATCTTGTGTAATTTTGGGTTGTCCTCAAGATATGCATTCATTCAAAACATGACGGCAAGTGCATTTTGTTTACCATAGAAATGTCCTTGACGTCTGGCAACACTTATACCTGTATTACATAATTGCCTTAATCCTGTATTTTGGCTGTAATCATGCTATAACTAAATCAGACTTTCCACAGAAGTCTTCTTCACTGTCAATTATACATGATTAGTTGTACCCATAATAGCACAGAGGAGCTTACTGCTCTTCCTTGTGCAGAGGCAGAAGCTTCCTCATTTCTTTTAAAATGTCTTTTTTTTATTTGTTTGTCGTTTTATGCTGCACTCAGCAATATTCCAGCTATAAGACTCTTGTCTGTAGGGGAGGTGAAATTGAGTTTAATGTTGTGTCCAAGATTATTGCACTTATATAGCGACGTGCATGCATGTGTGTGTGTGTGGCTGCTTGTACTAGTCAAGACTGATGCCGATTTATAGTGCTAGCTCACTGAGATACCATGCCGCATCCTTGTTTTAGTCCCTTAATGCCAAGCACCAGACAGGGTAACAACAAGTACCATCTTTTAACGTATTTTGGTATGACGCGTGCTGGGATCGAAACCCAGACCTTTTGCTCTCCGGGCGGACGCGCTAGTGACATCATGAGCATCAATCTACGCAATTGGGTTACAATGACATGCATCAACCAAGTCAGGGAGCCTGATCACCCGATCTTGTTAGTCGCCAAATATGACAAGTAGGGGTTGCTGAAGACCTATTCTAACCCGGATCTTCTCGGGTATCCATATGTCTACAAACTAGATGATGATGATTGGGGAGGTGAGAAGGAGGACTCCTGATATAATAGAGGTAGTATTCTAAGGATTAATAACAAAGATAACTATTGCTTTTATAATTCTTGCAAAGTCCATACCTATACATCATTGCCAGAATATAACAGAGGACCTGGCTGGTTCTGCTTCTATTAAATTCCCTGTATGCTGGTAGTTGACAGTAGGTTGTTGATCCCTTGTGATTCCATCTTCTAAAAGTTGTATTCTTAGAAATATTAACAACGGTAACTATTGTTTTGATGTTAGTGTATTGACACAAAGTAGGCAAAAGTCTGTGATTTGAACAAAGTGTTATTCTGTTGATTTATGCATTTTTTACATGGAATCACACCTATAATTAGGAATATGGCATTACTAACCGAAAAGGGGATGACATGAAAAATAGAAATAAGAAAATTCTGCAATTTTTCTGCAGATTTATGCATTTTTTCCATGTTAGCCTTTACAGAGTTATGAGTGGGTACTCCACCATTTTGCAACACTAAGGGACAATGGGTGACATGTGAAATAGGCAAATTCTGCAATTCTTCTGCAAAAAAGTGCTTTTCTGCCAACTTATGCTTTTTTTTCATGTTAGCCTTTACAGAGTTATGAGTGGGTACTCCACCATTTGGCAACACTTAAGGGACAATGAGTTACATGTGAAATAGGCAAATTCTGCAAATCTTCTGCAAAAACGGTTGTTCTTCAGATTTATGAACTTTCATGTCATGCATTCAGAGAGTTATGAGCAGGCACTCCTCCATTTGGCAACACTAAAGGGTAAGGGGATGATGACATGATCTGTGTTTAACTACTTCCGTTGAGAGGGAGCAAAGACTAATATGCTTAATCTACTGAAAGGATTTCATGGGAAAGGAAATGAGGCTTGGCCTTTTTGGATTTTTACTATTGAACCTTCAGTATTATACGATGCTCCTGGAGTGTGCTAAACTAAAACACCAAGTATTTGGCAGACATTGAAAGTTTTGAAATTATTTTTATTTTTTTCTCATGTGAAGTGTTCACATGAGAGCACCTGCCTTTAGCTGGGTTGGAACGCACAGCCCATTAACAAAATGTGATGCAGATTGTGAAGAGAGTCGTAATTTCCTTCAAACGAAGAGGTATGGAGTTGGATGCAGCCTTCGTATCTTAGAAGCTCCCCACAGTTCACCTCCCTCATTAGTGGCCCTACTTAATACCTCCTCCAGATGGAAGCAGTCGATGGGCGCGAGGACATGTCTCACATGCTCCAAGGAACATTTTACACACACGGAATCCTTTCTGGAAATGTGATGCACATGGTGCTCGAAGGCTGAGGAGGAACTGGTACCCGTACTTGAGTTGTCATCACTCTGCAAGTTTAACACTCAAACTTATGGTGATCAGGTAGTCTAGATATACACCAGGTTGTTCTGACAAAATGTGGCCTATGTGGCTCATGTGGCCTATATTTGACACACTTCAGTGACCTTCACAGAATGTTTATAACACCTGGTGTTACAGGCATTCTATAATGTGCCAATAGGCAGAATGAAAAACAAATAATAAATGTTCCCAGGGTTGATTTTGTTATAATTTCCAAAGAAAATATATTTTAAACAAGGTTTTAAAAAAGTTGAAACAAAAATGGTGAAATAAAATAATAATGACAAAAACAATTCCATAATCAAAAAGAAATTTCTGCTAAAAGTAGAGTCCATTTTACGATTCTGACTATATCATGAGCATATGTTATGAATCACTGTTAAATAGAGATGATACCAGGTGTTCGTATCCTTTAATGGTACAAATTTTTAGTAACCAATAAGCTTGATCATTAGAAAGAGAAATAGGAATACGCTTGTGTAGCTCAATATCTTACTTTGCACAAGTTTGGGTCGATTTATTGCTTAGATTTAATAAAAACAACTAATTCTATTTACAGTGCTCTGTTTAGGACTTTTACAGCCAAATGTGTATGTATGCTGAACAAAAAAGGTTAGGAATATTTTGGGAAATATTTTTTTGTAGTGACGAGCACACAATTTCATTTAAATATCACTAAATATAATCATTTTGTTCTCTTGATAAGAAGTTTGCAGTGGCTGGAGACAACATAAAATGCATTGGAATTTCTTTTCTTATTTTTCAAAATCCATCAAACATGAAGCAGGCAGCCAAAAAATAATTTTGACTATTTTTATTTTATTGATCCTTGTTGCTTTTGGAACTATTAAGCCGAAATTCGTAAACCGTAAAATACAAAATGCGTCACCAAGAAACCTGGCTGTGGAAACCTGTGTCGGTGAGGAGACTTGAGGCTGCTATTGGGCTTCATTGTAATTGCCCTGTTGACTCGGTGGCCATCGTAGCATGCTGGGGTCAACATCAACGATAATTACACTGGCGCAGGGAAGTCATTTCGGGGCCATTTGGAACGGGTTGTTTATCATAGGGTGCCATCCGGAGGCGAAATAGGGAGGACTATAGGAAACATGGCAGTGTCGAGGAAGAGTTGTAAAAGATACACTAAAACTGTTACTATACTCTTCATTTGTTGACAATAGCTGTATGGATAGTAGTATTTCTGGTGGCACTTGGTTCTGTGCTGTAACAGCGCACAGGTCACAGATTTATGAAATTTTGTTTTGTTCTTACAATGTCGGTGGTCGATAAAAACAATCTCAACTGCATTCACGAGGCACATGGATATGCCTAAATGAATGCACAATCGGATGTGGCATATTGAAGGTCCGTAACTTTTACATTGTTTAACTTCATGGTTTAACAGTTGACAATGTGTTTCGTATTTGCCAATGAATCCTCTTTTCAACGCAAACTAATTTGAGTGATACTTTTTAACTTTTATACTTTGAAGCATTAGATACAGCATTTTCTATAAAATATCAGAAAAGTCATTGTAATTATATTTTAATTTGCTATTTTTTATGTTGGCAGAACTGTAAACCCCCAAAAAGAATTAATCGCCAAAGCAACATTGGTTGCAAAGATTAGGTGGATATTTGACTGTGTTTGTCCGCTTGAATGCTGAGGTTTTTTTCCAGGGCTTCGGTCCTGCCCCTTACTAAAACACATGTTACATCTGGTGCTGCATTGCTAGGTTAGGTGAGTGAGTGAGTGAGTTTGGTTTAACGTCGCTTTTAACAGTATTCCAGTTATATCACGGCATGTCAGCTTGATGTGGGAGGAAAGCCCGAAGTGATGCAGGTCTCAGACGTTTACCACTTCGGTGAAACCCACGAGCACGGGTATGGTGCTGACAAACCTAGAAACATAATTCGGGCGAACCGTGCTAGGTTAGGCAAGTGACATTGTCCAAAATATGCCTCAGTTCTCCAAGCAGTGAATGGGTACCCAGTAGGAGGATATTGTAATATTACTGTTAACCTTCAAGTGCTTTACGTGCTGCTTTGGTTGTATACTCCCCAGGGAGCTGAGAATGGGTGCACAGTGATCCATTGACCGGGATAATAATAGTTGCATGCTTTAAGCATACAGAGTATGGAGTTTAGCACTATATAAGAAGACTTAGTAGTAGTAGTAGTAGTAGTAGTAGTAGTAGTAGTAGTAGGAGGGTCCTGTTTTGAATGAGTGGGTAAATGTTCTTTAAGGCTGCAGCCAGCAATATTCTAACTTCTTTGAGAGGCGTTTAGAAGTTGAGTACAAGGTAAGCATAAGATATGTGGATGAACAACTTGCTTGATAACGATGGTGTTAGAACCTACACCGAAACGCCCCTCCTAATAGTAATAAAGAAGTTGTTCATGCATATATCTTATCTTTACTGAGCAATATTCTAGTTACAGCGGAAACGTCGCCGAGTCTTTAACAGTGGTCGTTAATCTGGACAAGGATGTATCTGGACCTGCTCAAAGGGTGACATTCAGCCCCAATTCTGAAGCAATTATCGGTTACACATTCCCAAATTGGAACAAAAAATCACCAAGTTATGTTATTATAGTAATAACTAATGTTTATGGCCTTGTTCAGGTGACCTGCATTCTCTGACAACAGGACAATAAACATGAAGAGGCTTTAATGTTCAGTTTTACATGTTTGCATCAAATGAAACATTGAAACACCCCTGAATTTAAGAATTTAAGAAAATAAAACTTTTGAGAAAGTCCAAATTTTGATCAAAACACGGACGTACATACAAAATATATACGTCTTTGATCAAAAAAATGTTTTTCATCCATTTGTCTCCCAAGGGCACTTAGCTTGGAATCCTCGATAATCCCTGCTGGACAAATTCAGTGGAAAAGGGGGCATCTGGAGTAGCTGTGTTATTATGATGACTGAGCCAGGGCAGTGTGCAGATAGTCGAGTCTGGACCAAGTGTACCAGTGGTTGATATCATGAGCAACAAGATGACATGCAATCAAAACCAAATCCGTGTTCGACTTTCTGGCCACAGGCACACTGTAGGGGACTGGGAACCAATTCTAACCCAAGATACCAACAGGAGGTCAGGTTATGTGGTTGTTTCATAGGTTATATGAGTTGATAAGCATAGGAAAGAGAGGCTTACAAACATAGATTTCTATGTTGTGAATGAGAAAAATCTGCTGACATAAGACACTATCAGTTGGTACATACCCATTGAGTTGAATGTTTATTTGCAGTGCAGACCCCCTCCGTGGCCGTGGTCTAGTGGTAGAGCGTCTGCCCGGAGAGCCAAAGGTCCGGGGTTAGATCCTTGGCCGCGTCATACCAGAAGACGTAAAAAAATGGTACTTGTTCTTACCCAGACTCTGGCGTGGGGCTAAAACAAGGACTGGTTGGCTCGGAGTCAGCATACTGTGTCTGAGTGGGGTATCCCTGTTAAACTTCGGCATGGTATCTCAGTGGGCTAGCACTATAAAATCGAGATTATTCTGGACTAGTACGTACAAGCAGCCACATACACGTGCATGCAAGTAAGTGCAATAATCTTGGACGCAACGTTAAACCCCATTTCACCTCACCTACTTGCTGAGCAGCTGCCAATAGGTTGGTCTATTAACACCTGGGACTGACCAGTGGTTGATATCTTCCCGGGGCAAGGGAGGTAACTGACTTTAAAAGCAAAGTTTCCATCCTTGCCGAACTAGGCTGGAATTTTGGAGCTCGATCCTAGCCAGTGGCTCATACGAGTGATGTCCCTTCTATGTCTCTCCCATTGACCAATCATATTTCACCTCTGATATCACTTACATTTGCTTCAAACAAAATGGCGGTACCTAGTAAAAACAATCTGATCGATAATCAAGATCTATGATGTAAAAATAAGGGTCTTACTTTGCAAAATGCATCACGTGAGCTCCTTGATTAAAAACATGAAAAGATTTGACAAAAAGCTGTTAACACTAAGTTGATGGTACACATGATTTTGCAAATCCTGCAATCGACCGAAAATCTGCTCTGCAGTTTGCGAATTGGATATTGATTTTGTTTCATGATTTTTACTCGTTAGTCCAACCAAAATATGACTCCATAATTCGGCAAGGGTGGAAACTGGACTTTAACAGTCAGTTAACTCCCTTGCCTCGGAAAGATGGTGGTTGATGTCTTGATCAAAAACCCATGTTGTTGGGTATTATGCAGCACCATCACCCAGGCTACACATTGCAACCAAGGATGTTTTTTCAGTTGGTTTATGGCTTTTTCCCAAAACAATTCAGTTCAGTAGGAAATTCATACATTATTTTTACAAATTCTGACATGACAAGGCAGGGTTTCCAGATGAACTACGCCTTACTGTCACTACTGCATTGTCACGGAAATCATTGCAGAAGCGATTCCTTCTGCAAAGAAGCAAGTTTGCCTTACAAGATTTTAGAAATACATTATTTTATTCTAGTACAAAAGTGTTTCGGATTGGCAGTATAAAAATATTGTAATTTTTTTTTCTCCATTTTGTCAGTATTTTTTGGATTGGATGATCCATAAACCAATTAAAAAACAGAAGGCCAAACTGATTTTCAACAGTCATCTCAAATCGGGAATTTCCGGGAACATTATATCCAACTTGTTTATAAGGATTACCAGCAAGTGTTTTGGGTTACCAACATGTTAAGAAGGGTTACCAACATTTCTTGAAGGGCTATGAATATATTAAAAAGGATCACCAACATGTTCATAAGGTTCACCAACATGCATCTTATTTTAAGGTTTCCTGGTGTTTCAGAGAACCTCGGCTGATTTTCGAAAGAAGTATCCACGGATTTCCCTGCAGGTGATTCTGAAGAAGTTTACGGAGGATCAGGAAGATGCAGCCAATGACGAGTCAGCCACACTCAGATCTCACATCGAGATCACAAAGAGGCTCTCCACGCTGAACATCCTGAACCCCGATAAGCCTGATGTCAGTCTCCTGCAGGCAGTGTGGAGCGATGGCGGTATACAGTGCTGTTATGCTCAGAGGAAAAAGTTCTCCGACAGACTCTCAAATGGGGAAGAGTAGTAAGTTTTATTTGTGTGTCATTGTTGGAAATGACACTTCTTTTGTCAACAATAAACAAAGTAATCAGAGTGGTGTTGCGTGTTTGGTTAAAAAAGTGATAGTTTGATTACTCGACCCTTATTTGAGATGTATGATTATTTGTGACTAAACAAAGTGTACATGAATATATATACAGAACACAGTATAACTTCACGGTTGTTCTTCAACATATGTCACAGATACAGATGTCTTGCCATCCTGACACTGGAATACCGGTAGTTTTGTTTATTTTTATCCTTAGATATGCTTTGTAATTTGTATGTATTTAAGATTGTATGTGAACTATATTCTGTAAACTTATTGTTTGTGTACTCCAAAAAGAAATAAAATTGAAAAAATAAAAATAAAATATAAAAAAGAGAAATATTTGCAGACACAAACCAATAAAGCGGTTGGTTGGTTGGTTTGTTGTGTGTTAACGCCGCACTCAGCAGTATTCCAGCTATATGAAGGCGGTCTGTAAATAATCAAGTCTGGACCAGACAATCCAGTGATTGACATCATGAGCATCGATCCACGCAATTGGGATCGATGACATGCATCAACCAAGTCAGCGAGCCTGACCACACGATCACGTTAGTCGCCTTTTATGACAAGTATAGTCACCTTTTATGGCAAGCATGGGTTGCTGAAGACCTATTCTACCCTGGAATCTTCACGAGTCGCAAACCAATAAAAGCAAAAACATATACCCTACTGAACAGAGTATAGTGGACTTGATCTATAAGAAATACGAGATATATGTGACATGATTTAACATGGCTAAAATGGATGTTTTGTATTTATTTCTCTTTTAGTTTTCTTGAAAATATGGACAGAATATGTCGAAAGAACTTTATCCCCAACATACAGGACATCATGTATATCAGGAACCCGACTCTAGGTGTGCAAGAACATGTCTTCAGCATTGACAACTTAACCTACAGGTGAGAGGGAGGGGGAGTGCATGTTGATGTACACTGTTGGCGCCAATATTCCCTCTATGTCATGATTCTATTAAGTGTTTGATTGGTATTTAGAGCGAGCTCGCGAGCCAGTGTGGATTTGGCCGCTTTAAGCAATATTCTAGCAAAATCGCGGCCGGGGACACCAGAAATGGGCTTCACACATTGTACCCATGTGGGGAATCGAACCTGGGTCTTCTGCATGACGAGCAAACACTTTAATCACAAGGCTACCCCACCGCCCCGATAGGTATTTAGAAGTTGGGAGGACATTCAGATATGAAACTGTTACAGATAATATCTGTTTGTATCAGTTTCATCCAAAACTGCAAACATAGTAACAATTACAGATAATATTTTGGAGAACAAAATCTGGAATGTCTATTTTATCTTTTATTATTTTCCAACCTACTGACCTAAACAAATTCTGTGAACCAAGAGGTGAAAACGTCCTCCGCATGTGTCCTTCATGTGTTGGCCTTGTGTTTTTTCCAGGGTGATAGATGTGGCTGGCCAGAAGAGTCTGCGCAAGAAATGGATACACTTCTTTGAAGGGGTGACTGCTGTCATTTTCTTTGCCTCCCTCAGCGGGTATGACGAGGTCCTGGAGGAAGATACCAGCATTGTGAGTAGGATGTTGGTGATGATGGTGGGATGATGATGATGATGATGATAATGATGATGAGGTCCTTGAGATACCTGGGCATTGTGAGTCGGATGGTGTTGATGATGGTTGTGATGATGGTCGTGATGATGATGATGATGATGATAATGATGATGAGGTCCTTGAGATACCTAGGCATTGTGAGTAGGATGGTGGTGATGATGATCTAAGTATGATGAGGTCCTTTAAGAAGATACCAGCATTTCTAATACCATCGTTAAGGACAGGGGTGATGTTGATGATGATGATGATGATGATGATAACTTCCACGCTATACGATGAGGATACGAAGACATGATGACATCAAGTCACCAAGTCTGACAACACCGTTCCGGTAGTCACCTCATCAAAGATGACAGTATGACACTGTTTTTGTTGTTTTGTTTGTTTGTTGTGTAACGCCACCCTCAGCCATATTGCAGCTATATTACGGCTGTCTGTAGTTTGTATCAAACAATCTAGTGATTGACATCTTGAGCATCGATCTACACAATTGAGCTACGTTGACATGCATAAACCAAGTCAGCGAGTCTGTCCAACCGTATCTCACCTCTTACAACAAGCATGGAGTGCTCAAGACCTGTATTAAAACTAGTACTGTATGAACACTCATGAAACATTTATGATCACTGTGTGAAACATGTATGAACCCTGTATGAACCCTGTGTGAACACTGTATGAAACATGTGAACACTGTATGAAATGTGTGAACATTGTATGAAACATGTGAACACTGTATAAAATGTGTGAACACTTTATGAAATGTGTGAACACTGTATGAAACATGTGAACACTGTATGAAATGTGTGAACACTGTATGAAACATGTGAACACTGTATAAAATGTGTGAACACTGTATGAAATGTGTGAACACTGTATGAAATGTGTGAACACTGTATGAAACATGTGAACACTGTATGACATGTGTGAACACTGTATGAAAGATGTGAACACTGTATGAAACATGTGAACACTGTATAAAATGTGTGAACACTGTATGAATCATGTGAACACTGTATGAAATGTGTGAACACTGTATGAAACACGTGAACACTATGAAATGTGTGAACATTGTATGAAACCTGTGAACATTGTATGAAATGTGTGAACATTGTATGAAACATGTAAACTCTGTATGAAATGGGTGAACACTGTATGAAACATGTGAACACTGTATGAAATGTGTGAACACTGTATGAAACGTGAAGTTTGTATACAATGTGTGAACATTGTATGAAACATGTGAACACTGTGTGAAAATTGTAGGAACCCTGTAATAATACTATGTGAACACTATATGAATACCTTGTAGACACTGTATGAATACATTATAGACACTATATGAATACATTATAGACACTATATGAATACATTATAGACACTATATGAATACCTTACAGACACTGTATGAATACCTTATAGACACTATATGAATACATTATAGACACTGTATGAATACCTTATAGACACTATATGAATACATTATAGACACTGTATGAACACCTTATAGACACTGTATGAACACCTTATAGACACTATATGAATACATTATAGACACTGTATGAACACCTTATAGACACTGTATGAACACTGTTACAGAACAATCTACAGGACAGCCTCCAGGCTTTCCATGAAGTGTCCCACAACCACTTCCTGGAGAAGACCGACTTCATCCTGTTCCTCAACAAGCGAGACCTGTTCATGGAGAAAGTCCGCAAGACCAGCATCAGCAAGTGTTTCCCCACGTTCAATGGTTAGTAGTAGGAGTTGGATGCTGTGGATGGGGGTGATTCTGATGAGGTGGTTGACGGTGTTAAGATTACATTAAGAAATTACTGCAGTTTCAAGTTGGGTTGGAAATCCTTTATTGACCAATCAGAATACAGGCTTCTAACATGTCACAACAGAATATAATCATGTCCAGTGAAGAATGGCACTGGCATTTGGTACGAGGAGGGATATTTTATGACTGCTTCAAATGTTAACAAAAGGACATACGTTGTGAGGGTGACAGTATAGATTTGATTATGGTAGAAAAATGGAGAAATCTCAATTACCAAAAAGGGATATCTAGCTGTAGACTTGGCTGAAGTATATCAGGATACCTTGATATTGATATTGGTTTCATGTGATATCAGTCAGGAACAGGGTGCTATAATACTGTAAATCTTGAAATTAATGCACCTCCAAATTAATATGACTGCTGACCCCCAGCCAAAAATGTGACTCAAAATCAATGCGACTTCCCCCCCCCCCCAATCCCTAGTGGAATGCTACATATCCTTACCTTAATCAAATCAAACACAAATAGCACCACTTACTTAGCACTGAGTAAAGGACTTCCGTAATAACAACACACAGTTTATATGTTCATTCTGTTTGACACGAGTGGGTAGAAGTCCTGACCCCAGCAGTGATAACTCAGGATGCCTATTGAGTGATTCCTATTCTTTTAATGACATTGACTTAATTGTTATGTACTTGTTACAACTGCTGCTCAATAAATTGTATTTGTGTATATATTCAAGTTGGTATTTCCGCTATCAAAAGTGTGCAGTGAGGAGACATAAATGCAAAGTTTCATTAAAGCGAACAAACACCACTCGCATATTTCACATTTAATTTACAGTATTAATATTGTTATCTGCAGGTGAGAAAGAGCCGGACACATGTCTCCAGTACATCAGGGACCAGTTCCTGCAGAACAAGCCTGGATACAAGCAAGTCTACATCCATGTCTCCTGTGCCATTGACGTCCAGATGATGAAGGACATCCTCTCCAATGTCGTAGACATCATCGTTGAGCTCAACCTCCGCAAAGCTGGCAACTTTTGATCGATGGAGAGGTTGTCTATCATTGTCTCAATGGATATTACATCATTAGAGATAAAAGGAGATAGTCAAGAGGAGATATGGATGCTGATTCATCACCATCACTAGAGAAGGCAGAGGTTTATTCCAATATGAAAGGATTTCTGTTAATTTGAAGTCAGTAGGACATTTTTGTTAATTTAATGGTTCTCATCCAAAACCTAAACCCACCTGTTTCACACCTGTAGTATCCTAACCTATTCCAGCTTTTAGATGTCCACAATTCCTAACATCAAGTTGAGATATGTCCTCCCCCGTCATTAAGTATTGTTGAAATGGAAAGAAATATGAAGTGTTCACTGCAAAACATAGATGGCGCAATCACATTATGACACTTAAATATTGTTACCATGTCCACATGTCATTGTTAGCCCTGCCATTTTGTTATGAGAATTGCTATACAGCAGTCAGAAACAGGGGATAATGAGGCACTTCACTCGTATATAATCAGATGTTGCTGAGCAGAGATGGTTCATGATCCAAGAGATATATGGCTAAAGCTTTACTCCAAGAATATTGGACAACCTTTGAAACAGTTTAGTGGCAAGGCATAAAGCCCTGCTGACAAGAGCTTTGGTCAAGGAAGCCTTGGGCCTTAAGATTTGATGGCATTGAAATGAATTGCTGAGCAGAATGACATGGAATGGTTGTTCTTGGACTGATATGAATCATGTTTTCAGACTGGCATGCCCTGTTTGAAATGACAAGTAATTATGGTATGATGAAGAATATGGATATGCACGGGTGCCGACATGAATTGATGAAGAATATGGTTGGTAAATGATCAGATGCATGGACTTTTAGTACCATGGATCAAAGTTGAACTGACATGAATAATGGTTTGATGTGAAATTGGCTTTGGAGCTGATAAGAGCAATGGTTTGAAACACGAAACACATACTGATTTCACCTGGAATGTGATGTGAACAATAGGTACCATGAAAAATGCTTTAGAAATGGCATAATTCATGGAACTGATCAGATGAGTGGACTTGAAGCACCATGAGTCCTGTTTTTGAACAGGCACAAACATGGCTTGAACTGTATGAAATTGGATATGGGACTGACCTACAAAGGAGTATCGGTGTGATATGAAATATGGTTAACAGGAATGTTGATCAGGAAATTGCAGGAGGAATGGTTTTGAACTGACATAAATCTGGTTTTGCCAATGGTTAACAAGAACATCAAATTCAATGGAGTTTGATGTGAATGATGGGATGGTGTGAAATATAGAATTGCAACATCATGACTCATGTTGTGAATTGGCATGATTCATGAGTTGGAACTTATATTGGATTTTAACTGGATCGAAAAATGGATCGGATATGTTGTGCCATGAGTTGATGTTCTAGAACCAACATCAACCATGGTCAACGAACTGATGGAAATATTGATTTGTAGAAACACGAACCATGTTTATGACTTGACTCCAAGGATGTTAGAAGTCATGGCAAAATGGTTGTAATGTGTGAGACATTGACCAGCTGTCAGACGTAGTAATGAGTTTATGATGACATCATGAAGAAAACGTAGCCACAAATTTATGGATGTCACCCAACTGTGCTGCTCTGTCCTGACAAGATGAAAAAGGACATGATGAGGATGAGAAGCCTCTAACTGTGTAACTACAGGAGTACCATGATCCTGAGCCAGCAAGTGACTGACCAACTGGACATCGTGGCTCTCAAGCCAATGCCCATCAGACTCCGCAGAAAGTCACTGGCTGGTGTTTGTCTTTATGAAATCTAACCGATGTCATAGAATACGATGAATGCTGAACACCCTGTCACAGTGAACAAGGCATGCCCTTGATACAAAATGATAAGGAAGGGATGACACATGTGACTTAGGATGAAGGTCAAAGAAGGATTATTCTGCAACTACCGAGAAAAGTCCAAAGTGTACGACTGGAAAGTCCAAAGAGGAAGGTGTAAGGATGGTTCTGATGCCCAACTGGATATGGTCATCTGAGGAAGGTCTTAATGATCATCAGGTGTGATGCTGTATCTGATAACACATAGCATACCTTCTTCTGGGAAGGATATGAAAAAGCCATTAGGTATGAAGCTGTTCTGATGCTGATTATGGGCCACCCAATCATAGCATCTTGAAGCGTGGAGTTCTCTACACACAGTGCAGACAAGGGATCACATCAGGGCAGTGGTCTTCATTTTCTGAAAGCATCTGGACACATAGATCGGGACAGTCACTCAAGTAATTCTCATTTAGAAGGAATGAAACTTATATCAGGTCTATTTTGAGTTATGGCACATATGAATGTCAGAACTTGAGGTTCAGATCTCTTGGATTTAAAGATGAATGATAAAGAAAAATTCTTGAAGATGTTCATTCTTGTCATTAAAGTGGAATTTATCCTCAAACAAAAATGATTTTTCATCATATTGTCTTATCAAAATATGTTTTTTGGGGCTGCATAATATCGGCTAAATTTGTTTGAGACTGAAATCTAAAAACAATGATACTTTCATGAGACTTGCTGAATTTAAGAATACCTTTCGTCCACATTTTATAACGGTCTTATTCATGAATATAGTTTTTGACTTGGTCTAAATATTGTTTTCAAAGTTCTTATCACCATGCATGTCAATGTTGAACAAACCCATAGACTATATTTTAATTCAACTGTGTCACTACCCTTGGTGTTTTTGTATGTTATTTGTCATAACGCTGTTTATTTCACATTAGTGATGATAAACAAGTTTTGGTCATTGTACGTGTGAAATGTTTAGATACATGAGTATTTGCATGAACACTGCTTGTCATGTCTAGATAAACAAAGTGTGAAGTTATCACCTGACCATGAGAGCTGTAGCTAACGAGGGACTCCAGCTCCCTCCCCTGTTTTACTGGCGTTGTTACCATGACCAGTTCAGGATCATTATGTAACTGTAACTTCTTCCCCTACAAGGAAGGTATAGTTGGCTACAGCTCTGCTTATGTGTCACATTTTAGCATCGTGTTTGGTGAAACAAATACCGATAACAAAAAATGACATCAATCTTATTTATGTAAATAAGATGTTTGTCAAAACACCGAGACAACTGAAGTGTTGCCTGAATATTTTCGGATGTAATACTGGAATGTAAATGGGGATTTGGGAACTGAGATGTCAAAACCTTCTCATGTGTTTGTTTTTGATCTTTAAAAGGAATTTGGTACATAGATACCACACAGTTGAATATATGGAGTATTCTAATCTCCGTTGTCTTGATTCTAAAAAAAATAATCATGTTTTTTTCTGGATGTTCATGGTATACAGTACCATGTTCTTATAGTCTGCACTTTGGCACCCACACGTATCACAACTACACAAATATATCCCTTTTGCACACGAAGCATGAAGCACTAACATGATATATATATGCATAGGAAGGATTCTAGGAACAAGGAATCCTTTTGGGATTGTGCTCAACCGGTTTTGGTATTCTCCTTCTCTATTTGATTTAGTTCCTTTTGGTTTGGCAACTCTGTTTTTGTCTGGAGACATAATCAAGTTCAGTTTCAACTTTGACCTCCTTTATATTATTTAAGTAAGCTGCTATCATACTTGAAGAGTCTCTGAACAATAACAGTGAAAATGTTGTGTGAATCAAACAGAATGTGCTGTAAGCATCCCAGAGAAGCTGGTCAGGTTTGTATCATCTGACCTTTGACCTCATTATTAACTTACTTATTGATAGGCTTTCAAATCTGACCATTTTCCGAGGACTTGCTTATGAAACAAAAGTTAAAGGACTAATAAATGGAGGAGAAGATTGATAGGGTACTGATCTGACAATAGCTTGATTGTTCTTACTTAATAAGGCATATTTAACCAGAGCTGGTTGTCTGGCTCAATCCCACTGCCCTATGCAATATCATGGCACGACAATAGAATCACACAAGTAGAACTGCACACCAGATATTCTAGTTAACAATGGAAATGTATTTATTGACTGATATTGATGACCAGATATGGACGTTGGGGAAGGTAATACAATTTTTGTCCAAGAACTGTAGTTGGAGAATGGAACAGAATAACACATGATATCTGATTTGTTTTGAACCTCTGTTCTCGAGGTAATTGACTTGACAACTTTTTCTTGCATTGACATATGTATCAAATGTTTTTTTTGCTTTGTTGAAAAAGTATAAAAACCAAAAAAATAGTCCTGTATCTACATTGCATTTTTATGACTATATGTATCTTGTTCTGATAAAATGAAATGTATATTTATGATCTTTGTTTATTCCTGGATGATAATATGAATCTCACAATGGATTTTCCTAAGAACAATGTCAAGGTGTATTTGTTTACACCTATACGAACATTGATGACTTCATGACCAGAAGGCCATGATGAATACCTGTGAGGTATTGGAATCAGATTATGGACATTGCTGCCCAACCCTGGGTAATACCTGCCATCTTCAATATCTCTGGAAGGGATATCAGATGGTATCCGACTTGTGTTTTGCTTGGAACATTGTATCAATTGCAGTGAAAAGAAGTCTTTTATCACCGCATTGCTACCCAAGTGTTGGACGTATTCAACACAGACTGTCACAGTACAAAGATTGATATATGAACTTGTATCTTGTTTGAAGCTTTCAAGAATTGTAAGAAAATAGTGAAAAAATAACAAAAACATGTTCGTTGCTGTTGTTGATGTTTTGGTAAATATTTGTTGAACATTTTGTATGTTGTACACACTTGAGAACTTTGCTGGACTTTTATGCTTGTCATTTAAGAAATGTCTTCAGTGTGGAAATTAACATTGAAATGTTTGTTTGTTATGTCCTATCTATGCTTTGACAATGTAATTAATTGTATAAATCATTATGTATGAAATGTATACTTATGTATTTCAGAATTTACACAATATTAACATGTTAATATTGTATGTTTTCACATAACTTTGCACTTTTTTTTCTAGAATTCATGCAGTGTTCATGCATTTACAAAATGTTGATTGTTAAAATTCTTTAATGTTTACGCAATGTTCATGTTTACAAAGTATATTTGTTGTATATACATTGTTTATGATCATATATTATGTGTCTATTCATGTACACAATGTTTATGATTATTAACATTGTTAGTGTATACACCATTCTAGATTATTAACAATGTTCTTATTGGACACAATACACGATATTCATGTTAACTTCTGTACTGTTAAGCACAGTACACGCATCTACATGACACACATTAGTTTGTATGATGCCGGTGTTGTTTATTTTTAAAAAATGCTTACCCTCGATTCCACAACTAAGTCACTGGCTAACTAACATCTTCAACAACAGGTATCGATTGGATATTTTCATTTGGATTAAAGCAATAATGAACAGAAATCTGCTTGGAACAAAGTCAAATATAGATAACACCAACAAGATTACAAGGGCAGTATTTATCCTGTGCATTATGACGTTAGTGAGCTCTCATTGAATGAATTTTCCATAAAGAACATATAACTTTGGTCAAAATAAAAATGACTTCATACATTTAGTGTATAACAAACAAACGTAAATGAACTAACCATATTATTGAATTGTTAGCATAATTATTTATGATTTTTTTAGTAAAATTGTATTATTAGAATAACCAACCAATAACTTTGAATTATGGATTAACTGTTCTTTTGTCGTGAATTAATGTTCTGATTTCCTTCTCTAACCAAAACACGGGAATTTTAGCATGAATTCACTCATCACAGCTACTCTATTATTCCATATGGTTAGTTGGTTATTCTGTAAATAAGTATCTAAAATTTGATTATCAATTTTTTGACTGAGAAACAATAAAGAAAATGTTTCCTTTTGCCGATCTTAAATTTTTATTTAAAATAAATTTGGCTCTACTTCATATTGTATTAGGTTCCTTTTTCATTGACTTATTTCTTGGTAACAGGATCTGATTTAATAAATGTTGATGATATCAGTGCCTGTGTCATTTAAATTTCACGACATCAGTAACTTGGCCGTGTAAAATTAATAACAACAGTAACTATCATCATTATTGACAATATGATTATCCGTGTCAGGTATTAGAAATATGTGTTAACAAGCCAGTGTTATCAAAAACATCCGTCTGTATCAGATTTAGACGTCAATTACTTTAAATCCGTTATGAATTCGGCTTATATTTGTGATACATTTAGTATTGTTGTATAATTAGTAGAACTGTGGTGATCTGATTTCTTTGTTGTTATAACACGTATGGCCTATGACGTCCACAGCAATGTATTATGTAGACCAGTCTACTGGTGTAAGTTCGACTGCCCCTCCCCTAATTATATACTTGTAAAACTGTCCCCTCTGTAACCCCGAATTTACACACGTACTGCCAGGACTTGGCAATACTCTACATGACATGTAGCACTAAAGTGCATTTCATAACACTTTGGGCAATTAATCTTTTAAAATGGTCTCCTTAATATTACCATGTATGATTTAAGCGTTTCTTGACTGAAGTTTAAAAGAGTGTATCTTGGTAGGTAAATACGTTATTTTGTTCAGTCCCTGTGGCCTAATCAACTGTAGTCCCACAAAACCATGGATTTATGAGGAGGTTTTCGTGAACAGGGGCTTTAATCAGCGTCTGTGTTTATAAATAAACACAACATTTGAGAGTATAAACGTATTACACCAGTGAATCGCAAGATATAGTCTTTGGCAACTGTCCTTAGTCAAAACTCCATTCTTGATATACAGGTTCGTTAAACTTCACGTTTTATTGCGTAATTAATAAGAAAATAACACTCCAGCATGTTAAGTATTATACTTTGATGTATTTTTTATTCAGTATTGACACAGTGTTATCATATGTATGGACACAAAACTAAAAAAATGCGTTTGGCTGACTTTCATTCATTGCTCCATCCTTGACAATCAAGTGTGTTGTATGTTACGTATTTGGATGTACTCACATGGTAAATCACACTCCAGCTTTTATGGAGACTTATTTGAAAAACTGTATTTGAAAAATAAACGTAATAAACGTTAAAATAAAAAATAAAATATGAGTAAAATATTCCCATGGTTTTCGCTTTGGAATAATGAAATATGTTAAAAAAATTAGTTTGGGTGACTTTCCTTAGTTATAGCTCCATCCTTCATATGTAGGTCTTTACGTTTTAGTGCGTCATTATGTGGAAACATGACACTCAAGCATTTTGATATTGTTAGTTATGAAAATACTTTTACTTTCAAAACGACAGTTGATGATAAATATATTCCTTTGGTTCTCTTCATTGTGCCACAAGTATTTTTGTTTTCAAATAATCGTTTTTGATGACACATTCTTCATATGCAGTTGTGTTATGCTTCACGTTTTTAGTGCGTAATTACGTGGAATAATATCACTACAACATTTTGAGAATGTTATTTATAAAAACGGTCATTTTGAAATCAAACAGCAAATTCAAAAATATTTTTTTCAGAATTAGAGATGGTGGTAAAATAGTCTACATTGTGCCCCAAATCTTTTTTTTTTCAAATAATCGTTTCCGATGACTTTCCTGTCACTGCTGCATCCTTGATATGCAGGTCTGTTATGCTTCACGTTTTTAGTGCGTAATTACATGGAAAAATAACACTCCAGCACTTTGAGAATACTAGTTATGAAAGAATAGTCATTGGAATCGAACATAGTAGCATAGCAAATTCTTATGGCATTTCATATCAGTACAGGAAATACTCAGTCATACCTGTATAGTTGATATGCAGCTCTGTTATGCTTCACGTATTTTGTTCGTAATTACGTGGAAAAAATAACGTTCCGGCCTTTTGCGAATAGTAGTACTTTAAACTCTCTATTTAGAATAAAACAGATGATTATTCGTGAGTCCGGTGGCACTCTAAATTTTACTCCAAGATATGTTAATCGTTTATGGTGACTGTCGTTAGCCACATCCCCGTCTTGATCAGGAATGTTACGTTACACGTTTTTAGTGCTTATTACGTTGGAAATAGCGCTGCCGTTTTATGAAACTCTAGTAAGGTGAACATCAATATTAACAACTAGTATCTTGAACCACAAAAAGTACTGCAATAATCCGTTTTGTGACTTTAGACTCCATAGTCATTGCTCAGTCTTTGGTCTGCAGGTATGTTATGCTTCACGTTTTTAGTGCGTAATTACGTGGACAAAAAACACTCCAGCATTTCAAAAATGTTAGTAATGAAAACAAAGTAATCTGGGATAAAATAGAATTGCCAAAACAATTCTCACAAAATTGTTTTGGAAATACCAAAATAACATAGTTTTGAATGACCTATTTCATGATAACGTTATTCTTCAAATGCAGGTGTGTTATCCTTCACGTTTTTAGTGCGTAATTACGTGGAAAATGACACCCCAACGTTTATGAATGCTACTATTGAAAACATTTTCAATGCAAGTTTTCACTGTCAGCATTTCTTGTCGTACATGTAACTAGCTCAGCTCTATTTGTTTCACCTCTGTTTTCTCCCAGAATGAGGATGGAGCTTTGACCAGAAACGGGCAACTCTTTTAATTAATTAATTCCTGTGGTTTCTGATTGAGTGCCATGTAAATATGAGGGATTTTTCTGTTAATATTTAAGCTTCATCTTGAAAATGCAGGTATGTTATGATTCACGTTTTGGTGCGTAATTACGTGGGAAATAGCATTCCAGCATTTATTGAATGCTTGTAATGAAAACACTTGTGTTCAAAAGTATTAACAGGTACATATTAAATATTAACATAGAACTCAATAAACTACAAGAAATACTGAAATAAACATTTTCGGTTTCTGTTGACGGTAAAGGCTTCAAACTTGAGGGGTGGCCCAGTCATCTAAGGCGCCGCGATTCGCTGTGCAGAGTTGCGTCCCTTGGGCACGCCACAAACCTATGATTGTGGGTTCGAATCCCGGTACGCCCCGATTATGTTTCTAGGTTTGTCAGCACCATACTCGTGCTCGTGGGTTTCACCGAAGTGGTAAACGTCTGAGACCTGCATCACTTCGGGCTTTCCTCCCACATTAAGCTGACACGCCGTGATATAACTGGAATACTGTTTAAAGCGGCGTTAAACCCAACTCACTCACTCACTCACCCTTGAAATGAGGTCTATTATGCTTCACGTTTTAGTGCGTAATTACGTGGAAAAATAACACTCCAGCATTTGTATAATGCTAGTTATGAAAACACTGTTACTTTCAAAATGACAGATGGTGATAAAATATTCCTTTGGTGTTCCTTATGCCACAAGTATATTTTATTTCAAATAATCGTTTTTGATGACACATCCTTCATATGCAGGTCTGCTCCACGTTTTTAGTGCGTAATTACGTGGAATAAAAAACACTCCAGCATTTTGATAATGGTATTTATGAATAGTTATTTTTTGATTGATATTGAAAATATTTCACTGTACGTTATTAGTTTTTATCGTAGTGCATTGAAAACGAAGCGAATATTCATTAATATTCGCCTCTACTCCTCTCCACCTCTCTGCTAGCGTAAGGATGGAGCTATGGTGTAAGCATTTTCGTATTCATATTGCTCTTAATGAAACCTATGGACTTTAATATTTAACTCATGATATTATGGTTTTTGTTCCGTTTCCCAGTTTAAAGTTCAGTTTGTGCGAGAAGATCGTAAATAGAAATAAGCCAATTCGCAATATCAACGATTGCAATTCATAGAGGTTTAATGGTACACTTGATGAATTATTTCTTAAGCAGACTTTGATAACTTGAACCAGATGTGACCCCTTATATTAACTCATCTGGGCTAGTTATCGGCCATTTTGTAGATGCGCTTTCATTCTTACAAGTAAAGTTAGGAAATTGATTGTGTTAATCATATTCGAATAATTTGAAGCTGTTTGATATGGCGATTGGTAAGACATGGAATGTGAGGCTACATGCTATGTAGGTATTGCCCTGCCCTCTCCCAGGTGTCCGTGACTTCCCATTGTTGCAAGGTGTCGTGTCCCAGGCGTCCCACGTGTCCAAGGTGTTCTTATATTGTGGCGCACATCATGATTGCCAGGGCCATTAGTACATTGTAGCATACATAGATAAAACATACATTCACACTACGACTGTGTTGTTCTTATTTCTAATGAGTGAGTGAGTGAGTGAGTATGGTTTTACGCCGCTTTTAGCAATATTCCAGCAATATCACGGCGGGGGACACCAGAAATGGGCTTCACACATTGTACCCATGTCGGGATTCGAACCCGGGTCTTCGGCGTGACGAACGAACGCTTTAACCACTAGGCTACCCGACCGCCCCTTATTTCTAATGAAAATCGAGTGCTCACTGATTTAAAGACGGGGTAATAATAGTGTAGCGCTATGAGCATCACTTGGTGAATGGAATCTGGCGCATTATAAATGCACTTATTGTTATTTTTATTATTTCTGTGACCCGTGAAGATCCGGGTTAGAATAGGTCTTCAGCAACCAAGGCCGTAGTTAACTTTTTTTGACCGGGGGGGGGGGGGGGGGGGGGGGGGGGGGGGCAAATAAGATTATTCATTTCTTATTCAAGTTAACTTTCAGAAGGAAAAATGTTTTCTATAAAAAAAACGTGCCCCCCCCCCCCCCCCCCCCCCCCCCCCCCGGCTGGCTACGGCACTGGGCACTGGCAACCCACATTGCCGTAAAAGGCGACTCTGCTTGTCGTAAGATGCGACCAACGGGATCGGGTGGTCAGGCTCACTGACTTGGTTGATGCATGGCATCGTATCCCAATTGCGTAGATCGATGCTCATGACGTCAGTAGCTGATTGTCTGTTCGATTATATAGAGACCGCCATCATATAGCTTGGATATTGCTGAGTGCGGCATTAAACAACAAAATCTTGTTTCTGTGGGATGTGAATGGCCATGTGGATGGATATGGTAAGATACATGTCACTGTGGTCATAATGTTCTCAAGGGGGACAAGGCCTGGGCACATTGGCTTGCGTTGCAAATTTGATTTAACTCGGAAGCCGCGACTACCGGATATCAACGATTGGTCCTTTAGTCAGCTGTTTGGATACTGGGACTTCTTGTGTGCCGGAATCCTCACTTAGGTTTTTGTATATGTCTGAAGTATAACCGACGATAGCAGAAAGCAAGGGAAATGTCAATGGCGTGTTCTTGTATTCGACGACTGTGGCTTGCTCAGCAAGTAGTATCCGACACAGGAGAGTATCATGGTCTTTGTTCTGTTCCACGTTTTGATCGTCTTCAGTCGCCAATGGCAGAGAAATTGAATATGCATCACGAGCAAACGCATGGTATCACAACTAGTCTCGTTATTGAAGGAATTAGTGATTTTAACTTTCGACAAACAGACTTGGGCACCTATGGGACACAACTCTGCCCAGGATATTGTGGAGACTCTTTATTCAAAACGCCAACGCCAGAATAACAAGTCTTGATTATCTGCCTAACAGATTCCATTGGGCGTTTAAGGCAAAATAGTAATGAAAGTTATAATGGATCAGTGATGACACCTGGTGTTCGCGAAAAGGGTCAACATGTCCTGCACTACCGGTAGCACCCTCCATTTTTCATGAGAAAGTAAGTGTTTGTTGCCAAACCCGCACCCAGCAATACTCCTGCCATACGAAGGCGGCTTGTAAACAACTGGCGGCAATCCAGTGATCAATATCATGAGCATTGATCCACATCGTTGTACGAAACCATGCTGTCACCCAGCATGACCACCCAATCAATGACATTAAGTGCCAGTGAGTCAGGAGGCGTGGAAACTCAATGTAAAGAATGGTACAGCGTCGCGCATCATGTTGACAAAACGTGTTATATTTAGTGAATTTCTCTGAATGTCCACCATAAAATTTCTTGAATGACTTGACCAGGCGTTTGAGGGTGAAACCGTGATTGGAAAGCTTAAGTATAATGTGACGTTCCATGCAAGTTGAATACTCAGTCAACAAGGAGATGTTGACGCAGTAAGCTTGAACTGATGGTATATTGCTGGGCATTAAGGGGAAATTCACGAAGGGAAAATCCAAATTACCCTTCTTGTCATACAGCTTAGTATAGAGGTGGCGATCATTTTTAATGTTTTTGCATAGACCCAGATAGGACACTGAGTATGGTTTCTTAGTTGTTTCTTGGATTTCTAAAAGATAGATGAGGCGAAGATTCTCAGTTACTTTGGCATTGTTGAAAGAATGGCAGTTACACGACCTTTACTTTTAAGTATTATATGAATATGAATACAAGCGACAAAACCCTTTCCATATTCATATTCATTATCCGCCAAAAGTAGAGTCGACGGGCACGAACCCGGCCGTTTCATGAACACTTGTTCATGAATCATCATCAAACAGTGATACCCCACCAGGCGTGCGCGAAAAGGTGAGCGTATTCTGCCTCCCTAGGTAGCACCCGTCACAAACACATGCACACGAAAGTCTATAGTTCTCCTGAAGAATAAACATGGGAACATATGATACAAGTCAAAATGGGGAATTGCATCGGACCTCATGTTTGTCATAGATTTTGGAAATGCCCTCCACATGTCTAACTTGCTTTTCTCACATAATTAGCGTTGAATGAAACCGATGTCTATTCGAATGCATTGGTTAAAGGGAAGTAACTCTTTGTTTGCGTCGTCTGCCAGCTGTCAAAATGGCTGAATCAAAAGCGTTTTACTCGGTGAAACTTCGGACATCTATTCCAGGCCTGTATGCATGAATGTCGGTGAGATAAATTCGTTGTCAACCGATCCTCGGGGGATATGGTGTGATGTACCCCGTGTGTTAGCTTTTCTCGGGATACATAGGCTCATAGGCTCACACACAGGGTGTGTGTGTGTGTGTGTGTGTGTGTGTGTGCGTGTGCGCGCACTATTCCGGACTGGTGCCGATGTATAGCGCGATCCTACTGAGATACCATGCCGCAGTTTAACAAGAATACCCCACTCAGACACAGTATGCTCCAAGCCGACCAGTCCTTGTTTTAGCCCCTTAATGCCGATCGCCAGACAGGGTAACAAGTACCATCTTTTGACGTCGTTTTGGTATGAGGGGCAGTGGGGTAGCCTAGTGGTTCGAACGTTCGCTCGTCACGCCGATACCTTATATGGGTACAATGTGTGAAGCCAATTTCTGGTGTACCCCACCGTGATATTGCTGGAATATGGCTAAAAAGCGGCGTAAAACCATACTCACTCACTTTTGGTATGACGCGGCAGGGGATCTAACCACCGACCTTCCGCTCTCCGTGCAGACGCTCTACCACTAGACCACGGAGGTGCTCGTTAGAGAGTTAAACGGGACGAAGGTTGTAAGTGACACTGAATAGAAAGTGATCAAGGCACATTTGGCTAAAACGTATATTGGCAAACGCCTGTGATTTGATAGTGTATAATCAAGGTGTTCCTTCACTATAAGCCATTCGTATAAATGAATATTGAAATATTGTTTAAAGCTGCGTTAAACCTAACTCTCACACTCAAAGAAAATATAACGTGAGAGAGAGTATTCACAAGGTCAAAATGTAATAGAGTTTATAGAAGATGTCTAGTAAGAGGGATTCCGAGTTTCAGAAAGACCAAATCTCATTAAAATCAGACCTTAGTTTTCGCTACCGCTAAACAAAGAACTGAAGACATCCCATTAGGGTCACGTCAGAACGACCTTTCATCCGACTAATCAGAGCGTCGCTTACCAGATTATGTAAGTGACAGTCGGAATGTGATTTCTAATCATGCAACCTCGAAAACTTTAACATGGGGTATTCCGAGCGATAGTTACGGGTTTAACGACTGAATCCTTACAATCTAGACCATCTATTAGCCATTCCAGAATGTTTTTTTGTTCAGGTTTCAAATTTGTAATCGAGAATTTGTCAAGATATGTTTCGAAGCGTAGTCGCCAATTTGAAATTAGTGCCGCAAAGCACGAGAAAGTTGCCTTCTGATTGGTCATTCCATTGGTCGGTCAAAGTTCGCGCAAGGTCGGTCTGACATGACCGGTTATGGGATGTCCTCAGATCTAAGTTTAACGGTAGCGAGAACTAAGATCTGATTTTAATGAGATTGAGAAAGACCCCACAATACAGTTGATCCAGTATTTGATTAGTTTAAAATAGTCTTCCACAATTTAACAAGTGCATGGACTTAAAGGGCATTTTTTGTAAATAATCAAAGTTTGACACAGCCGTATCTGTGTCGCAATCGTCTGAGATAAGATAAAGTGACGGAATTAGACACACTGTTATATCATAGGAGTGTTGAATTAGCTCTGGAAATTATAGGACACGTGTCGCTGAGTAAGACTCAGCCGAAATATGAAAGGATCGTTGTGTTTGTGTATTATTGCTGGTAAGTAAAACGATTAATTGATTCATGATTATTTTTACACATTATTATTATATCACTGATATATAAAAAACATAATCGTAATTGTCAATAATTTTAGTCAGACCCAATTTCCATTGTGTTTGTAGCATAAATGGGACACTGTTGAAAGATAGGCAACCGATAATTCATTCTGATATTTGTTTTTGCTCTAACATGATGAAAGTTGATGTGAAAAAAGTAAGTACTTGTTCTTCAACATCTTCTAAACCTTTTTGACCATGAACAAATGGCTAATTTTATCTAGGTATCTATTTTCGTACCTTGAAAAAAGATGTGTCAGAAAAAGATTTATCTATTAATATTCGTCCAGAGAAACCCCTGCAGTCCTTATAAACATTGTTTTGTGTTGAATGCTATGCTAACTCACTGAAAACGAAACGATGCAATTTAATATATTGAATATGTTGATGCTTAAGTTTTAAAGGAAAATTCGAACATTTCATATGGCATAAAACGTCAACTCCAGAGTGAGTGAGTTGGGTTTAACGCGGCTTTTAACAGTATTCCAGTTATATCGCGGCGTGTCAGCTTAATGTGGGAGGAAAGCCCGAAGTGATGCAGGTCTCAGACGTTTACCACTTCGGTGAAAGCCACGAGCACGGGTATGGTGCTGACAAACCTAGAAACATAATCGGGGCGAACCGGGATTCGAACCCACAATCATAGGTTTCTGGCGTGGCCAAGGGACGCAACTCTGCCCAGCGAATCGCGGCGCCTTAGACGATTGGGCCACTCGTGTCCCCGTCAACTCCAGAGAATAACCAGTCTCGGTTATCTGCCGACACAGATTCTATTGGGCGTTAAAGGCACCATAATAATGAATAGCATATCATGAATGATCACTGAAAATCAGTGATGACACCAGGTGTTCGCGAAAAGGGTAACCATGTCCTACTCTACCGGTAGCACCCGCCACTCACACAATTTTCATAAAAACAAGTATGTTTTAACAAAATGCAAGTAAATGTTGCCATCAATGTGCATTACACGTGATTTAAAAGATGTTTAATGCATGTGCATCATGTGCATTATATATGATTTAAAGGGTCCACATGCATGTGCACAAAAGGAATAACATTCATTATCGGGGTTTTTTCATTGGATTTTCGTTGCCATAAGCTGAGAATAAATTAGAAAAACTGAAATGCGGTTATCTTTGCTATCGAACACGTACTTACTTAGAGGCGTGTGTTCACGTATACCCGGATGTTGCGTTTTTCTCCTGTCACCTGCTGCTGTCTTCTCAAACCTGTGAGAATCCGGGTTAGACGAGGTCCCAAACAACCTATGCTGGTCGCAAGAGGCGAAAAATTGGATCGCGCGGTCAGACTCGGTGACTTGGTTGATTGCTTGGATCATACCCCGACGACATGGATCCTTGCTCAGTATATCGTTCACTGGACTAAATTATTTACATATCGCCGTCACATAGATGGAATATTGCTGAGTGTGGCGTTTAACAAACAAAGAAGCAAAACAAAAACTTACCAAAAGGTCGCATTGCATGCATATATTCACCATACGTTCACCAATCAGAGCGTTGTCTTCACCTCGGTTGTAAACATGTTTCAGTGACACTGGTGCAGGCAGCGTCCGGCTTCAGCCTGTGGCCGACCCACATACTACAATCTTTGAGAGGTAGTGTCAAATACTCACATGTCAAATCTTAAGAGATCAGAACAATTATTTGCAACTATTACCATCTATTCTTCAAGTATTATCTTATATCATATTTCAGTTAAAAGGTAACTGTGGATACACAATGCTATTTAGAAAGTCGTCAAATGTAACAAATGTTATATTTTTGATAAGTAAAGTACAAATTCTGTTACTTTGTTGGGCTGGGGTCGGTCGGGTAGCCTAATGGTTAAAGCGTTCGCTCGTCACGCCGAAGACCCGGGTTCGATTCCCGACATGGGTACAATGTGTGAAGCCCATTTAAGGTGTCCCCCGCCGTGATATCGCTGGAATATTGCTAAAAGCGGCGTTAAACCATACTCACTCACTCACTCACTTTGTTGGGCTGAGTCTCATCTCGCAGAGTGGGGCACCCAATCGCCAGCACGTAGTCAGCGATCTAACCCATTCAGCCACTGAGGCTTTAACAGAAATGGAAGTCCGACAACTGGTAGTATAGATCACGTACCTAGTGTATCTGGACAACCAGTTGGCGGACTTCAATCTCATTAGAATTTGTACTTTACATAGAAAGCGTTATCCAATATATAACATTTGTTGTAAAAGGTAACTGTAAGTTATTCGTTTTTGCGGCTCCGCTGACACAGAATTCAATAAATTTGGAACAATATAAAAAAATATCTGTTCTTCCCGCCTAGTGTCGTATATCTGTATATATCTACATATATTAATAATAAAGGATGTTTCTTTTGTTATTCACATGGTATAAAAATATACGAATAATACCAGTGTTAGTACTACAAAAATGAAATGATTACGTTTAGAAATATACTGAATATTTTACAATGAATATATTCCATACATTAGAGTAGGAATCTCAAACAGGATATATGGCCATGCGTCTTCAACAATAACAACAACAACAACAACAACAACAACTTGTAAAGCAAATGCGGTTACAATGTAGGGTAAAGAAAGGTTAAATATCAGTATAGATTATACACACGGTAAAGACCTGTAAATGGATGATAAGTAAGCACATTTTTTAACACAATAATAACAGTTAAGATGGCAAGATGACCATATTTGAAATTGTAACTTCGTTACTGCAGCTGGATATTTCACGATATATTGAGAGCCACAACACTATATATATTCTCGAGACTCAGGGTTCAGCCTGAGAGGAGTGTTCATACAATACCGATCTCGTTACCTATACAACCATCTGTACTTGAGGTACTGCATAAATACAACTGAAGGCCTTGTGTAATATTAGCTATATCGTTTTACAGAACTGGGTCGACGGTATCTTCTTGATAGCTCGTCCGACAATGGCCCCACTTCCCACGTCAGCAAGGAGTTCAACAGTGAGTTTTGTTTTCTTGATCTAACCGAGTGAGAAATTTAGGTTTAACGCCGCTTTGAACAGTATTTCAGCTATATCAAGGCGAGATAATGTGAGAGGAAAGCCCGAATGATTTAGACGTCTACCAGTTATGTGAAGCACGCACACGAACACGGGAATGGTGCTGACAAACCAAGGATCGTAATCCGGGCGATTCTGGGATTCGAACCATGACTCTTTACAGCGACATTCAGCGCATGAGACCTCTGGGGCATCCGCGATTGTCATAGCCAACAGTGTCAGTTTTGTGTATGTTCAGTAGATTTCAAATGGTGACAAGACTCAGCCAAACCGACCTAAGGGACGTAACTCTGCACAGTGAAATGTTACGCCTTCAATGACTGGGTCACCTTCGCTCCCTCCATATGTCTGACAAAAGTCTGTATAGAGTCTCTGTACCAATGTTGGTACCAAGGCAACCGATATTTGTCAGTTCCAGACTGCAGGTACCGCAGCGAACACTGTAACAACACAGTTGGTGCTGCAGCCAATGAGTGTAGTTGTCTTTAAGGAATCCGCTCGTGTCTCAGAACACCCGACTTTCTTCACAGACACACCCGCGACGCTCATTTTTGTGTATAATTTCGGCCATGGAACTACAATGTTGCTGACAACGTCTGATACTTTAAACCACACAGAAAGCCAAGTTGAGCAGAATAATATTAATATTATTAAATATATTAATATATTAATTATAATAACATTTTGCAATCAACGCAATTGGGATACGGTGACATGCATCAAGTCGGCGAGCCTGGCTACCCGACCCCGTTAGTTGCTTCTTGCAACAAGCATGAGTTGCTGAAGATCAATTCTTATCCTGAGCTTTACCCTGAGTTAATAAACATCGTATGCACAAGTGCAAATTCCTTTCACGCGCACCAGTGTAGTGTTTACGTCATTCGAATCTTATTGTGACGTGAGGTCGGATTGACGTCACACTAGAAACAATGGCATAGCTGAAAATTGTTGACGTCATTAGACAATTGTGGTTTTCTAAGACGACGGTCGTGATCTGTGCAAATTTCTAAAGGGGAGCTCAAAAGGATTATGCAAGTGTTTAACAAAGACATTATAACACTCGCATGTGTGGCACATTGATTTTACAAAACTCGTGTAAGAAATCATGTATACCCTCGCTCTCGCTCGGGAAATACAAGAATTCTATCACTCGTTTGGTAAAAATCAGTATGACAAACATTATCGTGTTTCTCTATTTATCCATGTCTTTATGTCGTTAAATACTATTTTTCCAGTCACGGAGTGTCGGGACCATAACGACACTGACTGCCACAAGTACGACTATCAAGTGTGTTACGACTACCAACCCTGGGCTCTTCAACGCTGTGCCGCTTACTGCGAGTTTTGTACCATTGACCGTCAGTATTCACACAGTAGTCTAGTGGTTTACATGTTGATAGTCTATATTTGATGACTGTTTATGGACACTTAGCATCTAAAGATGGTTTTGCGATTTACAAACATTTCTTCCCTATAGCTAATGTATAACTGGACAGAATTGAATTCTGTACTAGATAATGTAATTAAAATATGGAATTGAAAAGGTACGAATCTCTATGAATTGTTCGGTAAACTGCAGCTAAATTCACAACGCCGGCTCCACCTTGCAATGACACCATCCCCAACTGTCACGAGTTCAACAAGGACACCTGCACCAACCCCAACTTCAGTGACTGGGCTCACAACCACTGCAGGAGCTACTGCAACTTCTGCCACGGTAAGAAGGGAGGGGGCCGGATTAGGGGTGGTAGAATGGATGATGAGAGGGGATAGAGAGGGGTGGAGGGGACTGGATGGATTGGGTGAGAGGATAAGGAGATCGGATGTAGGGTTGGGAGGATGGATTGGGTGAGGGGATGGAGGGGAGGACAGGTCGGAGGAGGTTAAAGGAACGGGGAGGCAGAGGGGGTATAGGTGACTGGGTGGAGGGGTGACAGGATGGGGTAGGCACGTTGGAGGGGTGAGATGATGGAGGGTGGAGGGTATGTGGGGGACAGGGTGGATGGGGTTAAAGGATGGGGGAGGCAGGTTGGAGGGGTGAGATGACGGAGGGTGGAGGGTATGTGGGACTGGGTGGAGGGGGTTAAAGGATGGAGGAGGCAGGTTGGAGGGGTGAGATGATGCAGGGTGGAGGGTATGTGGGGGACAGGGTGGATGGGGTTAAAGGATGGGGGAGACAGGTTGGAGGGGTGAGATGACGGAGGGTGGAGGGTATGGGGGACTGGGTGGAGGGGGTTAAAGGATGGGGGAGGCAGGTTGGAGGGGTGAGATGATGGAGGGTGGAGGGTATGTGGGGGACCGGGTGGATGGGGTTAAAGGATGGGAGAGGCTGTTGGAGGGGTGAGATGACGGAGGGGTGAGAGCATGTAGGGTACAGGGTGGAGGGGGTTAAAGGATGGGGGAGGCAGAGGGGGTGTAGGGGACTGGGTGGAGGGGTGACAGAATGGGGGGAGGCACGTTGGAGTGGGTGAAAAGGGTGGAGGGTATGTGGGGGACAGGGTGGATGGGGTTAAAGGATGGGGGAGGCAGGTTGGAGGGGGTGAAAAGACGGAGGGTGGAGGGTATGTGGGGGACAGGGTGGATGGGGTTAAAGGATGGGGGAGGCAGGTTGGAGGGGGTGAGATGACGGAGGGTGGAGGGTATGTGGGGGACAGGGTGGAGGGGGTTAAAGGATGGGGAGGCTGGTTGGAGGGGTGAAATGACGGAGGGCTGAGGGTGTGTAGGGTACAGGGTGGAGGGGGTTAAAGGATGGGGTAGGCAGAGGGGGTCTAGGGGAGTTGACGGAGGGGGTGTAGGTGACTGGGTGGAGGAGGCGAGGGGATGGAGGAAGATGGAAGGGGTGGAGATGAAAAGGAATGGGGAGACAGGGAGATGTGGACGCTGATTGGGGACTCCACATCGTCACTGCACTACATGACCATATGTCACGATCTTTCACTGTGATGACTTGATCAAATCATATATTAGATTACTGTTAGAAATTTCTGCCTATACAGTTTTCAATGATAATAATCTAGAAATGATTTAACCATGGAAGATTTCTGAAGGAACCTCCCGGAATAACAGTGATTCACTGTTACTGGTTGTGTGTGGTTACAGGTGCACTACAACACATATAAAACGTCAACGCCGGAGCATAACCAGTCTCGATTATGTGCCGAAGCGAATTCCATTGGAAATAAATAGAATTCAGAGTGGTGAACATTACATGAATGGATCACTGAAAATCAGTGATGACACCAGGTGTTCTCGAAAAGAGTAATCATGTCCCACTCTACCGGTAGCACCCGCATGGCACACAATTTGCATGGAAAAGTAAGTTTTTGTCTGTCACCCAACGCCGCACAGCAATACTCCGGGTCTTCATGATCGCATCGTGGATCACTGCCCTACAATACGCTAGCCAGAACTACACTTGATTTGAAACATGTGCATGGTGGTGAAAGGACACGAAGCATACCTCTAGATCATACTACCATGCATGTTGTATTGTTTATGTTCCTGCACAATCTCCCTGTTGACAAAACCAGTATAACGCCTACATATGTGCCTGCAGAAACACACCACCCTAACTACAGAACGACAACTCCGATGCCCACAACGACAGTGAAGACCACGACTGACGCCGGTAAGTTAGCAGTGACCATTGCTAGAAAGGCGTTTGCTTATAATCCACCAGACCAAGCTGTGATATATCTGTTATACCTCAGAAATCCATGGCCAAATAGATTTTAGATCATTCGTTCACTATGGACATATTGCTCCTTATGACCTTACACAATCTGTCGATGCAGTTCAATTGTCAATGAATCGAAGCCAGTACATCCACGACAAGCCAAATATTGAATCCGAAACAGTTCTGCATTATTGATGGCATTCATAGACGTAAAGAATAAAAACGTACTGATTAACAGATATTTTACCTTTCGCCTTTTCCCAAATGCACCTTTTTCATAATAAACATATAGGAATCTTTGAAAACTCATTCATAACTTAACATCAGAGCTGCAACCATTACATAAATAGTCTCCAGCATTTGGCTGGATTGTGAAAATTGCGTGCGTGTTCTGACCAATATGCAAGCATGGAAATCTACGTTGATGAAGGTAAATTGTGGCACAGCCATGGCAGTAGCATCGCTAGTCTTTAACTCCAAAAATAGTCACCTCTACGTACTAGTGTATGATAAACAGTCAGACTTAGTGAACGAGTTTAAACAGAGAGCGTGAAGTATTTACAGTATTCCTTCCTGCTGCAGCGTGCCACGACACCATCGCCAACTGCGCCGACTACGGAAACGACGTGTGTACAGGGAGCTACAAGGACTGGGCCGGGGTCAGATGCAGGGCTTACTGCAGTTTCTGTGGAACAAGTAGGCAAACTGTTACCTACTACATAGCCACCAACCCCCAACACACACACACACACACACACACACACACACACACACACACACACACACACACACACACACCTGCAAAACAATATATACGACTCAAGAGATTTTAGGACCACCATCCTTTCATTTTACTCTACTCTGTCATGACAGATTAACTACACGTTGAGTAATATGGAAGAATCTGGGTTTCTTAACTTCTTTTGAGTGGTATAGATTAAGGTATGACAGATTAACTATTGTAATATAAATGAATCGCGTGGTCTTAAAATTCTGTTGAGTAATATAATTGTCATCAGTACAAGTCATCGAGCTTTTTATCCGAGCATCCTTATATGTTAACTGAATCCACATTGCGATTGTATTTTGTGACTGGCTACCATAAAATTCTGGAAAACCTAAGTTTCCCTCAGGTTTTAAAATAAAGTATAACATTCTTAATGTCCTGACAAATGTGTTGTGAAGCAAAAACATAACAATAATACATGTAATGATATTAATTATTATCATTATATACAGATTTTTTTAAAATGAAGCAAAGAGGGTTTGGGTGATCCTGGCACAGTCAGGCTGGTTAGGCTCATCATCAGCTCAGGGCCTTGCCCATCTACACGCAGCCCAGACAGCGAATGGGACTTCTCCCAGGAAGCGCTGCCTAGTCAAACCCACCCAGAACTTTTCGGACAATGTGAAGACTCCCCAACATTGCAGCCTTCTGCATTATCCAGCTTGTCTAAATCATATTTAGAGTATTTATCTCATGTGGTTTGACGATCTGTGACATTTTGATTGTCCTCTCTGTTCATGCTAGGCCCACCACCGACCACAGCCCCTCCATGTGTGGATCTCGTAAAGAACTGCAACCAGTTTCAAAAGGACACCTGTGTTAACTCCTTTTATAAGTCGTGGGCGGAGAAAAACTGCAGAGCCTACTGCGAGTTCTGCAACGGTAAGCTTGCTGCCTGTTTCGAAAGTTTATAACATAGTGCTTGAAATTATAGGAGAGGTGGGGAGGTAAGAAAGTCCCCCAAGAGCAGGCCCCAATGTGCCTACAGTTTAAAACAACATATGGTCTGATTGGTCAGGATGCAGCATATAACGTTTAACCTAATTTACCCATAATAAATTATTAGACCCGTGAAGATCCGGGGTAGAATAGGTCTTCAGCAACCCATGCTTGCCGCAAAAGGCGACTAACGGGATCGGGTGGTCAGGCTCGCTGACTTGGTTGATGCGTGTCATCGATTCCGATTGCGTGGATCGATGCTCATGATATCAATCAATGGATTGTCTGGTCCGGACTCGATTATTTACAAACCGCCGTCATGTAGCTGGAATATTGGTGAGCGCGGCTTTAAACAACAAACAATCAATCATAATAAATTAACTTGTCCATTGACCAAAGTGTAGGGATCCTGGGGCATGAATAACAATAAAGAACAATGTCATAGTCATTTGTTACGTTGTTTTATTCATCTATCATTTAGCTTTTGCTACAAAGTCAGTCAAATCATATCACAGAAATGCACAACTTATGAATGGCAATGTGAAATATTTGAATTCGCAGATGAATTTCTTATTACTGTGTCATGGAAACAGTCTAATTCACAGACCTGGAAGTTACCAGAGTCAAAGTCCACAAACTGTTTTGCCAATTTAATCGAATGTCCAGCAGCATCTAGGAACTGAAGTGGAGTCTTTCTTCCAGTCTGGGTGTGCTCTGTTAGTCTCATAAGCCTGGAGTCAAGTTACGATATACACACTTGGGAAGGACACCGAGATCCAGTTGGACACGTTTGATCTTGTTCGCAGCTTCAATGTTCTTGATGTTGGCTACAAAGAGGTAGATGTTTCGGTGGGCCTTGGCGATACGATTCTTGAGTTTATTGTGCCATCCTTCCATGTGATTGTTGGATCTGGGTCCCATGTTGCCATACTGTGTCCAGATTCGTGCAAGAAAGCGTGCATCGTAGTCCACCAGGTAGAGGTGATTTAGTCGTTGAAGTTGGCTATCTTCTCTGACCTCAGGACCTTCTTCCGTAGCTGAAAAGCTTGGTGTCTTGAACTTGGTCAAGTGGAAGGAATGGCTGCTGCTCTTCTCATGTTGGCTCTGATTTGTGGCATCTCCTTGTAGTCAATCGCTAGTCCTTTGTGGGCTACATTCTTAGGTGTAATCGAAAAAAACATCCTCGCACCTCAGCATCTGGGTAAACTTCTTCAACTGCCCTGATAGCCGATACCTGAACGTCTGTCTGAATCTCATCAGGCGTAAGTTCATCTCCAACCCTAACCCTTACCACATCATTCAACGTAAACAATCCTCAACAGTAAAAACAAGATATGTATATGCTCCAGCATCTTCTCACGATTGTGTTCATGTTCAGTACAAACATATATAATTGTATTGAAAGATCTACACAGGATGAGGTTCCCATCTGTCTTTTAGAGTGTATAAATGTATTTGGATATATGTCTTCCACTTCAAGTGATTACATGGTACTTATCAGGAAGGTTCCATTATTCTGAGGTATAATTCTTTCCCTCATGTCACTGGTGATACTTACAACTGTAAGGAATGTTCCATTATTCTAAGAGGGGAGACAATTATAGCCCATTGTTGCTACACTTCCGGTACTTTCTGTAGGCACAATGGGATGTATACGTAGGCACATTGGGATTGTAGGCACAATGGGATGCAATCCCACAGAGTACTTTCTCGCATATATCAGTGAACTTGGATAAGATCAACAATGGCATTAGCAGATTATTTTGGGAGGCTGCACGAGTTAGCTTACTTTAAGTTCTCAAGGACAAATACATCGCATGTACTGAAAGGGTAAGTAAATTGAAAATTCTTAAAGGATCAGCGTGTGGCATGTCCTGGAAAGGATAAGAGTAAGACATGCTCTGAAAGGCATGCGAAGTTTAGATTCTGAAGTGTTAGGGTAGCTTCAAGGACTCGGTTATGGAACGCATTGCCTGGCTTGCATAGTCAAGTGACAAAAAGATAAGGTCAACTTGGAATCAATATTTTTGCATTTGGAACACAAAGATTCTTTTCAGCATACGATATTGTTTTTCAAGCCGTATTAATGCATCAAGGTTTTCGTTTATAGTAGTGCATCTTGTGTGATATTTCCATATGAGTTCAGGTGATATATTCCCTTGTTCAATTTCAGTCTTAGTCAATTGGTGGGTATGTAGAGGTTTTATAGCCAAAATAGATAAGCCAGCCAATCAGGGTATATTTATGGTTAACTAAGTACTTCGTAATGTGGTGTATGAGTACCTTGGCGTTTATGAATCATCAAACCCCAAACAAACCTAAGTTAAAAATGTTTGTTTCTTAGTTTCTTTTGTTTAACGCCGCACTCAGCAATATTACAGCTATACGATGGCGGTCTGGACCAGACAAATCAAGTGATTGACATCATGAGCATCGATCAACGCAATTGGGATACGATGACATGCACCAACCGATCCCGTTAGTCGCCTCTTACGACAAGCATAGTCGCCTTTTACGGCAAGCATGGATTGCTGAAGACCTATTCTACACCTAATCTTCACGGAAACGTGTCGCTGTTATATTGGTAACGCGTGTACCTGTATGTCCATTTTCCTCGGCCGTGACATTCAAATAATATATCAGCCAATCATATGCCAGACAATGCCCAACAGGTGGTGAACCAAGTACAGCCTTGTTACTATTTTGATATGTACCATTCATGACAAAACGTGATTGGTCACAGAGATGAGGTTAATAAAATTACTTTTACATCTAGTGACCCAAACAACAACACCAGCGTCAACAACAACTCAAACCACCATGCCAACCACAACTACTACACCGACCACGACTAAGCGGGTGACCTTGTCCCCTTATGAAGGTCACGGGGCTACCGGCACGTTCGGGGAATTCTGTAAATATTATTCATATTAATCGCCAACATAGTCGGGAAATAAACGCTTAAAATTATTTTTTTACAAACATGATTATCTCTGTGCGTTTTTACTGTTTAAAAAGTTGAGTATATGTTTTTGTATTATTGCTTTCTGTGAATTGTTGTTCGATACTTCTACGATGAGTTGTCCCTGGTGCTCTGGTGAATAAGGTTTATATGTGTCACATGTACATGTATGCGTACAATACAACACTCTGGTTTGATATATAGTGAACATGTACCATGACACTCTGTTACACAATGTTGTACTGTATCCCCAGTGTCCATGTACCATGACACTCTGTTATACAATGTTGTATCGTATCCCCAGTTTGCGTGTACCATGACACTCTGTTATACAATGTTGTACAGTATCCCCAGTTTGCATGTACTGTGACGCTCTGTTATACAATGCTGTACTGTATCCCTAGTTTGCGTGTACCGTGACGCTCTGTTATACAATGTTGTACTGTATCCCCAGTTTGCGTGTACCATGACACTCTGTTATACAATGTTGTACTGTATCCCCAGTTTGCGTGTACCATGACACTCTGTTATACAATGTTGTACTGTATCCCCAGTTTGCGTGTACCGTGACACTCTGTTACACAATACTGTACTGTATCCCCAGTTTGTGTGTACCATGACACTCAGTTATACAATGTTGTATCGTATCCCCAGTTTGTGTGTACCGTGACACTCTGTAACACAATGATGTACTGTATCCCCAGTTTGCGTGTACCGTGACACTCTGTTATACAATGTTGTATCGTATCCCCAGTTTGCGTGTACCGTGACACTCTGTTACACAATGTTGTACTGTATCCCCAGTTTGCGTGTACCGTGACACTCTGTTACACAATATTGTACTATATCCCCAGTTTGTGTGTACCATGACACTCTGTTATACAATGTTGTATCGTATCCCCAGTTTGTGTGTACCGTGACACTCTGTTACACAATGATGTACTGTATCCCCAGTTTGCGTGTACCGTGACACTCTGTTATACAATGTTGTATCGTATCCCCAGTTTGCGTGTACCGTGACACTCTGTTATACAATGTTCGACTGTATTCCCAGTTTGCGTGTACCGTGACACTCTGTTATACAATGTTGTACTGTATCCCCAGTTTGCGTGTACCATGACACTCTGTTATACAATGTTGTACTGTATCCCCAGTTTGCGTGTACCGTCACGTGACACTCTGTTATACAATGTTGTATCGTATCCCCAGTTTGCGTGTACCGTGACACTCTGTTACACAATGCTGTACCGTATCCCCAGTTTGCGTGTACCGTGACACTCTGTTACACAATGTTGTACTGTATCCCCAGTTTGCGTGTACCGTGACACTCTGTTACACAATGCTGTACCGTATCCCCAGTTTGCGTGTACCGTGACACTCTGTTACACAATGCTGTACCGTATCCCCAGTTTGCGTGTACCGTGACACTCTGTTATACAATGTTGTATCGTATCCCCAGTTTGCGTGTACCGTGACACTCTGTTACACAATGCTGTACCGTATCCCCAGTTTGCGTGTACCGTGACACTCCGTTACACAATGTTGTACTGTATCCCCAGTTTGCGTGTACCGTGACACTCTGTTACACAATGCTGTACCGTATCCCCAGTTTGCGTGTACCGTGACACTCTGTTACACAATGCTGTATGTACCGTATCCCCAGTTTGCGTGTACCACGGCACCGAGTACAAGCAGGATGAGACCTGGAAGGATGGCTGCCAGCTGGAGTGTACCTGTGAGGATGCGGAGTTCAATGACGTCAGCTGTGCTGACATGTAAGTGCTTCTAAGCCGACTATCTGAACTTTCATTCTGAATGTTACACAAGGAATGTATGGCTGAGGATTTAGAATCAAACTGTTTAACCCATCATATGATTAAATTAAGAGAGATTTCCTTCTCTTTAATTCAGTCAACACGCAACTATAGTATCCTAGTTTGTACACTGTTGCGTGTCGCTCTTACAAAGCCAAGCAAATACTGACAAAATCGTGCAGCAATAGGTATTGACACGGACAAAGGAGGTCAACTGTAACCATAGGATGCCCTTAGTCCAACACAATCTGTTCTATTTACGTCTATTTTGTAGATGTCCTCATTGGAATCTGCCGAGCTCCTGTCAGCAAATAACAGTTCCAGGCAAATGTTGTCCAACTATACACTGTAACATGCAGTCCTAGGTAAGTGTTGTCAAACTGTACACTGTAACATGCAGTCCTAGGTAAGTGTTGTCCAACTATACACTGTAACATGCAGTCCTAGGTAAGTGTTGTCCAACTATACACTGTAACATGCAGTCCTAGGTAAGTGTTGTCCAACTGTACACTGTAACATGCAGTCCTAGGTAAGTGTTGTCCAACTATACACTGCAACATGCAGTCCCAGGCAAATGTTGTCCAACTATACACTGTAACATGCAGTCCTAGGTAAGTGTTGTCCAACTGTACACTGCAACATGCAGACCTAGGTAAGTGTTGTCCAACTGTACACTGTAACATGCAGTCCTAGGTAAGTGTTGTCCAACTGTACACTGCAACATGCAGACCTAGGTAAGTGTTGTCCAACTGTACACTACAACATGCAGACCTAGGTAAGTGTTGTCCAACTATACACTGTAACATGCAGTCCTAGGTAAGTGTTGTCCAACTATACACTGTAACATGCAGTCCTAGGTAAGTGTTGTCCAACTGTACACTGTAACATGCAGTCCTAGGTAAGTGTTGTCCAACTGTACACTGCAACATGCAGACCTAGGTAAGTGTTGTCCAACTGTACACTACAACATGCAGACCTAGGTAAGTGTTGTCCAACTATACACTGTAACATGCAGTCCTAGGTAAGTGTTGTCCAACTGTACACTGTAACATGCAGTCCTAGGTAAGTGTTGTCCAACTGTACACTGCAACATGCAGACCTAGGTAAGTGTTGTCCAACTGTACACTACAACATGCAGACCTAGGTAAGTGTTGTCCAACTATACACTGTAACATGCAGTCCTAGGTAAGTGTTGTCCAACTGTACACTGTAACATGCAGTCCTAGGTAAGTGTTGTCCAACTGTACACTGCAACATGCAGACCTAGGTAAGTGTTGTCCAACTGTACACTACAACATGCAGACCTAGGTAAGTGTTGTCCAACTATACACTGTAACATGCAGTCCTAGGTAAGTGTTGTCCAACTGTACACTGCAACATGCAGTCCTAGGTAAGTGTTGTCCAACTGTACACTGCAACATGCAGACCTAGGTAAGTGTTGTCCAACTGTACACTACAACATGCAGACCTAGGTAAGTGTTGTCCAACTGTACACTACAACATGCAGACCTAGGTAAGTGTTGTCCAACTATACACTGTAACATGCAGTCCTAGGTAAGTGTTGTCCAACTGTACACTACAACATGCAGACCTAGGTAAGTGTTGTCCAACTGTACACTACAACATGCAGTCCTAGGTAAGTGTTGTCCAAATGTACACTGCAACATGCAGACCTAGGTAAGTGTTGTCCAACTATACACTGTAACATGCAGTCCCAGGTAAGTGTTGTCCAACTGTACACTGCAACATGCAGTCCTAGGTAAGTGTTGTCCAACTGTACACTTTAACATGCAGTCCTAGGTAAGTGTTGTCCAACTGTATACTGTAACATGCAGTCCTAGGTAAGTGTTGTCCAACTGTACACTGTAACATGCAGTCCTAGGTAAGTGTTGTCCAGCTGTACACTGTAACATGCAGTCCTAGGTAAGTGTTGTCCAACTGTACACTACAACATGCAGTCCTAGGTAAGTGTTGTCCAACTGTACACTGTAACATGCAGTCCTAGGTAAGTGTTGTCCAACTGTACACTGTAACGCTTAATACTAGGTAAGGGTTGTCCAACTGTACACAACAACATGCAGTCCTAGGTACGTGTTGTCCAACTATACACTGTAACATGCATTCCTAGGTAAGTGTTGTCCAACTGTACACTGTAACATGCATTCCTAGGTAAGTGTTGTCCAACTGTACACATTTTAACGCTTACGACAAGGTAAGTGTTGTCCAACTGTACACTGCAACATGCATTCCTAGGTAAGTGTTGTCCAACTGTACACTGCAACATGCAGTCCTAGGTAAGTGTTGTCCAACTGTACACTGTAACATGCAGTCCTAGGTAAGTGTTGTCCAACTGTACACTGTAACATGCAGGCCTAGGTAAGTGTTGCCCAAGATTAAACTGCAACATGCAGTCCTAGGTAAGTGTTGTCCAACTGTACACTGTAACATGCAGTCCTAGGTAAGTGTTGTCCAACTGTACACTGCAACATGCAGTCCTAGGTAAGTGTTATCCAACTGTACACTGCAACATGCAGTCCTAGGTAAGTGTTGTCCAACTGTACACTACAACATGCAGTCCTAGGTAAGTGTTGTCCAAATGTACACTGCAACATGCAGACCTAGGTAAGTGTTGTCCAACTGTACACTGCAACATGCAGTCCTAGGTAAGTGTTGTCCAACTGTACACTGTAACATGCAGACCCAGGTAAGTGTTGTCCAACTGTACACTGTACACAGATGAGCGTTCTTGCTGTCACATTTGAAGCGAGTGTAATGAGCGAGTGAGTTGTGTTAGGTATTTCAGTCTTTAGTTTGGCGTGGTGGCTCATTGTGAGGGGAACGCTCGAAGTGCGGCTCTTAATCGTCTGCCGCTTCCTTAAAATCCGCGAGCACGGGGTATGGTGCTGATAAACCAACGATCATTATCAGGGCTTATGTTGGATTTGAACTCATGCTCATGGGACTTCTGCAAGCCTCCAGGACGCAACGCTGCACAACGAATTGCGGCGACTTGGCCTGCCCAGTAAACTCATGCCATGGGTTGGCCCAGTCGTCTAAGGTGCCGCGATTCGCCGTGCAGAGTTTCCAGAAACCTATGATTGTGGGTTCGACACGCAGTGATATAACTGGAACCCAACACACACACACACACACACACACACACACACACACACACACACACACACACACACACACACACACACACACATGCCATGAGATATCAAACTGTGGATGCTGGACTTTCCTTCCCTGTCTTGTATATGACTGCGCATGTGCATCTCTTTTCAGGATGGATGTCAAGATGAATGGACACACAAATACACAGTTGTTCCTTCTGTATTCATTTATGAATTAAATACCCATTTTGTGTGTTGCCATGATGTGCTGAATTAATACCAGGAGGTGAATCAATTCTACAAGATAATAGTGCATGAGTTAGTAGGGATGTACGCTGAAGTGAACTGTATGACAGCTCAGTGACCGCGACCTTGTACAGATCGGACCGATACAGTGGTTGATAGTGTGAGCATTGACAAGTATCCGCTACACATCAAACTCATTGAATGAGATGAGCGTCGCTCCACCCGACTGCGGGCAGACTAGGTCTCGAACCGTGAGAGCTAGCTAACGTGTTTGTTTTGTTTTTTGGGTTGTTTCTTTGGTTAACCCCGCACTCAGCAATATTCCAGCTATATGAAGGTGGTGTGTAAATAACTGTCTGGACCAGACAATCTAGTGATTGACATCATGATCTTCGACCCACGCAAATGGGATACGATGACATGCATGAACCAAGTCAGCGAGCCTGACCACCCGGTCCCGTTAGTCGCCTCTTACGACAAGCATAGTCGTCTTTTACGGCAAACATGGGTTCCTGAAGACCTATTCTACCACGGATCTTCACGGGTCTCCAGTTGATGTGAATATGGTTGTTACAATGTGTAACAATGTGTATTTGAAGGCAATAACAAAAGGACACTATTTGAACAGTTCACAACTGTCGCGCTTGTGTTGTCTCACGTGCACGGAACTACTTCCAATGAAGTACATGTATGCAGTGAAAATGCTATGACTGATGATGCTTTCGATATGATTTTGCTATTTTAAAAGTTTCTTATTCAGAAGTATAAGGTTCTTAAAATACAACGAAATTTCCAACATTTTCTGAGGGAGCTGATTGATAGATGTGAAGTAGAAAAAAATGTAAAATGATCTATTTGAAAAGACAACTGTCCAGTTCATACTTAAATGATGCCATATTATTGGCAAATTGCAAATATATTGCAAATTTCTTACTCCAGTCTTCATTGAAGCAATACATTTTTACACAAAATTACTTGTGTGATATGATGTGCACCCAGTCGCATCAAGAGAAGAGCAGTCCCAATGAAAAGCAAACGTTTCTTGGATAATATTATCTGTATGTATTTATTTCTGAACAGGACATTCTGCCCGGGTGTTTCTCGTCATGTCTGGACGTTATCCCACCATTTGAAATCCTCCCACGTGGGGTTTACAGTTGTGGAGTAGTGGACAGCAGTGTCCGGGGATGTGCACTAGGTCACAGTTGGGCACGGGGGAGGGGCACCTGCAACACAAGGAGACGGATTACCCTAAACATAGATTCATGGGCAAATTTATTCACTCGGGAAAATCGTGTTCACCAGATATCGTCAATCTCATTAAAATCAGATCTTAGTTCTCGCTATGCTAAACAAAGATCTGAGGACATCCCAATAAGGGTCACGTCAGAACGACCTTTCATCCAACCAATCAGAGCGTCGCTTACCAGATCATGAAAGTGACAGTCGGAATGTGTTTACTAATCACGCAACCACGAAATATTTAACACGGGGTATTCCGAACAACACTTACGGGTTTTATGATTATATCCATACAATCCAGGCCAGCTATAAACCATTGCAGAATGTTCTTCTTATCAGTTTTAATTTTCTAAATCGAGAATACGTCAAAATATGTTTCGATGCGTAGTCGCCAGTTTGAAAGAAGTGTCGTAAAGCTCGAGAAAGCTGCCTTCTGATTGGCTAATGTCGATTTCTTGTCAGTTATTTCATTGGTCGGTCAAAATTCGCGAAAGGTCGTTCTGGCGTGATCCGTAATGGGATGTCCTCAGATCTTTGTTTAGCGGCAGCGAAAACTAAGATCTGATTTTAATGAGATTGCAGATATCGTTTACACAATGCTGATGTGTGACATACTGTGCTAATGTCCGATTGGACATATTGCCGGAAGCGAATGAGTTGGTTTTAACGTCGCTTTGAACAGTATCTCAGTTATATCACGGCGTGTCACCTTGGTGTGGTCGAAAAGCCTGAAGTGATGTATTAGACGTTTACCACTTTACTGAGTGAGTATGGTTTTACGCCGCTTTTTTTCAATAATCCAGAATATCTCGACGAGGGCACCAGAAATGGGCTCCACACATTGTACCCATATGGAGAATTGAACCCGGGTCTTTGACGTGACGAGCAAACGTTTTAACCACTAGGCTACCTCACCACATTGGTGACATCCACGAACACGGGTATAGTGCTGACAACCTTTTAACATAATATGGGCGAATCTGGGTTTCGAACCCATTATCATAGGTTTCTGGTACTCCCAAGGAACGCAACTCTGCACATAGACGAATTAGCCACCCGTGCCTACAGCCATACTGAAGTAGAACTAGACACAATCAGCGGTATACAAACACGATGGGGTCACAGTGGATGTCGTTTGTGAGGCCGTTGACGCATCGACAGTGTTGATTGCAGTCGATGGTGTCCCACGAGCTATCCTGGGGGTAGTACGTGCCGTCCATGTAGCACTCTGACACAGGAAGATCAAACAGCACAATAGATGAGTGAGTAAGTTTGTGCGTGGGATTTTACACCACTTTAAGCAGTTTCACGGCAACTTCAAGAGTAGCGTCCTACTACGTGAATATATACTGAAGAAAACAAGTTTGAATTGTGTGCTCATTTTTCACTACATAAAATAATTATGACCCCTGACCCTTTTTTGTTCAGCATACATATGAACTGACTTGAACTGTAAAGCATCAGAAATGATACACTATTTCATTGGAAATACTTTCTCTAGTATTCCAGTTCTATCGCGTGTCAGTTTGATGTGGGAGGATCAAACCCGACGTGATGCAGGTCTCGGACGTTTACCACTTCGGTGAAACCCACAAGCATAGGTATGATGCTGACAAACCTAGAAACATAATCGTGGCGAACAGATATTCGAACCCACAACCATAGGTTCCTAGTGCTCCTAAGAGAACCATATTTGCACAGGGACTTCTTTGGGTGAGCGAGTGAGTGAGTGAATATGGTTTTACGCGGTTTAAGCAATATTCCAGCAATGTTACGGCAGGGGGCAGGGGAAATGGGCTTCACACATTGAACCCATGTCGGGGTTTCGAATCCGGGTCTTCCGTGTGACGAGCAAACGCTTTAACCACTAGGCTACCCGACCGCCCCCCATGACGCTTTGGCCACTTGTACTACCGACATTACTCAATGCACTTAATACATTAAAACACAAACAGTTGGGAAGGGCAGACTATCAAGAATCAAAAGTGGCATCATGATTGTATAAATACAACTCGGAGGGAGTCTTTAATTACGACATGTAACACAACTCTTGGTGAAAAATAGAAGTTTGAGCTTACGTCCAGTGCCCACTGTTGGCAGAGTGGTGTTGGCACACGGAGGATAGACCTCAGGCCCTGAAGACGAGAAGAGGTATATTCTAGGCAACGTGTAATTATTAAGTATACTTCGGTCTTCGTCATAGAGGTATAGCTACTTAAGTCATTTGAGCAAATAGTTTCGCTGTGACAAAGCTGTGAAATAAGGAGACCTTTTGAAATGGACAAAGTTGAGGAGTGTGCAGTGATCAAGTGCTTGTAGAAAAGGGGGCTTAACATCAAAATCCATCCACGAAGGTATGTGTACAGCACTAGGGAAGGATGTCCTTACCACCGTAAAAGGTGGACAGCAGAGTTTATACGTTACAGGGAAGGCCCTAGACGTCAGCAACACCAAAATTTAACATACAATTCCGAATGCCAGTGGTGTATGTTCCATATCTGTTGCAAGAATACTCTCCCTTTTGGATAATTGAACCATAATTTGTTGAAAATATTCTTTCATGAAAACACAAAAAATTGCAAATGTTTAAGGATCCATGCGTATGAGTCGCTGTACCCACTCTCGCAGACTTTGCAGGTGCCCGCGCAGTGCTCGTGTATGAAGCGGTCGTAGTCGGGGTTGGTGCAGAGGTCGGCCCCGTACTGACTACAGAGGGGGTCGATGTCGTGGCAGATGGGGATGTCAGGAACAGCGGGAACTGAGGATGAAACAAATATGGTCACACAAACTGACATAAATATTTACTATGATGAAATAAAGTGAGAGAGTTGGGTTTAACGCCACTTTTAAAAAGTATCACAGTTATATCACGGCGTGTCAGCTTAGTATGGGAGGAAAGTCCGAAGTGATGCAGGTCTTAGACGTTTTACAGCTTTGGTGAAACCCACGAGCACGGGTATAGTGATGACAAAGTTAGAAACATAATCGGGACGAACCGGGATTCGAACCCAGAGTCATAGGTTTTTTTGCGTTTCCAAGCGACACAACTCTACACAGCGAATTACCACGACTGGGCCACCCGTATCTCGATGAGATTTTAATTGTTTTTCAAGACAACAAATGAAATGATACACACTGTCAGTGGCAAAATTCGTAAAAATATGTTTATATATTTTTTAACAGCTTTTTAGATTAAATCAAGAAATCAGGAAGTGGCTTACCACAAAACTTGCAGTGTTTTGGACAGTGTAACCGTGCCCAAGCTTCATACGGGCTACAGCATGATGTCATGATGTCATATCCGGCACAGTCGATGAGGTCCTCGCAAACACCTGCATATGTGAGTCTACATACAGTGTACAGGATCCCCTACATTTCATGCCCGTTTGTTTGCACTGGTGTACAATGTTTGATCATATGGGGTTTGATTGAAGCGTAAAAGAAAGAATACCGACTTTGTTATCTATGTAATTGAGAAATAAAAGAACTGTTTTTAAATGTGATGATATCCTATTAACCGGCACTCATTCCTGCAACAGTTTGTAAAAAATAATCTGTGGCTGGGTAATTTTGTATAAAAATCATTTGGTTCAATGAAGACTGGGCCGGGGTAAGAAATCATGCAACCACATGACCCGTACAATGTTTGAAATAATTTGTGCCGAAAATAGCAAATGTATTGATTTTCAAAGATAAAATGTCAAAGAATTCTTTTTTTAATTATTTTTAAAATTTTAAATCAAATTATTATTTTTAAAATAGAACCATGTGGAAGTGTTCTTTCAGTGTTTACTCAGCGCCAGTACATTCTATTTTTGGGATATAATATCGCTAACTTGAGATATTTTTAACCGAAAATCAAACATATGATAACATTATCTTAGAGGCATAGTTTCTTTAAAAATTTGCTCCTCAGTATATATATACCTGGTGCCGATGTTGTGATTACTCTAGTTGTTGCTTCGCCCGTAGCCGTCACTGAAACATGAAAGAATGCATTTGGGGAATCAAAACAATAGGTCTTCAGCATCCCATGCTTGCTGTAAAAGGCGATTATGCCTGTCGTAAAAGGCGACTAACGGGATCGGGTGGTCAGGCTCGCTGACTTGGTTGATGCATGTCATCGATCCCAATTGCATGGATCGATGCTCATGATATTAATCACTGGATTGTCTGGTCCAGACTTGATTATTTAAAGACCGCCGTCATATAGCTGGAATATTGCTGAGTGCGGCGTTTAACAACAAACCAACCAAAACTAAACCATTCTTTGCGTAAGGCAAAAAAACAAAGTTTTACGCTTCTCTTTTAATGCAGAGTGAGTGAGTGTGAGTGAGTTACAGCTTTACGTCACATCGGCAATATTTAATGCAGAGTGAGTGAGTGGCGGGTGGTACCGGTAGACCTGGACAAGGCTATCCATTTTGCGAAAACCCGGTGTCATCAGATGTTGCCTTTACGCCCAATGGAATCTCTCTCGGCGGGTAATCTAGACTGGTTATTTTCTGGCGTTGACGTTAAATATTCAAACACGTGATTTCACCCTTGACTACCTATGTTCGTGTATATTACTGGGTTCAACTCACCCGTCGATCCCTGAGCGCAGGTTGGAATGTATTCAGGCTCTGAAAGTCATATACATTAGTTTAACTTACAATATATACTACCTAAACAAGCACATAGAGAATATTAGTAGTTTTGCGTAATGAAGAAATTGCTCGAATGTTTTGATACCGGAAGTAAATCAACGATCCTTGAAGGGTTGAGTTGACTACTTCCGGTATCAACATTTCCGAGTGATTTCTCCGACCTCACCCATAATATGGTTGATATATAATTTTTCTATAGAAGAAGAAGTCTTTTATTTGAACTAAGGCCACTGGCCCATATACAATACATACATTTGAAATAGTGTGGTACATGAAAAAAGGTAATGTCAGGTACAAATTTACAGATTTACAGGCTTTTCATAATAACGTCTTCGTTTATAGCAGCTAACACGTCCCATTTTAATTCTGGAAACCCAAAAGTCCAGAAACTCTACGGTCTTTGCCCAGTCTCGGTTAAAGGTATTTACAAAATTAAACATGCCGTTTTCATGGGAACATACCAAGGAAGAAAAAATGAAAAAAAAATTGTTTAAAAACTCAATATTTAGACTATGTCGCCCATGGGCGAAGTGTGGCCCATGGGCCTGCCCATGGGCGAAGTCTGGCCCATGGGTAGGCCCATGGGCAGGCCCATGGGCGAGAATATGTTCCTTTACTTAAAACTCATGTTTTTGATTCGCAAATACATTTAATGTATTCATTCAAGTATCATGACACAATATTTAACTCATTTTAACTTAATTCAACGATTTTATAGCGATATTGAAATATTTCGCCCATGGGCGAGAAAAAGGTTTGGCCAATGGGCGAGAATATGTTCCTGTACTTAAAACTCATGATTTTGTTTCGCAAATACATTAAATGTATTTATTGAAGTATCATGACACAAAATTTAACTCATTTTAACTTAATTCAACGATTTTATAGCGATATTGAAATATTTCGCCCATGGGCGAGAAAAAGGTTTGGCCCATGGGTAGGCCCATGGGTAGGCCCATGGGCAGGCCCATGGGCGAGAATATGTTCCTTTACTTAAAACTCATGTTTTTGTTTCGCAAATACATTTAATGTATTCATTTAAGTATCATGACACAAAATTTAACTCATTTTAACTTAATTCAACGATTTATAGCGATATTGAAATATTTCGCCCATGGGCGAGAAAAAGGTTTGGCCCATGGGTAGGCCCATGGGCGAGAATATGTTCCTTTACTTAAAACTCATGTTTTTGTTTCGCGAATACATTAAATGTATTTATTTAAGTATCATGACACAAAATTTAACTCATTTAAACTTAATTCAACGATTTTATAGCGATATTGAAATATTTCGCCCATGGGCGAGAAAAGGGTTTGGCCCATGGGCGAGAATATTTTCCTTTACTTAAAACTTATGTTTTTGTTTCGCAAATACATGCAGGTGTTCTAACTATTTTCATGGCACATAATGTAACACAATTTTACTCAATTCAGCTATTTTACAGATTTATTGAAATATTTCGCCCATGGGCGAGAAAAGGTTTTGCCTTCGAAATCCTTGATTATTATATCATGCCAGAGTTCTGAAATTCAGTGACAATGCTGTTGAACAGTAGAATCTGATTGACGTATTTTGCAGAACCTGTTTGACACTATGGGTTCCAGGACCACTAACACTCTGAGCTGAAAAAGTTTGGTCCTAACCGCACCCAACATCTTTAATGAACCCGGCCTTATCTCTCAAAACGTTTTGGCAGTTTATCATACGAATTCATGTGCGTGTACAACATTAAATTTTAGTTAGTTTCTATTTCATTTCCCATTTTATGACCCGTTGATACATCCCACTGTGCAATTACGTGACAGGTACGCGTGCGCGTATTTTAATGGAAAGCAACTATTCGTCTTGTATTGCATAACGTTTGGCTGAATATCTTACATTCTAACGAAATCTCGAAATAATTATTTAATTACAAGCAGTGTCGAACTGACCAGTAGGAATTATGTTTCAATGCGATTGAGGAAAACGTGAGTGAATATTGTGACACTAAAGCAACTTTTAACTGCATTGTCACTTTTGGTATGAAAATGGTAATAGTTAAGAAAAACGTAACAGCCTTCTTATGATAATTCTCATATTCTCATTAGTACGTTGTGTCTAATTACAGTGTCGGCCTTATTTACAGGTGATTCTACAATACTTGTTGTCGGTCAACTACAATCTGCCACACCACGCGTGAATTAACAGTTATGCAGGTGTTGCTGTGGGCAAATACCTAGCCTGTACATGTATATTTTTTGTGGATACATGTATTACATATTTTCGTTGATATGTGAATATATTAAGCACCAAGACACAAAAAGTTTATGAAAGATGAATTTGTGCCTTGATATATATATTCAACGCGAACGAAGCTTGTATTTTCTCCGCGATCCTGATGTGTATCATCGTTTAATTGGTCATTCATTGAAAGTATGTTGTGAGGCGATATCAAAGGAGCCGCTCAATATACACAGTGTCGTCCGTTTCGTGTGAACTACCACCCTACCCTGTCAGTAAGAGTTATGTAATCGGTACACAAATATATTTGGTGCGATGTCAGTGTGGAAGGAGTTTGAATTACGTCCGCCAGTGGCCACAGAAAGTATAGTACCAATCAACAAGGCCAATGCCGTACTAATAACCTAGTGACTCGCGTAACAACGGCTGTCAATATGTCTGCTACATCTACCATACCATCATCCCTGTCACAACTGGCGTATTAACGGCTTATTCAAAATATTAATTGTAGAAATGTCGTTACCAGACTAACGTACGTCGTATTCAGTCCTCAACTGGATGTTACATTCCTTATATCAGTTAACAGCCCTGTTTGTGAAAATATTTACTAGACATAAGATTTAAAGACTAATAAAATCAATTGTAAGACCGCATAGACCATAAAACCGAATAAAATATGTCTTGGTATCATCTCTTGTGTATTAGATGATGACAATGACCGGAAATGTTATAACGTTAGATTAAGAAGGAGAAACATTAAAGTGTTTTTACAATACTTGGAAACATGAGCAATAAGATGTAGCAACATAAACATGCATGGAATAGGGGAAAAGGATGAAAACAAATTGAAAAGGATTTTAATACAAAATTATCGAACTAAATAACTTGCCTGAACAGAAAGGGTACCCATACTTGTTTGACAGTTATTCGTGTGTTGTAGACTGTCGAATGGGACACATGTGTGTACGTAGGGTACGCATATCTATTGCAAGTTTTAGTACTCATACACTTTCTCTTTTTGTGTTTTGTTTGTTTGTTAGTTGTATAACGCCACACTTAGCAATATTTCAGTTGTATGACGGCGGTCTGTAAATAATCGAGTCTGGACCAGACAATCCAGTGATTGACATCATGTGCATCGATCCACGCAATTGGGATACGATGACATGCATCAACCAAGTCAGCGAGCCTGACCACCCGATCCCGGTAGTCGCTTCTTACGACAAGCGCTGTCGTCCTTTTACGCCAAGAATGGTTTGTTGAAGATCTTCACGGGTCTATTGAATGCAGGGATTTGTGTAAAGTCATTCAGACAGCATACAATGCCAACTAAAAAATTATACTCAGTGTCTCCGCAAAGTAATATAGTACGGTACTTAGAGTACATGTGAGATTATACTCAGATTAGGGAGATGTTTTATCCATATAACGTGTTATTATTCTACCTAACAATGTATTTAATGAAATGAATGCAAAACAAACTCAGCGGCTAAGAGGTTTCATTGAAAAAACTACCCCTAGTCTTGACTAATAAAACAACTGCAACCCGACACAGATTAAACGCAACTTACAAACACAATCATAATCTGGTTAGTCTGTATCACTCAACGAGGCCGCTTACTTTGCCCACAGTATGAAAGTATTGGGCAGTTCAGTAATTAGGAGCCAAAACCAGGCAGGTACGCTGGTCACACTTGACTGGTCTGACTGATGATTAGGTCGTCTGACAATTGTGAGTGAACCATAGCAAGAAGTATCTGCGAAACTATTTGCTCCTTTTATGGGACCGATTAGTTTTATGACCATGGGCCTCGGCACAAGCGTGGTGTTGGAAGACAAGTTATACATGTACATCCGATATGGTGACTGTTTTTCGCTATTCATATTCTAAATACATTCATAATACCACAACATTTTAGTACTCCTTGAAACTTTACAATCACTTCAATATGTACAATAGATTGAACGAGAACACTTGATATATTGCAGATTATTAAATCATTGTCTCTATTATCAGCCGCTACGTTTGTATCGTTTGCATTGTACAAAGAAATATTTTATCTGTCCTTTTGCAGATTTAGCCTCAGAATGTGCTCATTCGAATTAGGAACGAAAATAATTGCTTATCATAAGTCTATATGATACAGTTAAAAGTTACTTGTACACTGTAGACGTATTCACTTTAAAGTCGCATACGACCTTCGCGAGCGAGTTGAATGATCCAGGTTAATTGGAACGAAGTCTAGAGAGGGTTATACAGTTTTGTATTTGGTAATGTGTAGGTTTGTTAAATATCATTTTTTAAATTCCTTTTATTTCAATATGTAAAAACATAACTATGCGCTTAAAAACAGAGCTGACTTGATGGGAGATAGCCACCTCAGATTGTCTGTTGGACACGGTTTAACCTTACTGTGTCCTCACCCTGGTTGTTGTTACCGTTGTTATAAGGGATTAAGAGCTACGGCTCATTGCATTTTTGGTTACAGTCTGTATCACTAAAGTGGACATGTGCAGGTGAACTCTGTTCAATTAGTATATGAAATGCCCCAAAATGTGAACTCCAGACAATAATAACCTGAGGGTAAATCCACGTGCGTCTGCCTTTCCCCTCGTTCACCTTCGAAATCCTTGATTATTATATCATGCCAGAGTTCTGAAATTCAGTGACAATGTTGCTGAACAGTAGAATCTGATGGACGTTTTGTGCAGAACCTGTTTGACACTATGGGTTCCAGGACCACTAACACTCTGAGCTGAAAAAGTTTGGTCCTAACCGCACCCAACATCTACAAGTTTGTAAGCTTGTAGACATCATTAAGAAGTAATTAACAGTCCCATGCTGAGACCTTTCTCAAAATTCAGACCGGTGGCAGGCTGCCAACAAAGAGAAGAAAATATCGCAACCCCGACACGAGTGTGCTCAGTCAAACAATGAACTTACGACCGGCAGAAAACAACTCCAGTTGAGTATGCCGATGCTGTATCTCAGCCGTGTTGGCCTGAAAATTTAAACATGCTAATTAAATCCAAAATCGTATAATTATTTTTAATAGAAACCGTATCTTAATTTGTTCTTGCACTGCATCATATCGTGTATTTCATCTGTATATGTGTAATGTGTATATGTATCAATGACTACACTTATACCGCATATTCTGCAACAGACTATAATTAATCACCTTATTATTGTCTCTCCATGGCTGACTGCACTAATACCCTTTTAACAGTGGACACCGATATCAGTATACATGTAGGCTTTTTGTTCAAAAAGGAATATGCAGGAAATTATATGTAACAATTAACTGTGTACTAATTACATGTTTGAATGTTATCAGTTTTACGTTCTGAGATACAGTGATGTAAGCATCTTCTAAAATCTTCTAAAAATATAATAAAATACAAAACAACTCTCTGCCGTAATTTTTTGTGGAAATCATTCGATCAAGTAAAAAATGACTGCGTGACAAGACGAATCAACTATTTATACCCGATAAAAGAAACTGCCGTATTTTAGGAACAGTGCTATAACAAGACATTTGAAATTTCTAAAAAGCAGATACATTAGAGACAGTGACTAGACTACAGGTACGTAATCCGTATCAATCAAAGGTGGAAAAAAACTGAAAATCATATCTGTCGGAGACCTACCAAATTACCAAGTTTTATCATTACTATATTTATTACAATGCAAATACTTTAGTGATACATTTTTTAGAGGAGAGGGCATACACACAAGTATATTGCTTCCGTGTGTGAATGCAGGTTGTACTTGGTATCTCAGTTCTCAGTTTCATACCGGTTGTATAACTGAATTTGTATATGGAACCATGCGTACAGCATGACAATTACTTGCTATTCGTCAGTTTACAACACACATAACACGGTCAAAAATTTTAGGCACCGCTTTTGCGAGTTATGTAGTACAGTAATGTTTTATTAAAATCTATTTCAATTTGTTTTCACCATTTTCCCTATTGACAGTCGTTGTTACGTGCGTCACTAGGTAATTAGTACGGATTGACCTTGTTTATTGTTTCTATACTTTGAGGATTTCTGTGACAACTGGCGGACGTAATTCAAACTCCTTCCGCACTGACACCGCATCAAATATATTTGTGTACCGATTACATAACTCTAATGGACAGGGTAGGGTGGTAGTTCACCGGACGACACTGTGTATATTGAGCGGCTCCTTTGATATCTCCTCCAAACATACGTTTATTGAATGACCCCATTAAACGATGATACACATCTCGATGAATATATCAAGGCACTAATTCATCTTTCATAAACATTTTTTTGTCTTTGTGCTTAATATATCCACATATCAACGAACATTTGTAAAACATGTATCCTAAAAAAAATAAACATTTTCAGGCTAGGTATTTGCCCACAGCAACACCTGCATAACTGTTTATTCACGCGTGGTGTGGTAGATCGTAATTGACCGAGAGCAGGTATTGTAGAATCACCTGTAAATAAGGCCGACACTGTAATTAGATACCACGTACTAATGAGAATTATCATAAGAAGGCTGTTTTTTTTTTTCTGAACTGTTACCATTTTCATACCAAAAATGACAATGCAGTTAAAAGTTGCTTTAGTGTCACAATATTCACTCACGTTTTCCTCAATCGCATTGAAACATAATTCCCACTGGTCAGTTCGAAACCGCATGTTATTAAATAATTATTTCGAGATTTCGTTAGAATGTAAGATATTCAGCCAAACGTTATGCAATAAAAGACGAACAGTTCTTTTCATTAAAATACGCGCACGCGTACCTGTATATTGCATACCTGGTGTCACGTAATTGCCCAGTGTGATGTATCAACGGGACATTAAATGGGAAATGAAATAGAAACTAACTAAAATTTAATGTTGTGGAAAATAACTCCAATGAATTGGAGTACACGCACATGAATTCGTATGATAAACTGTCAAAACGTTTTGAGAGGTAAGGCCGGGTTCATTAAAGATCGCTACAATATGTAAAACAGGTGAAATTTGTAGAACTAAAGGAAACATCCAACCAAATGCCCTTTTTAAATAGTAATGTAATGATATAATATTAAGTATATTTCACATGATACAATATACTTTGCAAACAGTTAGTTGATGCTTGAAAGGGACTGACGTAAACATGGGTGAAATATTTTAATAACGCCGTAAAATAGTTGAATTTAGTAAAAATTAGTTAAATTTTGTGTCATGATACTTGAATAAATACATTTAATGTATTTGCGAAAAAAAACCATGAGTTTTGAGTAAAGGAACATATACTCGCCCATGGGCCAAACCCTTTTCTCGCCCATGGGCGAAATATTTCAAAATCGCTATAAAATCGTTGAATTAAGTTAAAATGAGTTAAATTTTGTGTCATGATACTTGAATGACTACATTAAATGTATTTGCGAAACAAAAACATGAGTTTTAAGTAAAGGAACATATTCTCGCCCATGGGCCTACCCATGGGCCTACCCATGGGCGAAATATTTCAATATCGCTATAAAATAGTTGAAATAAGTTAAAATGAGGTAAATTTTGTGTCATGATACTTCAATAAATACATTTAATGTATTTGCGAAACAAAATCATGAGTTTTAAGTAAAGGAACATATTCTCGCCCATGGGCCAAACCTTTTTCTCGCCCATGGGCCAAATATTTCAATATCGTTATAAAATCTTTGAATTAAGTTAAAATGAATTAAATTTTGTGTCATGATACTTGAATGAATACATTAAATGTATTTGCGAAACAAAAACATGAGTTTTAAGTAAAGGAACATATTCTCGCCCATGGGCCTGCCCATGGGCCTACCCATGGGCCAGACTTCGCCCATGGGCAGGCCCATGGGCGACATAGTCTAAATATTGAGTTTTTAAACAATTTTTTTTTCATTTTTTCTTCCTTGGTATGTTCCCATGAAAACGGCATGTTTAATTTTGTAAATACCTTTAACCGAGACTGGGCAAAGACCGTAGAGTTTCTGGACTTTTGGGTTTCCAGAATTAAAATGGGACGTGTTAGCTGTAATACAGGTATTTACATAGTTTTCCAAGTAATTGTTTACATGAAGATGACAGCAGCTTTTTAAATTTATGCATATTTCGATTATGGCAAAAACATTTTTGCATATAACTTATAGTTGCGTCAGTTTTCTTGTTTAAAATGCAATATCAGAATGGCCAAGGAATTCCTGGCTCAACAAGAGCATGACGTGATGATAATGGTTTAATAACGTAACTATTAATGACATTATTCAGAAATAAAAAAGTTATGCGAAAATTGTGGTCTATAATGTCATTCTTACAAATCGAAGTTTTACCATATTTTTTATTTACTGAAATAAAATGTAATCCCTGTAATTATTGACTACAACGTATGTTCAATAATGTCACGGATCTTTTAACATCTGCTAGTGTGTTTGATCCCTGATAGTTATCACAAATTGATTTTCTTACGGTCACAAATTTTGCAGGTGCCCGCACAGTTTTCCCTGACGAAATTGTCGTAAAGAGGGTTGGTGCAGAGGTCATCACCGTAGTTGGCACACTTGGGGTCAACGTCGTGGCACAATGGGGTCGGCGTCACTGCAGGAGCTGAAGGCATAGAGATCACCGTTACACATAATTTACCAGGATAAATTCTCCTTCGTCCTAATAAAGAGATTGAAGGTTCGCATCCTGAGTTAAAGTTATCAGGCAGTGTTTTTGTGATTGGTAGTGGCAGCAAAACAAACCCGAGTTCAGTATAGTCCAAACTTTGTTACCCACCCGCATTCGTCACCACTCGCCCCTAACCTGCATTCGGCTTGTCCCGGAATAACATGAGTTGGTCACGAATGACCCGCCCGGTGTAGTGAGCGCCACTGTGGGGAGCTTGCTCACAGTTGTCGTTTCGAGGTGCTTCGCGTGGTAACAGTTTCTAGAAGGTTGGCTGTACCTATATAAGAACGAGATGAGGACGTTTGGACGCCTTCTCCGACCTGACCTGTGTCGTATCTACTTGCCCGGGAGCTATCTGTGACAACATCTTATTGCTGTTTCCAAAACAATCGTCAACACTCGCCCCTTTCCGTAACCTGCAAGAAGACTTGTCCCCCTATCGATGAATGTTATGTGCGAAAATACGACAAACCAATCAGAAAGCGCGTATGACTTCGAGTACTTCGGTCAAAGAATCCGTCAGGAATAATTCTTGAATTATATATGTCTTTCATTTACAAATATACCCAAGATACAGTTGAGTGTGTTCAATCATCCTGTATAATGCTGTAAGTCCCGATGTGCATCTGTAATGTATATGATATAGGGGTGAAATATGCCTAAATCATTACGCAACGAATTGACAATTCTTTTAGCTGTGGCCTTTTGCGCTTAGACGAAACCCAGTCTGAAAAAAATGGGCGCTTATTATGTCGAATACGGTACTTACTAAATAACGTGCGGTTTTTTTCTGGCCTAGGGTTTGTACTTACTACACACCGTGTTGTGTTTCTCTAACCCAGGGCTCGTACTTACTACAGAACCCGCAATGTCTGGCACATTTTTCTCTTGCCGAAGTGTCGTACTTACAACAGAACTTGCGACCCGTGAAATTCCGGGGTAGAATAGGTTTTCAGCAACCCATGCTTGTCGTAAAAGGCGACTAACGGGATCGGTTGGTCAGGCTCGCTGACTTGGTTGATGCATGTCATCGTATCCCAATTGCGTGGACCCATACACCTGATGTCATTAACTGGATTGTCGTACTTACTACAGAACTTGCAGTGTCTGGCACAGTTTACTCTGGCCCAGGGCTCGTACGCTCCACAACACGACGTCTTGATGTCATAGTTAGCACAGTTATCTAGGCTGTCGAAGCAAGCTGTAGTACAAAATACATATTTAAGAAAGTATCAATATACACCAGGTTCACAAATATATGTACATAGCAGATAAATTTGAAAAATGTACAAGAATTATGTATCGAGCACCGCCCCTTTAATTTCGGGTCCTGTTATTCCTGAAAAATATTTCTGAATGATTGCCTAATATTTCACCACAAAAATGCCATTGTAGACTTTTTCGTCTACAATTGAATTTTAGAGGTGAAATATAAGTTTACATGTCTTGAAACAGTATCAGTTTCGCATAACACAATGCTTTGGTTGTGCAAGGGTCGGGTTTGTTGGACATTGACTGTGCCCCAACCAGCGTTGATGCAGAGACTGGATATTTTCTCGTTCTAGGACTTCCCAGTCATTCCTCCTGTTATGCCTGAAACTTTGGAAAAATAATGTTGGACAACAAACCGTGTAGTATTGCTCTTCTGGACACATATTTAGCATATTTTCCTCCCTGAAATGAATCTTCCATGCAAGTAGTTATGGGTTATCTTATGACACAATTTTAAAATAATTTGCTGCAGTGAACTGTCAGGGTGTTTCCTATGACGTCCCTGATTAAACATCTCTGCTTCTTGAGGCGACTCCTGGTGTTATACTGTGTGATGGCGTCACGAATTGTAGCGAATCCTTCATGATACCTAGCTCTTGGTCTTTCGGTCTCTCTGCTTCGACGTTAATGCTAAGAAACGTTTTTGATTCAAATTTTGAGATCGCTCACCTTTGACAAAACTGCTCAGGACCTGGAATAAGTGATAGAGGTTATGGATGAACTGATGAATATTGTTTAGAAATATTGTGTCTTCTTATTCCTTTGTCATCTGATAACGATTGGCAGTGATACAGAAGGTACATACTCTCGGTGGGATCTCGCGTTGTTGTTGCTGCAGTAGTCATCAGCGGCGGGGCTTTCGTTGTCACTGAAGGTAAATGGCATAGAGGAAATGTTGGATCCCTGTTATATTTTCAATCTTGGAGAGATAAAACATTTGTCAAACTGATCATAGCAGTGATAACTCAGTTGTTTAGTTCACTAATGTCCAACGCTTAATAGTCACAATATATGTCTGTTTGACTTCCTATTAGCAGTCACAATTTGATTGTCACAGTTCAGATTCTTGAACTTCGTTTTACATATCGCCAACGCTCAAATATAAGGGTATAGCTTGTCGCTCTGCCAAAAACGTTCAATGGCCAGAATTGAGAACTCGCTAAGCCCTCTTAATACTTGTCAATGGTCAAAAGTTTGAGGACATGGCTTAAGCACAGAGTTCTAACGTTCATTGGCCTCAGGGTAGGTCGTTGACACTTTGTACACCATCCTTTAATAATTGCCAACTTTAAAATGTGAGAAAATAGCGCACTGATAGCCAACGTTCGGCGGTCTGAAGGTAGCTTTGGCCGTCACTGTCAATGTTCACTATTCTGCGTAAAGGTTCATCACGCTGACAGTGAACTCTGTTAGGCAGATTATAAGTTCCGCTTATCGACAACCATCTAAATAGTCTGAGCAATATTTCGCAACTATCTTTATTATTCTCATTGCCACTGATAATTACCAGTATTATAATGCTCTCGACACTGAAGGGTAAAGTTCAAGATATAGCTTCACAGAATATCAAACCAGAGGCTTGCCACACTGACAGCTACAGGTTCACGGTAGAAATTCATTTGCCAGGCTAAAATGACTAGGTTCTTGAGACTCATAGACACTGCTCAATGCCAAGTATACACGTTAGCCACAATGACAACCGACTTTCCCTGATCAGATTTTAGGATCACCACTCTTAGTTACATTGATATTACACGCTTAATGACCAAAAAAACATTTACAGCCAGCGCTGAATTTCAGCAATGCTTCTTGAAATTGACCTTACATCCTTCATATCCCAATAGCAGATATAAAGGTACCTCCATTTTGTCAATGATTAGAAAAAAGGTTCGCAACGCTATTTACATTTATCTTCATCACTCAATGCAAAGGGTAAAGATCCACAACGCTCCTATCCATTGACCTCCATTGTTTAATGATAAAGATATTAGGTTTCCAACAGTTCATTACATTGACCTTCTTAATTCTCTTCTTAACATTGCTCAATGGCTGGGGAAAAGATTCGCAACGATTCTATGCCTTGATACTCATTCTCCCTGGCAATTATAAAGATTCGCCACAACTCCATCCATCGATTGGAAAGAGTAAAGATTGAACATGGTAATGCTTCGTTACATTGAGCTGTGAGGTGCAAAGGTAAATGTTTGCTTCGGTGCTTTTCCTTAAACTCCATCCCCCATTAGGAAGGGTGAACGCTTGAAACACTTTATACGCTGATCTCTCTTACTCAATATGAAGAGTGAAGGTTTGCAACGCTTTGTTAAACGACTTCTGTCGCTCAATATAAAGAGAAAAGGTTCGCAAATTATTGTTCAAGTGAATACGGAAACACTTCTTCACATTAACATCAACATTTCATGATAATCAAAACATTTCGCAATGCTTCTTTAATTCTTTACATTGATAACAGTGATTCAGTGTAACGCGTAAAGGTTTGCAACATTATTTTACATCGACTTCCATCACTCGGTGTCAAAACGTTTTGTTACTTTGTACTTCATAGCTTCTGTGGCAGGACTAAAAATTCACGTTTCTCTTCATCGACCTCGATCAGTCAGGGATATAAGTAAAGGCTCGTGGCGCATTTGACATTTCAGTGGCAAGAGAAAAGGTTCTATGCACTACTTTTACAATGACATCCCCCTTTCAATGGCAAGAGTAAAGGTTCTATGCACTACTTTTACAATGACATCCATCTTTCAGTGGCAAGAGTGAAGGTTCTTTTCTCTACTTTACTCTGACATCCATCTTTCAATGTCAGGAGTAAAGGTTCTATGCACTACTTTTACAATGACATCCATCTTTCAATGGCAAAAGTAAAGGTTCTCTGCACTACTTTTACAATGACATCCATCTTTCAATGTCAACAGTAAAGGTTCTTTTCACTACTTTACTCTGACATCTATCTTTCAATGTCAAGAGTAAAGGTTCTCTGCACTACTTTTACAATGACATCCATCTTTCAGTGGCAAGAGTGAAGGTTCTTTTCTCTACTTTACTCTGACATCCATCTTTCAATGTCAGGAGTAAAGGTTCTCTGCACTACTTTTACAATGACATCCATCTTTCAATGTCAACAGTAAAGGTTCTTTTCACTACTTTACTCTGCCATCTATCTTTCAATGTCAAGAGTAAAGGTTCTATGCACTACTTTTACAATGACATCCATCTTTCAATGGCAAGAGTAAAGGTTCTATGCACTGCTTTTACAATGACATCCATCTTTCAATGTCAAGAGTAAAGGTTCTCAGTACTACTTTTACAATGACATCCATCTTTCATCGGCAAGAGTAAAGGTTCTATGCACTACTTTTACAATGACATCCCCCTTTCAATGGCAAGAGTAAAGGTTCTCTGCACTACTTTACTCTGACATCCACCTTTCAATGGCAAGAGTAAAGGTTCTTTTCTCTACTTTACTCTGACATCCATCTTTCAATGTCAAGAGTAAAGGTTCTCTGCACTACTTTTACAATGACATCAATCTTTCAATGTCAACAGTTAAGGTTCTATGCACTACTTTTACAATGACATCAATATTTCAATGTCAACAGTAAAGGTTCTATGCACTACTTTTACAATGACATCAATATTTCAATGTCAAGAGTAAAGGTTCTCTGCACTACTTTTACAATGACATCAATCTTTCAATGTCAACAGTAAAGGTTCTATGCACTACTTTTACAATGACATCAATATTTCAATGTCAAGAGTAAAGGTTCTCTGCACTACTTTTACAATGACATCAATATTTCAATGTCAAGAGTAAAGGTTCTCTGCACTACTTTTACAATGACATCAATCTTTCAATGTCAACAGTTAAGGTGCTCTGCACTACTTTTACAATGACATCCATCTTTCAATGTCAACAGTAAAGGTTCTATGCACTACTTTTACAATGACATCCATCTTTCAATGGCAAGAGTAAAGGTTCTATGCACTACCTTTACAATGACATCCATCTTTCAATGTCAAGAGTAAAGGTTCTCTGCACTACTTTTACAATGACATCCATCTTTCATCGGCAAGAGTAAAGGTTCTATGCACTACTTTTACAATGACATCCCCCTTTCAATGGCAAGAGTAAAGGTTCTCTGCACTACTTTACTCTGACATCCACCTTTCAATGGCAAGAGTAAAGGTTCTTTTCTCTACTTTACTCTGACATCCATCTTTCAATGTCAAGAGTAAAGGTTCTCTGCACTACTTTTACAATGACATCAATCTTTCAATGTCAAGAGTAAAGGTTCTATGCACTACTATTACAATGACATCCACCTTTCAATGGCAAGAGTAAAGGTTCTTTTCTCTACTTTACTCTGACATCCATCTTTCAATGTCAAGAGTAAATGTTCTCTGCACTACTTTTACAATGACATCAATCTTTCAATGTCAAGAGTTAAGGTTCTATGCACTACTATTACAATGACATCCATCTTTCAGTGGCAAGAGTAAAGGTTCTCCGCACTACTTTTACAATGACATCCATCTTTCAGTGGCAAGAGTAAAGGTTCTCTGCACTACTTTACTCTGACATCCACCTTTCAAAAGCAAGAATAAAGGTTCTTTTCTCTACTTTACTCTGACATTCATCTTTAAGTGGCAAGAGTAAAGGTTCTCTGCACTACTTTTACAATGACATCCATCTTTCAATGTCAACAGTAAAGGTTCTCTGCACTACCTTTACAGTGACATCAATCTTTCAATGTCAACAGTAAAGGTTCTCTGCACTACCTTTACAATGACATCCATCTATCAATGACTAAAGGTCGCAACGCTACTTTACATTGACGTCATCACTCAATGGCAAGAGTAAAGGTCCGGTTACCTGCTTTACTTTGACCTCCACCGCTCATACAAGAAACTCTTTCGCAATGGTTGTTGACATTGACATTCAAAGGGTCTCTTTACATTTAACTCCATCCATGAGTGGCAATAGCGAACGACAGCAACGCTTCTTTATATTGATTTCAATCGCTCAATAGCAGGATAATTCGCCCATTGACAGCTAACGCTTAATTGTCAATGGGCGAAACAACACAGAGAAACAACGGCGAAAAAACGATTGTTCAAACAAATAGCGTGTTACCTTCACAGAAACCACAGAAGTCTCGACAATTCTCGTGAGCCCAACCGAGGTAGTCGGGATTTGTGCACATGTCGTCCTGGTACTCGTCACAGTTCTCAACCTTGTCCCTGCAAACCTCAGTAACTGGCGCCGTGTCATGTACAGGAAGGGAATATAGAGAAGGTGGTGAATATAGAGGAGGTAAATTTGCAGGGGTGAATATAGAGGAGGGGAATATGCAGGAGGTGAATGTGCAGGGGTGAATATAGAGGAGGGTAAAATGCAGTAGGTGAATGTGCAGGAGGGGAATATAGAGGAGTGGTGAATATAGAGGAGGTGAATGTGCAGGGGTGAATATAGAGGAGGGGAATATGCAGGAGGTGAATTTGCAGGGGTGAATATAGAGGAGGGTAAAATGCAGTAGGTGAATGTGCAGGAGGGGAATATAGAGGAGGTGAATATGCAGGGGGTAAATGTGCAGGTGAATATAGAGGAGGTGAATGTGCAGGGGTGAATATAGAGGAGGGTAATATGCAGTAGGTGATTGTGCAGGGGTGAATATAGAGGAGGGAAAATGCAGGAGGTGAATGTGCAGGGGTGAATATAGAGGAGGGTAATGTGCAGTAGGTAATTGTGCAGGGGTGAATATAGAGGAGGGTAATATGCAGTAGGTGATTGTGCAAGGGTGAATATAGAGGAGGGTAATATGCAGTAGGTGATTGTGCAGGGGTGAATATAGAGGAGGGTAATGTGCAGTAGGTAATTGTGCAGGGGTGAATATAGAGGAGGGAAAAATGCAGGAGGTGAATGTGCAGGAGGGAAATGTAGAGGAGGTGAATATGCAGGGGGTGAACGTGCAGGTGAATGTAGAGGAGGTAAATGTGCAGGGGTGAATAAAGAGGAGGGTAATTTGCAGTAGGAGGAGGATGTGCAGGTGAATATAGAGGAGGTGAATGTGAAGGAAGTGAATGTGCATGAAGTCAATGTGTAGGAAGTGAATGTGCAGGAAGTGAATCTAGAGGAGGTGAATGTAAAGGGGGGTGAATATAGAGGAGGGGATATGCAGGAGGTAAATGTGCAGGAGGTGAATGTAGAGGAGGGGATGTGTAGGGGGGTAATATAGAGGAGGGTAAGATACAGTAGATGATTGTGCAGGGGTGAATATAGAGGAGGTGAATGTGAAGGAAGTGAATGTGAAGGAAGTGAATGTGTAGGAAGTAAATGTGCAGGAAGTGAATGTGCAGGAAGTGAATGTGCATGAAGTAAATGTGCAGGAAGTGAATGTGAAGGAAGTGAATGTGTAGGAAGTGAATGTGCAGGAAGTGAATGTGTAGGAAGTAAATGTGCAGGAAGTGAATGTGAAGGAAGTGAATGTGTAGGAAGTGAATGTGTAGGAAGTGAATGTGCAGGAAGTGAATGTGCAGAAAGTGAATGTGTAGGAAGTGAATGTGCAGGAAGTGAATGTCGGAAGTGAATGTGTAGGAAGTGAATGTGCAGGAAGTGAATGTGTAGGAAGTGAATGTGCAGAAAGTGAATGTAAATGAAGTGAATGTGCAGGATTTGAATGTGCAGATATGAATGGGAAGGACGTGAATACGCATGTGAATGTAAATGAAGTGAATGTGCAGGAGATGAATGTGCACTAGTGAAGGTTAAGGACGTGAATGTGCAGGACTTGGAAGTGCAGGAGGTGAATGTGTTGGAAGTGAATGTTCAGAGGGTGAATGTAGAAAGGGCGGGTTAGAGACATCTGAGGGTTACATGGGCGCTGACAAACTCAGACATACACACAGGGAACACCGATATGTTGTTGCTATCAATCAGCCTTCACCACAATAATTTATTTACAAATTCGCATGAATGTGTATGTGGGAATCTGTATATGCGTTCAAGCATAAACGAAGCAAGGATGAATTTAACAAGAGCAACGCTTCTTGCAATGTATTACGATGACTGCCTAGTTGCCCTTACTGAACACATCATGAAGAGATAGCCCTACTGTTTGCTTTGGGACTTCTGCAGCAGTTCAAGGAAGTCAAACGACGACATTAACAGTACCTGTTGTGAGAAATGGTGTAGTTGTAGTCGTCGTTTCAAGCCCCGGTGTCACTGAAAGCAATACAGACATAAATTAGTCCCAAAGATGCAATACATCCAAGTGTATCTTACTTGCTAAAAGAGATGACAACGTTGTGTAATTTCATGAGGGTCGGATGGTCACGATTTGGCATGAATAGCGCAAGATGACCCCGTGGTGTAGCTGTGCAGACGGTGAACGTGTCCATGCTCACACATGGGGGGCCTGGCCGTGTAGGGAGCCGCAAGGTTCACCGCTGTTCCATTTAGTGTTCCAGGACACAGTTATCATGGGTCGAATATCAGACTGGCGTTGATTATGAGTGAGTGAGTATGGTTTTACGCCGCTTTTAGCAATATTCCAGCAATATCAAGGCGGGGGACACCAGAAATGGGCTTCACATATTGTACCCATGTCGGGAATCGAACCCGGGTCTTCGGAGTGACGAGCGAACGCTTTAACCGCTAGGCTACCCGACCGCCCCGGCGTTGATTATGATCCTTGATTTACAGCATCAACACCGTGCCGGTTGGTTTCACGCTGTAGTTAACGTCTAGTACATGCGCCATTTTGAGGTTTCCTCTCATTAAGGGGCGATCGGTTAGCCTAGCGGTTAAAGCGGTCGCTCGTCACGCCGAAGACTCGGGTTCGATTCCCCCAAATGGTCACTTTGTGTGAAGCTCATTTCTGGTGTCCCCCGCCGTGATATTGCTGGAATACTGCTAAAAGCGGCGTAAAACCATACTTACTCACTCGCTAACGCTTCCTAATTAAACCGACAAGCTATGATACGGCTGATTTTAGCATAAGGCGTTGCGGTTGTGAAGCTAACTAACCACTCACTAAAAGCCACGGGTTTGTGTGCTCCAGGCTCTTTAGTAGTATAAGTTGAATATTGAGGACTGCGCAGTTTGTCCATTACCCACTAAACATGTTATAACAAGCATAAAGACCACATAGTCCGGTATGCCGGCACATTTACTGACCACTAGCCATACACACTCACGATCACACAAGCCGCAAGACTGACGGCATTTCTCATAGACCCACTCGGCGTAGTCGGGGTTGTGGCAGATGTCGTCCAGGTTGAAGTCATAGCAGTTGGGGGCGTTGTCACCGCATACCTGCGGCTTCTCGGTTGGCACTGAAATCCATGGTAATCACGATGAGACTGAGACACTTGTTACTGTGGAGGGGGTATGTAATTTGTGTTATGCTGACTCGCTTTGCCCCTGATCATGGGTCCGAATAATGATTATGAAGCTTGGTCTGTCAACTCTGTCCCTTTGGGACTTTAATAACAACAACAATAACAAAAACAACAACAACAACAACAATAATAATAATAGTAACGGTGATGATGACGATGATGACGACGACAGCAACAACAACAACGATAATAATAATAATAATAATAACAACGACGACGACGACGACGACGACGATGATGATGATGATGATGATGATGATGATGATGATAACAACGACGACGACGATGGTGTTTACTTACCCACTCTTTTCTGTAACGCGGTCGGCAGATGATGTTTGCCACAGTGGCTGACAGCAATGCACGCTGGTGGTGGCAGAAACGTCACATACAGTATGTTCATGCCCAACGCTTTCACCGTCGTAGTTTATTCTACCGCCAGTGTATAAAGTACTTGCTTCTGAACACTCAATCAAAACGTGTTTGCCGACTCATTTCTCAATCATTGTCAGGAGGCATTTTGAAAAACACTCAAACACCGTCTTGTCTAAGTTAAAGAGACCTAAAATTAACTACTTCCAGTTATCCGAGGTTCGACACAACCGAAACATGATGAAAAAATATGGAATACGCAGGGACCAAGCTCTTACTTCGAGACAACCGTTAGTTCGACAATTCAAAGTTCGACACACTGGTGTTTCACTGTAATGATATGTACGTACATTGTATGGAAAACACGACAGAAATCCAGTGCATTCCAGTTATACTGAAAATAGACTCTTTGACATTTCCGGGTTTTCATTATCCGAATGTGATGTTATATCTGTTGCGTCACAGTAATGGGTTTGACGTAGTAATAGTGACGTGTGTGTAGATTCAGACCTTGCATGGCTTGCATAGTTTTCTTTAGGGGTGCCCAATTCATGTTTGCCAACAAGAGTAACTATGTTACGAGGTTTAAAAGTATTTTTATGTAAAATTAATGTTCCCCATTCTTTGTTTTAAGGTCACTATCGGTACTTCAGATCGGCAAACCACTCGAAACAGTGGGCTCATACCAACTTTGTGATAGTAAAATGGAGATAAGCATACAATGTTTTCTATGTAGAGCTACATGTATGTAGATGAGTTGTGCTTTCGGTTCCAAATGCAATTTAACGCAGTTAAATATATACAGGAAATTCAGCTCTATATTGAAAACACAGTGTAGATTCAACTCTTATGTCCGACAGAGCTGTTGTCTTCGACGCTTACATAAGTAATCTTATCTATTCAGGTCGCCATGGTGATTTTTATCATAATAAAAACTTTAAAGACTAACCGGGCATAGGGCAAATTAAATTAATTATGTTTAAAATAAATTTAAATCCATTTGCAGCAATATGAATAAAAAAAATCAGCCGCTTCCATTTTGCCAACCAAAAACGTTATAAACCAGACTTACAGCATTAGTTGTCTGTCGAGCCCTAGCGTTTTCGTCAACACTGACTATCGTTAAGAACGTCTAATTGGCATACATAATTCTTAAACTTCGCGATTAAGATGACTCTTTCGTGGTATTGATATTATTATAGATTCCTAACAACTTAGATTGATGATAATTTACTAATACATACCGATCCCCAGCAGTGCCGATATGACAAGTCTGGGCGCCATCTTGTCCTTATCTCAACAGCACATTCAGCAGTGACTGGTGCGTGTACCGTTAGATTTATCAACAATTATAGCCTATGAACGCTTAGTCCTCTACATGGCACTGTAACGACTGGAATTAATGTAAAGCAGTTGGCGTATTGATATAGAGGCAACTTGGGAAAATATATTGGAAATATATTTGATTATATTGTAGGCTATAGTCCAGCTTAACTGTTATAATCGACTCTTGACGGCTAAAACGACTGATAAATATTTTAAACAACGTCCCATGATGTCATTGTACCCACGCGGAAATTGAACCAAGGCTGTTAGGCTGACGAGCTGAGGATTTAACCTCTAGGCTATCACACGATTTAAGTAAATACCATTATGGTTGCCACGATTCGCTGTGCAGAGTTGCGTCCCTTGGACACGCCTGAAACCTAAGATTGTGGGTTCGAATCCCGGTTCGCCCCGATTATGTTTCTGGGTTTGTCAGCACCATACCCGTGCTCGTGGTTTCACCGAAGTGGTAAACATCTGAGACCTGCATCACTTCGGGCTTTCCTCCCACATTAAGCTGACACGCCGTGATATGACTGGAATACTGTTAAAAGTGGCGTTAAACCAAACTTACTCACTCACTCATTATGCTGGCATAATTTGTTTTCATTTTTGTTTTCGTTAACACTGAAACATACTGTTTCCCACGTTCCCCAATGAACAAATACCCGTGAAGATTTCAGGTTAGAATTGGTCTATAGCAACCCATGCTTGTAACGGGCGACTAACGGGATCAGGTGCTGACCTCATGCACATCACCGTATCCCAATTGCTTAGATCGAGACTCATGATGTCAAACACTGGATTGTCTAGTCCATATACCAATTATTTACAGACTGCTGTCATTTAGCTGAGTGCAGCGTTAAATAACAAACAAACAACAAAGCCATTTAAAATGCGTATTGCTTGCAAGCCTCTAAAATTGTCATCACGCATGGTCTATATGTCACCGTCACCCGTCAATACATTCAGGCGAACATTGCACAATCATCACTTGTAGCATGTGTGAGTGCATGAGCGAGTATGGTTTTAGGGCTATTTTAGCATTATTCCAGCAAAACCAAGACGGGGGGTAACAGAAATGGGCTTCACACATTGTACCCATTTTGGGAATCAACCTGGACCTTCGGCGTGACGAGCGAACGCTTTAACCACTAGGCTACCCCACCGCCCCTGGTACGTAGTACTATCGTACTGCTGTTATTCTATTTTATGCATTATCTATGAGGCCGTGTCACAATGTTTGCTTAATTCCGTTTCCGTCACTGGTGTTTGGCCTTTCCTTGTAGACATATAAACTTTGACACAGAGGCATGACCCTATCTTATCTTGCCGGGACCAGCACAATCCCGGGAGGACTTGATCACCCACGTGTAGTACTTATCTCTGTGTAGGACATCAGCTGGCTCTCATCGCTTAAAAATGGCTCGTACCCTTCTCTTAATCATCGGGGCATTATTTAGTAAGTGGTTTATCTACATTCTTTATATAACGCTCACGGTGACATCGTTTATATCTGCAGGTCATTCTCATCTGAATAAGCAGTTTAAAACAATCTAATCAGTATCATGAAGAATTATTGTTGTGATTAACGTTTCACTCATTTGACATTGGTCAACATGCTGAATGAAACGATGATTATAGAGCATTATTTTTATATCCACACTTTTATACCCAGATACCATCCTTGCTGCTCGGGTACCGACCAAACACGGTAGGTGTACGATGCAACTACTCTTCATACCCTCAGCACCTGTGGGGAATCCCAGAGTATACCCAGTCACCTAGACTAACATCTAGTCTCTGAAATGAACATATCGTACAGAAAAAACAGTTGTTCAGTTATCTTAATAAAAATATAATAAAAGGGAGCCCAGTGACTCTCTTCATTTTCAGATGCTGATACTGCAGTAATCTAGACTTGTCAAACATTATAGACTTGCATAGGCTGTATTTGATATATATTTGTATCAGGGTCTGTAAGACAGACTACCAGTCACCCATTCTTATCGTAAACGCCGACTAAAATGGCTGTTGGCATGGTGTGACCCAAATAACTTCGATAGCGTCCCATCAATGAAAAATATGCATCCACGCCATGGCCGTTTTAGATTTTAAATCTAGGATTGTGAAAATCCCAAACCTTTTATATTGTTCTTAATAGCTAAACATATTTTCGAGTGTTATACTATCTTGGCAAAGTCTAAGCTGTATGTACAACATTTCAATGAAAACGAATTCTTGACGTCTGGTGAGGGAGTAAGTCAAGTGCGGATTGAGTACATCAGTACATACGGTTATTTAATTGGGAAATGAATTGCCTGTAGACGTTTCAAAGTGCATCTGAGTTTCAACTCAAAGGTAATGACAAAAACATAATTTTAGACATCAATAAAATCTTCCAAATAATCTTACTACATCGAATAACACAGAAAGCTATGTAATGTAGCGCTGTGACGACAAATCTGTAGCCAAATTTACATAAACTCGCCAGGCTACACTTCATGAATAACTTTGCTCCACAACATTCGTATTAAAGTGGTTTAACGGTAATGTTTTGGAAGACATTTTGGACCAAGATAACAATTATTCTTGCAGTAGATTAGTTACCTTAACGTCTAATCTCCCATAACCTGCCATGGGAGGTATTTTATGTACCGTTATCTACAGGCCTACCTATGAAACAAACTGAGATATGTTCAAATAGAGAGAAATACCACAGTGAATGTTAGTTGTTATATTTGAACACCAAAAGACATAAAACTAAACTGAAAATCGATTTCTCATGCTAAAAGTTTTCACAAAACACCTGATCTTGATCCACATATCGACACTTTAGGAAAAAACATGAGGCGTAGGTACATTGACCTGGGGAAAACGACGGTGAGGACACAGGACAGGGGGTATTGTGAAGATAAATCACGTGGCAATTTATAGGAAACGAAAAGTGAAAAACGTTTTTCTTGCAAACAAAATACCGAGGCTACCAAATCGTATGTTTAATATTGTATACAAGCCTTCTTGTTTAATGCCTAATATAATCCGTATTTCTCACTAAATTCTTTTGTAGGTACTACTGTCGCTGCCCCAACGATTCCCGTTGGAACTCCAGGTTAGTTCACACTTCATCCGTCACCAGGGCGGTGGGGAAACCCAGATTAGTTCATACTTCATCCGTCACCAGGGCGGTGGGGAAATCCAGATTAGTTCATACTTCATCCGTCACCAAGGCGGTGGGAAAATCCATGTGAGTACACACTTCATCCGTCACAAGGGCAGTGGGGAAACCCAGGCTAGTTCACACTTCATCTGTCACCAGGGCGGTGGGGAAATCCATGTGAGTACACACTTCATCCGTCACAAGGGCGGTGGGGAAACCCAGGCTAGTTCACACTTCATGCGTCACAAGGGCGGGGGGGGGGGGGGGGGGGGGGGGGGGGGGGGGACCCAGGCTAGTTCACACTTCATCCGTCACAAGGGCGGTGGGGAAATCCAGGCTACTTCATCCGTCACCAGGGCGGGGGGAAACCCAGGCTACTTCATCCGTCACCAGGGCGGGGGGAAAATACAGGCTACTTCATCCGTCAAAAGGGCGGGGGGCAAACCCAGGCTACTTCATCCGTCACCAGGGCGGGGGGAAAATACAGGCTACTTCATCCGTCAAAAGGGCGGGGGGCAAACCCAGGCTACTTCATCCGTCACCAGGGCGGGGGGAAAATACAGGCTACTTCATCCGTCACCAGGGCGGGGGCAAACCCAGGCTACTTCATCCGTCACCAGGGCGGGGGGCAAACCCAGGCTACTTCATCCGTCACCAGGGCGGGGGGAAAATACAGGCTACTTCATCCGTCACCAGGGCGGGGGGAAAATACAGGCTACTTCATCCGTCAAAAGGGCGGGGGGCAAACCCAGGCTACTTCATCCGTCACCAGGGCGGTGGGGAAATCCAGGTTAGTTCACACTTCATCCGTCACCAAGGCCTTGTGGAAATCCATGTGGATACACACTTCATCAATCACCAGGATTGTGGTGGAAACCCAAGTGGGTACACACTTCATCCGTCACCGTAGCGATGGGGGAAACTTATATCTTGCTTGTCATACTAAAGTTTAGATTTGTGTATCGTGCTTCAGATTCTACTGTCGCTGCTACAACAATTCCAGTCGGGGACCCAAGTGAGTTCATTATTCAACGCACACAGTGGTATTTAGCTCATTCATGATTTTATTGATGATTTACCGTGTAATAGGGATGCTACTGATGAATTACCCTATGAACGGGGATACTAATGATGACATATCTTGCAATATGGATGCTATTGAATTACCGTGTAAATAGGGGTACTATTGATGAATTACCGTGTAATAGTGATACAGGTGATGAAATTCCTGCTATGATTAATTTTCTTGTAAAAGAGATGCTATTCATGAATTATCTTGCAATAGGGATACTATAATTAATGAATTACAGTGTAAAAGGGGTACTACTGACGAGATACCTTGAAATAGAGATACATGTACTATTGCTGAAGTACCGCGTAATAAGGATATTATTGATGAAATGCCCTGAAACATAAATACTTTTAATGAATAACCTTGTAATAGGGATGCATGTACTATTGATGAACTACCTTGTAAAAGGAAAACTGTTAATGAATTATCCCTGAAATAGGGGTACTATTCAATAATTACCTTGCAATAGGAATACTATTGATGAATTACCTTGAAATAGGGTTACTATTCAATAATTACCTTGCAATAGGATACTATAGATCGCTGTCTTTGTGTGCTGGCGATTAGGTGCCTCACTCTGGCAATGTGGGTTCGAATCCCGGATGGGACTCAACCCCAAAAAGTACTAGAATTTAAAGTCATGGATGGCTCTCAAGAAAAATGTGTCAGGCCATTCACTCGGGTAACATGCTATTTGACGAAAAGAAACGTTGAAATAGGGGTACTATTCAATAATTACCTTGCAATAGGAATACTATTGATGAATTACCTTGAAATAGGGGTACTATTCAATAATTACCTTGCAATAGGAATACTGTTGATGAATTACCTTCAAATATGGATACTATCTCCTTTTGTTACGAAACTGTTTCAACACGGAACTGTGAACGTATGTATATTTGAACTTGAATGAAGTCGGACATGTTCCAGTTCCACTGGCGATGACTCCCCTCCTTTTCCTTCTGTTGCCAGACTGCAAGGACAGCATCCCCAATTGCGACACATACGGCCATGCTTCCTGTACTGGGCCATACGAGTCGTGGGCTAAGACCCACTGCCAAGCCTTTTGTGGCTTCTGCATACGTGAGTGCAGTATTTCTCAAAGCTTGCGCCCGTAAAGATCCGGGTTAGAATAGGACTTCAGCAACCCATGCTCGCATAAGAGGCGACTATGCTTGTCGTAAGAGGCGACCAACGGGATCGGGTGGTGAGGCATAGTTGATGCGTGTAGGTGTCGTTGGCGCATGTCAGAACGGACGACAACCCTGTCTTGACGTAACGTTACACGTAAATCGCTCGGCACTTCTGTTGCCGTCATACCAGCTTCTGTCAGGCCCAATGCTCGATTACCGTCGTTTATGCCTAATCTGGGCATGGTGCATTCCTTGACATTCACATAACTGAAGGGGGTTTGCTGCTATGTTTCGCTTTCATGGATACCTTCAACAATCAATTGTCCATATTGTTCTTGGCACGTGCTCAGAAGACACGTCATGGCAAGTTTTTGTACTATGGATATGATACCTGTGAAGATGAGGGATAGAATAGGTCTTCAGCAACCCATGCTTGCTGCAAAAGGCGACTATGCTTGTAGTAAGAGGCGACTGACGGGTTCGGGTGGTCAGTCTAAGCCTGTATACGTTGGTATAAAGAATGCACTGCCTGTTGAGATGCCCATGTTTACATGAGCACAAAACTGAAACAATATATCGGCCTCCAATAATCCGATGCACATTGTAAAAGTAATCCACAGACATTTATTGATGAGGATTACCTGTGTTTTTATCGCCACTACACCTGTCTCTCACCTGCAGCCATCACCTCCCCCTTTGTGTGCGCCGACAAGGTGCGCTGTATTGAGTATGGCGCGGACCTCTGCTCCAACCCGGACTACGTCGGTTTCGTAGAGAAAAACTGTGTCAAGTACTGCCACATGTGCCCAGGTAATATACAGATATAAAGTTGAGTTTAACGCTGCTTTGAATATTTTCAATTACAACACTTTAAAACAATGTTTCTGCTTCTTGCTTCAGAGAAATAATGGTTCGTCAAAAGCAGTGAAGAAATATTCTATAATATTCTAGAAATATAACTTAAGTCCAAGGTTCATGTAATTCGAAACCGAAACATGGCGTTCGGTTTCGAGTTTGAACATCAAAGTTTAAAGATTGATTTTATTGACATGCTGTCGTGCATTGTAACAGCTGGTAACGACTTCGTAGAGCAAAACATGTTTGTACATACGGTCCTCAATACCATCGTCATTATGTTAATTTGTGTTGTGGGGCGGTCGGGTAGCCTAGTGATTAAAGCGTTCGAAGACCCGGGTTCGATTCCCGACATGGGTACAATGTGTGAAGCCCATTTCTGGTGTCCCCCGCCGTGATATTGCTGGAATATTGCTGAAAGCGGCGTAAAACCATACTCACTCACCCATGTGCTACAGGTGTGCGATGTTTGAACAGTGTTGGTATCGATTCAGAAAGACTTAGAACTAAGATATCAGCTGTTAACACAACTGATTCATCATAAAGAAAATAACTGGGGAACATATTTTAGACATAAATAGTTAACCAACATTAAACTATAACAAATGTTTGGTATAACACTTTCTTAGTAAAGTACATATTCTAGTACTTTTGGGGGTTGATTCCCATCCGGGATTCGAACCCACACTGCCAGAATGAGGCAAGTAAATGATCTAGGGTACCAGTTGTCGGACTTTCATTTTTGTTGAAGCCTCGGGGGCTGAGTGGGTTAGATCGCTGTCTTTGTGTGCTGGCGATTAGGTGCCTCACTCTGGCAATGTGGGTTCGAATCCCGGATGGGACTCAACCCCAAAAAGTACTAGAATTTAAAGTCATGGATGGCTCTCAAGAAAAATGTGTCAGGCCATTCACTCGGGTAACATGCTATTTGACGAAAAGAAACGTTTATGTGTCAGGCCATTCACTCGGGTAACATGCTATTTGACGAAAAGAAACGTTTATGTGTCAGGCCATTCACTCGGGTAACATGCTATTTGACGAAAAGAAACGTTTATGTGTCAGGCCATTCACTCGGGTAACATGCTATTTGACGAAAAGAAACGGTTTTTCTGATGAGGTTACAAGTGTCACCCGGTACTAATACACTCAAAGCGACTATAGATATGTTGTTTACGTTGACTTATAATATTTCGATATAATAATGTTTGCAGTTCATTTCATTATCATCTAGTCGAAACAGTAATTATGACATTTGCAACACATAATATCACTACGAATTACTACTAGAAAATGAGAACTGTGATGATATCAAAGTAGGTCGCTTTAACTCTACAAACACAGTTAACACAATCAAACCAGTGTCACCTGAGCATATGGTATTCATTTGCCCGTGGACCCGTAAAAATCTGGGGTAGAATATGTCTTCAGCAACCCATGCTTGTCGTAAAAGGCGACTATGATTGTCGTAAGAGGCGAATAACGGGATCGGGTGGTCAGGCTCGCTGGCTTGGTTGATGCATGTCATCGTATCCCAATTACGTGGATCGATGCTCATGGTGTCAATCACTGGATTGTCTGGTCCAGACTCGATTACTTACAGACCGCCGTCATATAGCTGGAATATTGCTGAGTGCTTCGATCAAAGGTTAATAGTGGTCGATAGCACTATAAACGGTTAGAATTAAACAACCTCTAAATATGAATTGTTACAGTTGAGTGTTCGTGAGGTGGTGGTGAGGTGAAATTGGGTTTAACGTCGCGTCCAAGATTATTGCACTTATATAGCGACGTGCATGTACGTGTGTGTGTGGCTGCTTGTACTAGTCCGGACTGATGCCGATTTATAGTGCTAGCTCACTGAGATACCATACCATACCATACATGAATACCTCACTCAGACACAGTATACTGACTCCGAGCCGACCAGTCCTTGTTTTAGCCCCTTAATGCCGAGCGCCAGACAGGGTAACAACAAGTACCATATTTTAAAGTCTTTTGTTATGACGCGGCCGGGGATCGAACCTGAGTGTTCGTACAGATAAATGAATAACATTAAAGAACAGTATACGTGATTATTGTATCATGTGGAGATGGGAATAGTGAGTTATTTATATTATTACGAAATTAAGGCGTTAATTCAACTGCCATGTCCAAAACAATGCGAATATGAACATACCGAAATCAGTCGCAATCATGACATCCAGAATATATCCCTTTCAAAAGTTGAGTAGTGTCATCTGCTTCATCCAGTTCGCATCCCGTGTTGCAGGTGATGTTACCACGACGCCCATTCCAAAAACAGGTGAGCAATATTGGACTTCGGCACTCAACCAAGTCAACTCAGTATATAAAGAGGTTGAATATATCGAATATATCGATATAATACGCCAGAGCCTCGATTATCCGCCGTATGAGCGTAAACGGCAAAATAACGGTAAAAAGTATATGAATTGATCACTGAAAATCAGTGATGATACCAGGTGTTCGCGAAACGAACACCTGAGCAGTGGAAACTTACGTTATTGCTCATGGAGAACTTCAGAGATAACGAATACTAAGACCATGTATCCTACAGGGTTGTATTGTTCTTGTTTTCTGGTGTTCACTTAAATGTAAATTATCGTTATATCATCTTCCCCGAAGCAAGGGAGTTAAATGACTATAAAAATCTTGTTTCCAGCCTTGCCGAACTAGGATGGAATTTCTAGGCTCGATCGTCGCGCCACCAGTGGATATTACGAGTTATGCCCCTTCTATGCCCCTCCTATTGACCAATAAGATTCCATCTCTCATATCACTTGAATTTGCTTCAAACAAAATGGCGACGCCCAGTCAAGACGATCTGATCGAAAATCACAATCTATAATGTAATAAAACGGGTTTTACCCCGTGAAATGCATCAAATCACTTGAGCACCTTGATTATAAGATTTGCCAAATACCTGTCGACACCCAGTTGACGGTACACATGCTTTGCAAATCCTGCAGTCTGCACGTTGAAATCCATATTGTTTACAAACCGGATGTCTAGTTCGTTACGCGATTTTGATTGGACTATGCATAGTCCCGTTAGTCCAGTTAACTCCCTTGCTTCGGGAAGATGTCGTTTTATGTGTTCCTGTGAACATTCTTTTGAGAAAGTTTTATTAATTACTCAAAAATGATGTATCGCGAAACACGTGATCACGATACTATACGCTATTTGTCATATTTCCCGAGGTAGGTGTCTGAAGCAGTGCATATCGTCCATGAGACACGGTACTGTAGGGATATATCGTTATCGTATCGTATGGCGAGTCAAGGTATCTTCATGCATGTACACATCTCTCCTCGCAGGGTGTTTCGATGACTTCGAGCGGTGTGACGAGTTCGGCAAGGGTACCTGTACTGGCTACCCCAACTGGTCTAAACTCTTCTGCTCCAAATACTGCGGCTTCTGCAAGTCGACGGGCGAGACTGGTGGTTGGTTGATATAATTCATCAGTAGGAGCTGAAGTACTTCTTTGTTTAATACTAATACATGCACTGAGGTGTAGTGAAGTGTAAAATGTATGTACTCCTTAAAAGTTCTCATTCACTACAGGGGCGGTCGGGTAGCCTAATGGTTGAAGCGTTCGCTCGGCACGCCGAGACCCGCGTTCGATTCCCGACATGGGTATAATGTGTGAAGCCCGTTTCTGGTGTCCCCCGCCGTGATATTGCTGGAATATTGCTGAAAGCGGCGTAAAACCATACTCACTCACCCATGTGCTACAGGTGTGCGATGTTTGAACAGTGTTGGTATCGATTCAGAAAGACTTAGAACTAAGATATCAGCTGTTAACACAATTGATTCATCATGAAGAAAATAACTGGGGAACATATTTTAGACATAAATAGTTAACCAGCATTAAACTATAACAAATGTTTGGGATAACACTTTCTTAGTAAAGTACATATTCTAGTACTTTTGGGGGTTGATTCCCATCCGGGATTCGAACCCACACTGCCAGAATGAGGCAAGTAAATGATCTAGGGTACCAGTTGTCGGACTTTCATTTTTGTTGAAGCCTCGGGGGCTGAGTGGGTTAGATCGCTGTCTTTGTGTGCTGGCGATTAGGTGCCTCACTCTGGCAATGTGGGTTCGAATCCCGGATGGGACTTAACCCCCAAAAGTACTAGAATCTGTACTTTACTAACAAAGTGTTATTCCAAATGTAACAATTGTTACATTTGACCGCTTTCTAAATGGTAGTGTGTTCATAACATGAAACTAAATATCCTCTCTGGTTGAGCAAATAGTCTAAATTTTTTAAAAAGAGGTAATCGTCATACGTATCATACGTAACAGAGTGATGTAATAATGTGGTAATGTTTACTTCAGGTGTGACCGACGCAGTGTCTACAACACCTGCTTCCACTACAGTTCAAGGTATCGGTTGACCACGTACTGGTTTTTCTCCCTTGTTTATGGAGTGAGTGAGTGAGTGAGAGGGTATTTGGTTTTAACGCCGTTTTGGAACGTCAGCCAAGGTGACGCAAGTCACAGACGTTTAAATGTACTTTACGGGTAAACTGCACATTCATTGTTCCTGTTTCTTTAAAGCGAAAACCATACATAGCTAACATTTGTTTTTTAAGTAAACATATAATCCTGGGACTCCTTTCTTACATAACTTGTCGTGTAGATATGCTGCACAGCTAAAGATGGTTATCCCGACCATTGCATAATACATAATAAACTGATTACTTAAAATAAGTATAATATATAAATTGTGCCAATTATACACCTATCCCAATTCAATTTCGATTTTGATCTTCCTTTTTATGTGACATAAAAACAATTATTGGTCACTGTCATTTTGATAAATTTCAATATCATGGCAACATATATTATGCCTGTTTCTGTCCGATCCTGTACACTAATCTCGGCAAAACACGCTCCTTACAGCGAAACGGTGTCGCGTAACGTTTAATAACATTAACGTTAGATGCACGTGCTGCAGAAAACCCAAACAGAATTGTCATCTGGGCAATTTGGCGATAAACAAACGCTTCATATCTCAATCTCAATTGTTTTCAAATTGTGGTAAATGATAAACATTGCGGTACGATAAATTGGGGAAATACGGTTTGATGTAAGTACCTTCTCAGTGGCCGTATATCCCTCTCTGGTCGACGCGGGGCGCACGGTACATCTTACCGTATTCCCCTTGTGCTAAGCCTACATCTTGAGGTCTATTTATGCTATGGGTGTTAGTTGTGTCGTGCATCACATAATCGGGATTGTATTAAAAACAAATATGATGCTTAATATTAATTATTGTCAGATAACAGGTGCGTTCTCTTTCCTGCCAGATCTTGATTGTTTTGACCGGAGAGACTGTTCTGCATACGACATCAAGACATCGTGTTGTGGGTCGTACGAGGCTTTCTCCAGATACAACTGTGCCAGACACTGCCGATTTTGTGGTAATGCATCCCTGAACTTTCCCATCTGCTACACCAGTAGCATATATAATTAGCACAATCATACACCGTACAACTGTGTCAAACACTGTGATAATACATTACTGTACATCTAGATTTGTTATACTTGTAATATATATAGTCAGCACAATCTTTAGAAAAACTTAATTCACAATAGCATCACAGAACATTTTATACGGTTACCTCTAGACGGCCTCCCTTACATGTTAGAAATATCGTTAAGGTTAGTTTGTAGCTAGACAGCTAGAACCACGTTTTAACACAGGGTATGTACTCATTCAAAACAGTGACACATGGTTACGTGTGTTTCAGCAGAAACCTTGATCTCTATATTCAGTCAGCAGTGGACTACACTATTAGTTTCTATACTGGACCAAAATTAAAGGTTGCTCAAATAGAAAACACTTCTGAAGGACTTCGCTACTTTTTTAGCCCTGAATCCAAAATAATACTGACAATAAATATTCTGTTTTCCATGCCATTATATGTTTTGTGATATCAGCCCCAAAGGTTACCCCCGCCCCCCTTTGCACCGACACTGACCCCATCTGCAGCAGCTACAACGCCGACCTGTGCAACAACTCCAAGTACGACAGCTTCGCCCGTGAACACTGCGCTGGATATTGCAAGATCTGCGACCGTGAGTAATTTAGGAATGCCTACTCTGGAGGTGCCACGGGTTTGTTAAATAATGGTAGTCCAGATCCAACTCCATATAAGAAAGTGAACAAGGCAACATTATCATTTGTTCTTCATAATCTCCTCGTCCTTCCTTCTCCCAAATCTTTTCTTTGGTGAGTGAGTTGCAATGTAACGTCGCTTCGTCATTATTTCAGCCACGTAGCGACGAAAACAAGCTGATAATTATATATTTACAAGTGAGTCATATATACAAAGTTTTATTTAGAAACAGATTTGTCAAACATATTTGGAAACAATATTATTTACACAGTTTAAAACACGGGCTAGAGAACATACTTCTTCCGGTGTGCTAACCTTGACTAAAGATATCGAAAAGGGGCATAGGGTTATTATTAACTACCTCCGAAAGCGAGAGAGAGAGAATGAGAGAGAGAGAGACAGACAGAGAGAGACAGACAGACAGAGGAAGAGAGAGAGAAAGAGTGAGAGAAAGGAGAGAGAGAGAAAGAGTGAGGAAGAGAGAGCTAGAGAGAGATAAACACAGAGATGAAGAGAGAAGGGAGAGAAAGGGAGTGTGAAAGAGAAAGCGAGAGAGACAGAGAGACAGAGAGACAGAGAGAAAGCGAGAGAGACAGAGAGACAGAGAGAAAGCGAGAGAGACAGAGAGACAGAGAGAAAGCGAGAGAGACAGAGAGACAGAGAGACAGAGAGAAAGCGAGAGAGACAGAGAGAAAGCGAGAGAGACAGAGAGACAGAGAGACAGAGAGAAAGCGAGAGAGACAGAGAGACAGAGAGACAGAGAGAAAGCGAGAGAGACAGAGAGACAGAGAGACAGAGAGAAAGCGAGAGAGACAGAGAGACAGAGAGAAAGCGAGAGAGACAGAGAGACAGAGAGAAAGCGAGAGAGACAGAGAGAAAGCGAGAGAGACAGAGAGAAAGCGAGAGAGACAGAGAGACAGAGAGACAGAGAGGAAGCGAGAGAGACAGAGAGACAGAGAGAAAGCGAGAGAGACAGAGAGACAGAGAGAAAGCGAGAGAGACAGAGAGACAGAGAGAGGGTAGAGGGTGCACGCGACGCTTTCACTACACTGCCCCGCCGCTCCGAATCCCTATCCTGATATCATACACTTGTTATTGAAATGTAATTGCATACATGTGGATTGAATAAATAAAATATGTGCATACAACGTAAGCTCCAGTCTACTATTTGCAGGCCCAGTGTACCTTCCCGAATGCGCCAGAGGAAACACAACCACCACAGGCTCTGTGACAGGTAAGTGATTTACTCCAAGTATTACCTTATATCTTACCATCAGTGTATAGTTCCGCCATCGCGGGAATACGAATACATAATTTACGAAGCTACGTAAAAGTAAATATGGTCATGTAAACTGCCGATCAAAACAAGTATACACTTGAATTAGAATCACCAAACAATTACAAACATTATCAAAACTGAAAACAGTCGCCGAAACGCTGCACTATGAGTGAGTGAGTTGGGTTTAACGCCGCTTTTAACAGTATTCAAGTTATATCGCGGCGTGTCAGCTTAATGTGGGAGGAAAGCCCGAAGTGATGCAGGTCTCCGACGTTTACCACTTCGGTGAAACCCACGAGCACGGGTATGGTGCTCACAAACCTAGAAACAAAATCGGGGCGAACCGGGATTCGAACCCACAATCATAGGTTTCTGGCGTGCCCAAAGACGCAACTCTGCACAGCGAATTGTGGCGCCTTAGACGACTGGGCCACCCGTGCCCCCTCGCTGCACTATGATACCCGAATGGAATACATAACCATCGAATAACTGTTTCGTGTTTGTTTCATTTTTACCCACCATCAAACGTGTGTGTTCTTTCTTTTGCCGACAGTTTAAGTAAAAGTTTTGTTTGTTTGTTGTTTAACGCCGCACTCAGCAATATTCCAGCTATATGACGGCGGTCTGTATGTGATCGAGTCTGGACTAGACAATCCAGTGATAGACATCATGAGCATCGATCTCCGCAATCGGGGTCGATGACATACACCAACCAAATCAGCAAGACTGACCACTCGATTCCGTTAGTCGCCTTTTAAATATGTGCATGTCTTATGCGCTTCTATAAGAACGTTAGTAGATCTCCAGCAAGCGCTCACAAATCATAACAATCTGACAATGGCCTGTGCAGACACAATTCACCAGGGGAGGACCTACTTTCACCCAATATCATTTCTACATTCGTGACCAACTCGTGTTATTCCGGGACAAGCCAAATAGCGACTCGTGACCCGCTCATGGCCATTTTTGCGACCGGGTTCCGTCTTAGCGCAAAGGGGCATACCTAAAACAACTGTCAACTCGTTGCGTAATGGTTCACATATATTTCCCCATATATTATATATATTTTAGATGCAATTTAAAGCATATCTGGACATGCGGGATTATACAGTATGATTGAACACATTTAACTGTGTTTTGGGTACATTTTTAGATGCAAGACATATGTAAAATCAAAAATTATTTCGCGCATTCTGATTGGTTTGTCGTATTTTCGCAAATAACATTCATCGATAGGGGGACGAGTCTTCTTGCAGGTTACGGAAAGGGGCGAGTGGTGACGAATGATCATTTCTAATCAGAACGGCGGAATAATACATTTCATACAATTTACGTTTATGGCGACGTGTAGATTTATACAAACAAATGAAAGTAGTCCCAAATGATATCAATGTTGATCAACAATCAACTGTCTTCTAGGCACCAAACAAAATTGAGAGCAAATTTATATCTCCAACCGAACGCACAATAAAGTATCCAACTGTGTGTATTTCATTTTGAAACAAATACATGATGTTATACGGTGTACAGCCACACACGTCACATACTGATGCACGTCACTGACTTACTTCACCTGTCCTTGTATGGCAGTTTCCGGTCAAACGGGGCCACCAACGTCCCCACAGTCTACCCCCACGACGACCCCGGCGCCGGGAACGAGTACGTATACAACCTTGTAACCTTGACCGTTGTTTTCTGGTGACGCGCGTCTCGAAGTGGGAGATCAGTGCGCACTGCTTCCGTTCTGAGCATATTCTATTTCATAGATCAGATGTTCTAGCGTGTTTGACCACGCGGAGTTGACATAAGAAGGATGTTCAGTTCTCCCTGCGTATAATACCCATGGCTATAATGCCAAACTGGTTTTAATGCCACGTTTTTTCTCAGAAAAGACTTCCACAGTTCGAATTTCCATTGTTATAATTTCACCATGGTAATAACGCAAATGCCAAGGGTTTATTTTAAAAAACGTTCAAGTTCCCTGGTTATAATGCTACTTGTTTGTTTTTGTAATTTCGACAAAATATTGGCAGTGTAGTTATATACTCAACAGAAGTTAAAAAACACCCGATTCTACATATATAACTATATTTAACTTCTTTGGAGTATGTAAAAGTCACCTGTGTACTATTGTCCTATTGCTACTTTTGTTGTATGCACCAGGATGCACTCAAGACGAGAAGTACTATAGTCAGGGGGAGAGTTGGTACACCGCAGACTGCTACAAGAGCTGCACCTGCCACGACCCCACCACCAACGACATACGCTGTGGACCCCTCAGGTAAGAGAGAGATTGACAGGGTCGATGGAACGGGGGGACTCTTCTTCTACATTCGTCATGCGTTCGGAAGACAAGTTAAGTGGGCCTCTTATGTAATATTCTTCCAAGTGAGTGAGTATGATTTTACGCCGCTTTTAGCAATATTCCAGCAATATCACAGCAGTTGACACCAGAAATGGACTTCACACGTTGTACCCATGTGAGGAATTGAACCTGGGTCTTCGAACGATTTAATCACGAGGCTACCCCGCCGCCCCAATAAAATAAAGACGCTTAATGGAATCAAAGGCACTCTTTTACGCCCAGATTTTCTTTCGTCCAGAAAAAAGAGCGTTCAATGGCGTCGTTGTATTATATCTTTTGGAAAGAGTTTGGTATGTTTAAAGTTTTCAAACATGTAATGTTGACCGGTAACTCACTGCATAGGGCACGGTTGGCCCATTGGCCAAAGGCATATCATTTCATTGTGAAGTGTTGAGTATCAGGATCCGCTGATCGTGGAAACCCATGGGTTTCACCAAAATGGTTAAAAAGTCTGAGACCTGCTCCCACATCAAGCCGACACGCAGTGACATAACTGAAATACTAAAAATATACGCAAAACCAAACTCACATACTCGCTTAATGCATGTAATATGATAGAAAGTACTAAATCAAAGGCTAGAAACGGCTTCCATTGAGCTCTGTGTCTGGAAAATCGACTTATCTAACAGGCCTGAAGGTTCGCCTATGCTAAGTGAAAGCCACCGTGGTCCGGTGGTAGAGCGTCTGCACGGAGCGCGGAAGGGTGGTGGTAACATCCCCGGCCGCGTCATACCAAAACATGTTAAAAAATGGTACTTGTTGTTTCCCTGCCTGGCGTTCAATATTAAGGGGATAAAACAAGGACTGACCCGGGTCAGTGTATTGTGTCTGAGTTAGGTATCAATGTTAACCTGCTGCATGGTATCTCAGTGGGCTAGCACAATAAACCAGGATTAGTCCCAACACAACATAACGCAACGCAACGCAACGCAACGCAGACACACACACACACACACACACACACACACACACACACACACACTGATGCACATCATGCACGTCGCTAAATGAGTTCAATAACGTTAAACTCGACGTTAAACCCAATTTCATCCCATTTAATGTGTAGCTTGTATGTGACATTTTGCATACTGTTTTGCAGGTGCCCGAAGTGGGAGTCGAACTGCGAGGTGGTGCTGGTGCCAGGAGCCTGCTGTCCTATACTCAAGTGTAACTACTTCAACACAATACACGGAGAGAGAACCCAAGAAGGCCAAACTTTGATAGGGAAATAGCGTGTATATGGTACCAGTAATAAACTGATTCATTGTATCACTGCTACATGTTGTCTATGGCCAATACGTACAATCGTACTGGTACTAACGCTATGTGAGACGTCCAGTTTAAGTGTAATAAACTAATGCGGTATATCACCATTCTTCCACCACTTCGGGATTTCCTCCCACATTAATCTGCCACGCCGTGAGATAAATGAGTGAGTGGGTATGGTTTGACTCCGCTTTTAGCAATATTACGGCAGGGGACACAAGATATGGGCTTCACGCATATTCATGTTGGGAATCGAACCCGGGTCGTCGGCGTGACGAGCGAACGCTTTAACCACTGGGCTACCCGACCGCCCCTGTTATGACTGAAGTACTGTTCAAAGCGGCTTAAAACAAAACTCACTCATACATTTGTCCACTATGACAAGGTGACCTAGCGCTCTTAAGCTCTGCATGTCTCTTGACCGAGTTGCGTCCCCAGGCCGTGCCAGGATACGGTGATCGTACTCGCCCTGATTATGACCTTGCGATATATCTAAAATACTGTTCAATACGGGGTTACATCCAACTCATGGACCAGTGACCATTCCTTTGGCATTCTCATTTACCTAAGGCAAATACAACCAATATCCCGTCATGCAGTGGTAGGTAGCAGTTACAATACTTGGCACCCCTTTCCTATTACAGCCACACCGTTTTGTCCAATAGTGGTAATTTATATAATTCGACTTGAAAAAAATTATGTTATAGTTATTTCAAGGATTGACCAGAATTTATTTTTAAAGGATTGGCATTTAGCACTTAGATATGCGATAAAACTTCTCTCCGACATAGAACTCTTCCGTGAAGGGCTAGAGATAACAAGAACAGGTAAGTGAATTTATACCTGTCTCGCCTCAGCCAACTCTACGTCCGAAGTGAAATATTATCTTATCTCTTGAAAAATATAACGCAAGTACAAAACGCTGACATATATGTCTTATGCATCAGATTTTAGACGGGTGAAACGAACAATATTAAAATATTAAATCCGCATGTATTCATTCATAATTGGGTATACTCATCTTAAAGATTTCGATTCGTTGATAAAACCTTTAAATAAAAGCGACAAGCAATCTCAGCTGAACGTTTAGTCGATTGTACGATACCGACTACATCATGTGTTTATGAATCACTATTAAATAGCGATGACACCCGGTGTTCGCAAAAGTTGAGCGTATCCTTCCACACCTGTGGCACCCGTCACAGACACATGCAAAGGCAAGTCAAATGTTGACCTGAACAAACACGGGGACATGGTACGTGGCAAAATAAGGAACTGCATCGGACAACATTTTGTCACTGATGCGTCAAATTTGGAAATGACCTCTACATGTCTACCATAGAACTTTTTGCAAGCTTCACTGAGACATTTATGTCCCCAGCAGTTGCACCAAGGTCGGCAATCACAAACCCAGGTTTAATATTAGGTTTTCAGAGGTAAATGTACTAAAGATGTATACAATATGAAACATTTCTGTAACCCAGTGTTAATGGCACGAAATACCAACGACAATAGAATAGGGTTTAGCCGATAGAGGTAGAAACTGGTTCAAGTACACAGTGCATTTGCTATGCCAGTACACACTTTTAAGACGATTTGTGCTGTGACAACAATACAATTGAGTACGATCAAATGTTTATTATATACAAGACTTGGCATAAGATTCGGGGGCTGACTCGGTGTTGGAAAGGTAACTTACGCTGCGGGTAAGTAGTATAGAAAGGCAGCCCTGCGGGTTGCATAAGTAAATTTGAAATATATATGAAAATGATTTAGAACCCTGCGGGTAGATCTAAAAAGGTAAAATGAAAATATGTAGAAAGGGTGATACCCTGCGGGTATGAGTGAAAATGAGAATAGTTTGGGGACCGCAAGCCATATAATGATAGTTTACAGAATGATTGACTTGCAAAGCCCAAAACGAAGTAAAAAACCGAGAGCCCCCAAAGTCACAGACACATGCAAAGGCAAGTCAAATGTTTACCTAAACAAACACGGGGACATGGTACGTGGCAAAATAAGGAACTGCATCGGACAACATTTTTGTCACTGATGAATCAAATTTGAAAATGCCCTCTACATGTCTACCATAAAACATTTTGAAAACCTTACTGAGACATTCATGTCCCCAGCAGTTGCACCTAGGACGGCAATCCCAAACCCAAGTTTAATATTAGGCTTTCAGAGGTAACTGTATTAAATATATACACAATATGAAAATTTCTGTAACCGAGTTCTAATGGCACGAAATACCAACGACAATAGAATAGGGTTTGGCCGATAGAGGTAGAAACTGGTTCAAGTACACGGTGCATCTGCTATGCCAGAACACACTTCTAAGACGACATACAGACATGGCTAGGTAGTTATAGGCGTTATCTTTCGCCTACAGCAGGGAAATCGCTACATTGTGGAAGAGCACTCAAATAACATGGGTCCTGTAGTCGCTATCCTGGGCTTTATTGCCATCTCTGGTGAGTCCTAATTCATATTTTACGTTGATAATATAGCACCCATATGTTATATTACAGCTGTGACTATAATTATTAATGATAATGTTGCTTATTGTGCGTGCAGTCAACCACCCAACAGTTGCATGTGATAATAACACTGCTTCTGTATAAACTGCCAGTCAAAGAAAGTATCAACTTGAAAATTGTTTTACCAACAATTTAAGTTATCAAAACGTTACTAGGCTGAAAACAGTCCTCGAATTACTGCAAACTTAAGGTCCAAAACGTGGGCGGATACAGCTTTTTTTAATAGGGGGGGTGCACAATTAAGATCTATTTATTTTCTTTGGTGGTAATTTATACAGAAATGAAGATTTTTTTTCGAAATAAAAAGGGGGGATGCGCACCCCCGCACCCCCCTCTGTATCCGCCCATGCAAAATACAACTAAGATACCCGTATCAATTACATCACCATCGAATAACATTCCTTGCTTATTTCAATTTTAACCAGTCAAAGAGGGGGGTGTAAATTCTCTCGCCGGACAGTTTATAATATTCCAATCTTTTTGTTTACAAAACAATTGAAGTCAATTACACACAATTATGTTTCAGGCTCTCTGATCTGGGCAGCACCAACCCCACACGGTATGTTTAAGGTGTGATAGCTCATGCTCTTGCATCTTATCAAAATATAAGCGACAAAACGCTTTCCATATTCATAAGAAATCTCTTCCCAAAACAGAGTAGACTGTACGATTCCGACTATATTATGTTCATGTGTTTATGGGGGGGGGCACGGGTGGCCCATTCGTCTCCGCGATTCGCTGTGCAGAGTTGCGTCCCTTTGGCACGATAGAACCTATGATTGTGGGTTCGAATCCCGGTTCGCCCCGATTATGTTTCTAGGTTTGTCAGCACCATACCCGTGCTCGTGGGTTTCACCGAAGTGGTAAACGTCTGAGACCTGCATCACTTCGGGCTTTCCTCCCACATTAAGCTGACACACCGCGATATAACTGGAATACTGTTAAAAGCGGCGTTAAACCCAACTCACTCACTCATGTGTTAATGAATCACTATCAAATAGTGATGATTCAAAGTCTTCGCGAAAGGTGAGGGTATCCTGTCTCACCGCTGGCACCCATCGCAAACACATGCAAAGGCAAGTCAATTGTTCTCCTGAAAAAAAACACGGGAACACTGGTGCAACTCAAAATAGGCAATTGCTTCGGACATCATTCTTGTCACTGATACGTCAAATTTGGAAATGTCTTCTATATGTCTACCATAAAACGTTTTGAAAGCTTTACTGCCGCCTCGAACGTTGTAACCTTGATCAAATAAGTCTTGAGCAAGGGTTGTATGACGCTTTTTGAAATCTTAGTAGAAAGACCATGTTCATCCCAACTAGACAACACATACTACAAATTTGCTAGTTTCTATATTGTTTAAATCTTTGTTTCTATGTATTTTTATACAATTTGTTTCTATTTGAAAAGCCTGCATGTGAAATTGTATTTATCATTGGGAATATCTGAATGCTTAATAATAATATCTTTTTAATATGTAAATTATGAAAAAACCCACTATAAAATAATGTTTCGATATTTGTCACAATGAATTCATATGTCACCGTTGTAACTAAACACCTTACTCTTGAAAATATCAATACCAAACGTTGAGACAGTCCCTATCATCAGGGGAGGTAATCCGGGTTCGGTTTGTGACGTGACACGTCGATCTTTGACATAACCAGAGTTGTTGGTATTAACAACACAAGTGATGAAGTTGTATTGTCTTTCCAGATGACCAATGTTTTGACCGAAAGGATTGTTCAGCCTACGACATCAAGAAATCGTGTTGTGGGTCGTACGAGGCTTTCTCCAGATACAACTGTGCCAGACACTGCCGATTTTGTGGTAATACATCCCTTTAGTTCTGGGTCTGTCACACAAGTAGCATATATAATTAGCACAATCTTCGGATTTCATAAGCAGTACACCATACAAATGTGTCATACTACAATTCGTCTCGTATCTGTACAAACTAAAGCTTCTTTTATATATATATATATAGGTATTTAGGTATCTGAATTTGATAAACTGTGTAATTGTAAATATGTTATGCCTTTTTCCTATTGTGGTAACCGCGTGAAATTATATCTATTATCATTGTAATCTTCGAAATGAATGAATCTCATAGTCATACGCTGTCGTGAAGGTAGAACTAACGTGCGTTTGCAGATCCTACAGTGACCGTTGCACCGCTATGTACGGACACCATTGACAACTGCAAGCAGTATAACTCTGACCTCTGTGATAACCCCACGTACGCCGGCTTTGTGCAAAGTAATTGTGCAGGCTTCTGCAAAGTGTGCGAAAGTAAGTATTCCTCTTACGTTTGTCTGTTTGTTGGTATCGCCGCACTCAGCAATATTCCAGCTATATGACGGCGGTCTGTAAATAATCGAGTCTGGACCAGACAATCCAGTCATTGACATCATGTCAGCATCGATCCACGCAATTGGGAAACGATGACATGCATCAGCCAAGTCAGCGAGCCTGACTACCAGATCCCGTTAGTCGCCTCTTACGACAAGCATAGTCGCCTTTTACGACAAGCACGGGTTGCTGAAGACCTATTCTACCCCGGAGTCTCACCGGTCTATTCCTCTAACAAGTTCTCATAAATCTGATGTAACTTTTGAGAACAGACAAAAGTCAGAAAGGCCAAAAGAAGGTTTACACCCATGATGGTTGCTAAAATGAAACTAACAAGGAATGCTTGTTTGATGGTGTGTATTTGATACGGGTTTCATATATAGTTGTGTTTGGGCCTTATGTTTTCATTGTTTCGGCGACTGTTTTCAGCCAAGTAACCTTTTGGTAATTTTGGTGATTTTGGGGTCAAATCCAATTTTCAATCTGTGACAGTGTTAAGGTTGACACATTAACCGAGGGAAATCCTTTATTTAAAAATTTGTTAGGTTCGTATGGCCTGACGGACGTGCTGGTTTGTTTCCCGTAGCTGGACACTGACCATTTGAAATGTTTTGTGAAAAAACAATCCGGCCTACAAACAAAATACTATGTGTTTTGAAGTAGTGACCGAACAAAGAGCCTGTATCTGACAAAACTCACAGCCCTTCCCTATCCCCGTACATGAAATGTCGGGTCCCTTAGGTGTCTGTTCGCATCTTATCAAATGACAGAACATTACAGAGTATTTACATAACTGAATCCTAGTTTTGAGTGTGTGTGTGTGTGTGTGTGTGTGTGTGTGTGTGTGTGTGTGTGTGTGTGTGTGTGTGTGTGTGTGTGTGTGTGTGGCTGCTTGTACTTGTGTACTAGTCCGGACTGATGCCGATTTTATAGTGTTAGCACACTGAGATATCATGACCCAAGTCATATCCACTCAGACACAGCATACGGACTCCGAGTCGAACAGTCCTTGTTTTAGCCCCTGAAAGCCGAGAGTAACAGAGGAACACCAAATACCATCTTTTAGCGTCTTTTGGTATGACGCGGCTGGGCATCGAACCCCGGACCTCCCGCTCTCCGGGCGGAGACTCTACCACTAGACCACGGAGGCTGCTCAACATGTATTAAAGGGCAATTTCCCAAGATCCGTGAGTCGGGTAATATTTGGGATTTTACTTGGAACGGGACAGATTGAAGAACATTCTCTCACTGTTTCATGGTTTCACGTGGTCCTGTGGACAGAATACAGGTCACAAATGAGGCGAGGTTAAGCAACGTTGGTGGCGGAGAGTAGGTTGATGGGTTACCCTGTTCGGCAGCTCGACTCAAGTGGAGTTTCTCGAGCCTCGGTCCCGACCCTCACTGAATTATATGTTACATATGGTGTCTCCTTAGGAAAGTGACTTTGTTGATATGTGCCTCTGTTCATCCAGTAGTGAATGTTAACTGACAGACAGCTTGGGGTGTATACTCCCCGGGGAGGTGAGAATGAAAATCCAGTGCACTCTGATCCATTGACCGGGGTAACTATTGAGCACTCTGAGCTTGCTTTAAGGTGCAGATTTCGCGTATTATGTATATGTACATTGTTGTTGTTGTTGTTATTATTGTCCTACCATTAACACCACTGTATCGTCTAATCGCTCGTGTCTTCCAACAGGACCCGTCTACTACCCTGATTGCGCACGTGGATCTTCAAATGGGTCGACCACAGCCCATCCAGGTCAGTCAAATGATGGAGTGAGTGAGGGAGTTAGGTTTTACGCCGCTTTGAACAGCGTGTCACTTATATCACGACGTGTCAGTTTAACGTGGGAGGAAAGCCCAAAGTGATGCAGATGAAATCAAGAATTATACTGGGATGAGAACCCACATTCAGTGGATCCTACATCACAGCCTAACGCCATAGACAGCTGGATCATTCGTGCTCTCTAACAATAGATATATTATACCTTAACGTGCTTATATATGTATAAAACAAATTATAATAATTATACATGTTGCTGGTTCTTTCAGTGAGCAAAACAAAATCCTAAATCGCCAGCTGTATAAAATTTACCTAAATTAAAGCGTATGGGTAATATAACTATCTGTTTCTATCACCGTATTTAAATAAGGGTAGACTTTTGTCTTTAATCCGATCGTGTACTGGATAGTTCTGTACTTTGTGTGACGTCGGCGCCATATTTGAGTGCTTGAGCTTAACTGAACGCCACTTAGCACAGGATTGCAGTGATATGAGGGAATGTTCGCTTATGACGTCGGTCTGTTAATAATCGAGTCTGGATCAGACAATCCAGTGATTGACATCATGAGCATCGATCCACACTGGGGTATGATGACATGCATCAATAGTCTGCGAGCCTGACCACCCGATCCCGTTATTCACCTCTTACAACATAAAACAATATATTCAAAGCCTTGCACGTCATGTATGATGAGTGAGTGAGTTGGTTTCAACGCCGCTTTTAACAGTATTCCAGTTATATCATGGTATTGCTTAATGGGGGAGGATACCCGAAGTGATTCAGTTCTCAGACGTTTACCACTATGGTGAAACCCACGAGCACGGGTATGGTGGTGACAAACCTAGAAACATAATCAGGGCGAACCGGGATTCGAACCCACGATCATAAGTTTCTGGCGTGCCAAAGGGACTCAACTCAGCCTAGCGAATCGCGGCGCCTTAGAAGACGGGGCCACTGGTACCCCCTCGTGTGATGATGAACAAAGCATCCTAAGAGGTCGTAATCTGAACCAACGTTAAGCAGATCCTGACGCAACTCTTGCTGGAGACCAAGATGATAATATTCAACTGTCCTGTGTTGACTATTATTCGGAACAATCATAGACAACTGTTTTTCAGCACAACATAATTCGATACCTAAAGATATCAAATCATACTTAGAGATTGTACAACTCGCATCTTGCATAACCAGTAGTTTGTCCTCTGGATCTTTTGAACTCTGGTACAAGAAACTCTTTGTCTTTGTGAACATGATGTTTACAGTAATTTACTTACCCACACATACATAAAGCACGCTGAAATCAGCGTCATAACCACATTTTTTAATCTTGCAGGTCTCATGACACCCAAGGCAACACCACAAACTACCCCCTCTACAACACCGGCGCCTACAACGCAGCCCCAAGACAGTAAGTAACATCTACATGGTATGATTCATACAGTCAACGACATGAATGTTCAAAAAATGTTTTGTTTGTTTGTTGTTTAACGCCACACTCAGCAGTATTCCAGCTATATGACGGCGGTCTGTAAATAATCGAGTCTGGACCAGTATATCAAGTCATTGACATCATGAGCATCGATCCACGCAATTGGAACACGATGACATGCATCAACCAAGTCAGCGAGCCTGACCACCCGATCCCGTTAGTTGCTTTTTATGACAAGCATAGTCGCCTTTTGCGACAAGCATGGGTTGCTGAAGACCTATTCTACCCCGGATCTTCACGGGTCAAAAAGATTTATAAAAAACGTAAATGTGGAGACCGGTACAACCCTGTCCTGTATCTTTACAGAATGTATGTTTGAAGACCGGTACTATTCTCAAGGAGAGACGTGGTTCAGCAACAATTGCCGACAGAAGTGCACGTGCAAGGACGCTGTGAATGACGTCAGTGAATGTGGCCCCCCGAAGTCAGTATACCGTTTTAGAACCTGTATTGCTCTTTTGTGTTGAACGAGAGACGTGAAGCAGAACAATGGCTAGAATATAAACATATAACGAAAAAAAGAGCGACCTGTTTTAGATTATTATTATTATTGGAAGTGTTGTACAATGTATACATATGTCGCATGGACATCAAGATATAACGTTATATTTTACTCTTATAATGTAGACAATTCCATCGTGGGTGTAAAAAACGATTTGTGTGAAAATACAGTCAACTGGATATTCTCAAAAGCTCTGCTGCACCACCAGCTTTACTCATCACTTCAAAGTAGGATTCGCTTGACAAACTCCATAATGATGACATCATTTTCTTCATCTTCCCGAGGCAAGGGCGTTAACTGACTATAACAGTCCCGTTCCCACCCTTGTCGAACTAGGCTGGTTATGCCCCTTCTATGACCAATCAGATTCCACCTCGCGTATCACTTGCATCTGCTTCAAACAAAATGGCGGCGTCTTGTGAAGACGATCTGATCGATAATGAAGACCTATATTGTAATAAAACGGGTTTTACCTCGCGAAGTGCATAAAAACACTTGAGCACCTTGATTAAAAACATGAAAAGATTTGCAAAATATCTGTCTACGCCCGGTTGGTGGTACACATGCTTTGCAAATCCTGCAGTCGACCGAAATCTGCGCGTTGAACCGGATGTCTAGTTCGTTATGCAATTTTGATTGGACTATGCATAGCCTCGTTAGTCCAGCCAACATTAACTCCGGAATTCCGGCCTAGTTTGTCAAGAATTGAAACTGGATAGTTAACGCCCTTGCCTCGGGGAGGTGCATTTTCTTACGTTTGAGGGGACGTCCTAAAACTTACGTTTTGTATCCTACATTGAACTTACGATAACCTCTGCTTCCAGTTGCCCCAAGTGGATCCACAACTGTGACCTGATCCATCCTGAAGGTGCATGCTGTCCTATTCTCAAGTGCAACTACTTCCAGACTATTCACGGCCCGGGGTCTCTCCTCGGCGGGAAATAAAACAATCAGCTGAATAAACAGTATATATAAACTGTATTTACTGTGTTGCCTTGATATCCCACATTGTAATTGGTCTGCGGCCAGCTGGTAAATGAGGCTACCATTATGTAAATATTAATGATTTCATACGCGATAGAGGAAAGACAGCCCCTGAGACGGAAAATGGAATGAGGCCGATTGAGAAATAAATACTGGGGCCATGCTTGAAGATTAAGTTAAACTTCTTGGCAAAATTCCCTATTCTTGATTTTGCCAATCTGAAGAGAAATTCTGATTTATATGCAAAAGGAAACAGATAAGGGATGCCTACTTCTTGTATGAGTGAGTGAGTGAGTTTGATCTTACGCCGCATTTAGCAATAGTCCAGCAATATCACGACGGGGGACACCAGAAATGGGCTTCACACATTTTCGGGATTCGAACCCGGTTCTTCGGCGTGATGAGCGAACGCTTTAACCACTAGGCGACCCGATGGCGCCACCACTTGCCTGAATGTCACACATGTTACATAGATGTTATCAATGAGGAAGTCCAGTATTTCACTTGTTGTTTTCTCAGTAGCCTTCAGGTGACATTTGCTATCATTCATCACATATTGCCCTGAACTTCTGGAGATGTTACTATATCTAAAGTCACCATGTTTAGTTACATATCCCCAATGGATCAAGGAATGAACCTTTCCCAAAGTTTGTCGTGTGGGATAGCGGTGTACAAAGTTGAAAATTCAAACATTTTTACGTAAGTGAACTTAGTTCTTTTCTGAGATTGCAAAAAATCAACCACATCCCTTCCGTGTTTTGAGAATTCACGTGGTATTAAATCCACGTGTCTCAAATACTTTCTGTGAATTTAAAGAAAGTCCTCCTTGATTGTAGTAATGATCATGGTTGATCTTTGAGACAGGCACTTGGTGGTACATTGTCGTTGGGATTTGTTTTTGGGTGGCTTTTACGCTGGTGGAGACAAGTCATAAGTGTGATTGTACTTACAATCAAAACACTGCTTCATGGTAAAATATCTAATTTCTCACTCTGTGGGTAAGAAGGTTGATTAAACTGTTGATAAACCACGGGTTTTTTTTGCGTAAAATTTCCCCATTGCCTACCATGGCATTTCTGGTGAGGCCTTTGATGGTGAAACCTTGATTGGAAAGCTAAGTTAGGGCAGGACATGCTTACCCTTTTCGCGAACACCTGGTGTTATCACTGATTTTCAGTGATCCATCTATATCAATTTCACCACGATGTTGCCGTTTGCACCCAATGAAATCTGTTTGAGTAGATAATCAAGACTACTTATTCTCTAGCGTTGATGCTTTATAAATTTTATTAATAAGCAATTTGTCTTTCGTTAAAATGTGTACACGGTCTTAAGTTTTTAAGCAACTGTTAAATATAGACATCATTAGCTGAAGCTAGTTGTATGTTGTGGTATATCTACCTGAAGAGGAAATTCACGATTGGAAAATCGAAATCATCCCTATTGAAATACCGCTTGGTTCAGAGGATGGACACCGATCCAGATAAGTCACTGAAAATGGTTTGCAGTTGTTTCTTTCATGTCCAACAGGAGTGGATAGAAGATTCTTATTATCTTGGTTTAGTTGGAAGAAATGGGGTCATCGATATATCAGAAACTGTGGATGAACATTTTCTTTGATTGAAAAAGGGTACTAGTAAAACATCTGATTTCGTATGCAGAAACGGACCAGCTAGGAGGGGGTGGGGTGGGGGTTGGGGCACAATTAGTACCCATGGTGATACCTACATATGCTAATTGTATACATGCCGTCATGCGATATTGAGTAGATATCTCAGCCAGGAAGTCAAGAAGCTCACATAATTCGGTATCCGAATATTTCTGATAAGAGTTACTTTAAATTTTGACAAATTGACCATCCATTAAAACGTGTAAACAAAATGAAATTTCAGAACCATTTTTCTTGGAAACAAAAGATATATTGATTAGAAATTTCTCGCACAAATTATCATTACGGGTAATTGTGTATTGGGTTATAAATATCAAAGGCTCTTGAACATAAAAATGTATTCCTGGTGCAAGATTGTATAATTTCAAGTAAATCTTTTAAATTTGTAATTTTGAAGATTCATTACTTTCATTGCTCGTCAAACATTCTCTTGACAGTCTTTAGAAAGTATATTTTAGGAAGGAGAAAGTCGGTTGATGCAGCCTCAACCGTGTAGGTGTGGTAGGATCAAAGGGAAATGTATATGTGGACACAGTTTGGATTAACGTCTTCAGGAACAGTATTTCAAATATATAACGTCGTGTCAGTTGAATGTGGAAGGGAACGCCGTAGTGCTGCATGTCTCAAATGTTTATAACGTCGTGTCAGTTGAATGTGGAAGGGAACGTCGTAGTGCTGCATGTCTCAAATGTTTATTGCTTTGGTGCAACCCACTTACAACGGCCTTGGCAGTAAAAACAACCATTGTAATCGGAGCAAAGGATGCAAAAACGAATCAGCGAATCCTAACACAACTAAGGGACGCAACTCTATTCGGGCGCGATGAAGTAGCCTAGTGGTCATAATCTTTGGCTTACAAAGTCTCAGAAAACCCGTTTCGTCTCCACAATAAAACCCATTTCTTGTGTCACCCCACCCCTCGCTTTGATATCAGTGTAATCTTGCTAAAAGCTGTGAAAACCACACTCACTGATTCTATTTTGACCATAGAGAATTATTAAACTAAAGTAAGTCTAATGAAATCTCTATCACCACAGCTAGATAACCTTTGTTCCGGATTATTCTATATATATAGCGCACTGAGAGGCACTGTCTCCTTCAGGACTGACAAACAAGCTGTCTATCCCCCGCGACATCAGGGACAATGTTTCCAGCTTCACTGGTGCTCATTGGTATTGTGGGTAGGTAGCCATACGTCGTCCTTCCCTGGGTCGTCCCGGGGGGTACACAGTATGTGAGTGTATGCAGGTAGGTGTGGCTGTGTAGTACAGCTAGGGCATTGCTGGTATACATCGTAAATCCTCAAACGGAAGTAAGGCATAAAACTATAGTGAAAGTATGCACAACCCATGAAATAGTTGTCGTCGTTGTTGCTGTTGTTAGATTCAGTGTCCCCGTGAGGATGCCAGTATGATATAGGTATCCATTACCTATTGCTTGTAGTAAAGTCGATCGAAATGGAGATCGTTGATATTAACTCCGACCTTTTATCGAGGATATACGGTATTTGATATTTAAATAAATTTTATCGCACAATAAAATGCATTTGTTAGCATAATGTATTTTTCCCCAGCTGTAACCAAATTATTTATAAACTGAGGACCATCAAACTATCTAATCATTTTCACTATTAACACAAAAAATTTGACGTTTGGGTACTTTCCACAAAACCAAACCTCATTTTTTTCACCACTGCCAACAAACTATTTATTTTAGGCATACTCTGAACAAGTTTTTCATTTGAAACATCGACCCCGCTCCGTAATTCTTAACGGATGATTTCCTTTGTTTGTTGTTAGTGTGTTAAAGCCGACTAAGCAATATTCCAGAACCAGCTATATGACGGCGGTCTATAAATAAACCAGCTGGGACCAGACAATCCAGAGATTGACATCATGAACATCGATCTGCACAAATGAGATACGTTGACATGCATCAACCAAGTCAGCGATCCCGATCCCGTTGGTCGCCTCTTACAAGCATGGGTTTCTGAAGACAACTTCTAACCTGGAATCTGTGAGATAGACTTATGCCTGTGCCATAGTGCTGTGGGATACCCGTGAAGATCCGGGGTAGAATAAGTCTTTAGCAACCAATGCTTGCCGTAAAAGGCGACTATGCTTATCGTAAGAGGCGACTAACGGGATCGGGTGGTCAGGCTTGGTTGAAGCATGTCATCGATCCCAATTGCGTGGATCGATGCTCATGATGTCAATGACTGGATTGTCTGGTCCAGACTCGATTACTTACAGACCACCGTCATATAGCTGGAATATTGCTAAGTATGGCGTTAAACAACAAATAAACAAACACATATTACAACATTACACTTACAGTGCACTATGGCATCTCTTATGTTACACCGGGGACCGCCTCCGTGGTCTAGTGGTAGAGCGTCCGCCTGGAGAGCAGAAGGTCCGGGGTTCGATCCCCTGCCGCGTCATACCAAAAGACCTTAAACTATGGTTCTTGTTGTAACCCTGTCTGGCGCTCGACATTACGGGGCTAAACACAGTATACTGTGTCTGAGTGGGGTATTCATGTTAAACTGTGGCATTGTACATAATGTATCTCAGCGGGGTAGCACCATAACATCGGCATTAGTCCGGACTAGTACAAGCAGGGACACACGCACTCACGCACTCACGCACGCACGAACGCACACACGCACACACACACACACACACACACACATTTGTATGCATGCACGTCGCTATAAGTGCAATAATCTTGACCGCGTCGTTAAACCCCATTTCCCCCCACCTTACGTTACGCCATGATGTATCGTACAGACTAGTCAAATAAGTTAAGAAACACACGATTCTCTTATACTTCTATAGTTAATCTGTCGTTTCATGTAAATTCCGGTGTTCCTTAACTTCTTTTGAGTAGTATATTTCATCACTTGATCTCTTAAACTTGACAACACTCTCACGTTACACGACGCTCAAACACTGAAATCGATACCATGACGAACCTACCAGTCGGGGAATGGGGGCACCACTCAACCGAGGTACTGACCCTGGCCACGCGAGACTTTTCTAACTGTACGTGTAATAGAGGTTCCTTCTCTTCAGGTTTGGCTCGTACAGCTACCGTGCAGATAGATACAACGACAAGTAAGTACAACAGGTCCATGTAGCTTACATTAATCAAATGATGCATTGTGTCTCTGTCTGGTAGAGCATGATATATAAAGTCCTTGTTGATAGCGAAACTATCTCGAGTTTTGTGTATGCTTGTTACAGAAAGGACAGACAGGGAGTAAGGAGAAAAAGAAAGATTTGTCTGTTTGTTTGTTTGTTTGTTGTTTAACGCCGCACTCAGCAATATTCCAGCTATATGACGGCGGTCTGTAAATAATCGAGTCTGGACCAGATAATCCAGTGATTGACATCATGAGCATCGATCCACGTACCTGGGATATGATGACATGCATCAACCAAGTCAGCAAGCCTGACCACCCGATCCCGTTAGTAGCCTCTTACGACAAGCAAAGTCGCCTTTTACGGCAAGCATGGGTTGCTGAAGACCTATTCCAACCCGGATCTTCACGGGTCAGAAAGTAAAGAGAGACAGAAAGTAATTGGGATGAAAGTAATAAGGGAAGAAAAGTTAGGGACGACAGAAAGTAACGAGAGAAGGAAGCAAAGAGAGACAGACAGTAAAGAGAGGAGAAACAAAACGAGAGAAAAAAGTAAAGACAACCAAAGTAATGAGAGTCAGAAAGTAACAGGGACAGAAGGAGTGAGTGAGTGAGTTGGGTTTAACGCCGCTTTTGACAGTATCCGAGTTATGTCAGCTTAAGGTGGGAGGAAAGCATGAAGTGATGCGGGTCTCAGACGTTTACCACTTCAATGAAACCCACGAGCACGGGTATGGTGGGGACAGAAGGAAAAGAAAGAAGGAAATTAACGAGAGAAGAGTGACAAAGAGTGACAGACAGAAAGGAAAAAGGGTGAGGGAAGAATGCAGAGACAGAAAATGATAAAGGAAGCAATGAGAGATAGAAAGAGAGGATAGAGGGAAGAGAAGGTGAAAGGTTAAAGAAAGGGATACACCAAATGAATAATGTTTACCAACTCTCACATGAATGATCTTGTTCCTATTCAGATGATGCAACGACGGCAGAGAGCCCCGGAATATGTGAGGTTTAAACAATGTCCAAGTTAGATAAGGATTCTGTTCGGTCTATAAAGTAACATGCCCAGAAACAATACACAGAGTTAATTTGCCCAACTTAACGGAGGTTCTTTCAGGTCACACCTAGCTAACCGTAAGCATTACAATAGTGAACAGTTGTCAGGACATAGTTTGTTGTATGCAGTCCTATGCACAACTGTGTGTAAGCTGGTTTGAATCTATTCACACACATAGGAACAGCGGCGTTTCCAAACCTCTTGTGACGTCATCATTTTGTTATTACGGGGCCTTGTTTTCGTAAACCTCTTATGACGTCGTCATCCTAGTGTTATACGGGACTTTGTTTTCGCAAACCTCCTGTGACATCATCCTAGTGTTTTATAGGGACTTGTTTTCGCAAACCTCCTGTGACGTCATCCTAGTGTTTTATGGGGCCTTGTTTTCGCAAACCTCTTGTGACGTCATCCTAGTGTTTTATGGGGCCTTGTTTTCGCAAACCTCTTGTGACGTCATCCTAGTGTTTTATGGGGCCTTGTTTTCGCAAACCTCTTGTGACGTCATCCTAGTGTTTTATGGGGCCTTGTTTTCGCAAACCTCTTGTGACGTCATCCTAGTGTTTTATGGGGCCTTGTTTTCGTAAAGCTCTTGTGACGTCATCCTAGTGTTTTATGGGGCCTTGTTTTCGCAAACCTCTTGTGACGTCATCCTAGTGTTTTATGGGGCCTTGTTTTCTCAAACCTCTTGTGACGTCATCCTAGTGTTTTATGGGGCCTTGTTTTCGCAAACCTCTTGTGACGTCATCCTAGTGTTTTATGGGGCCTTGTTTTCGTAAAGCTCTTGTGACGTCATCCTAGTGTTTTATGGGGCCTTGTTTTCGCAAACCTCTTGTGACGTCATCCTAGTGTTTTATGGGGCCTTGTTTTCGCAAACCTCTTGTGACGTCATCCTAGTGTTTTATGGGGCCTTGTTTTCGCAAACCTCTTGTGACGTCATCCTAGTGTTTTATGGGGCCTTGTTTTCGTAAAGCTCTTGTGACGTCATCCTAGTGTTTTATGGGGCCTTGTTTTCGCAAACCTCTTGTGACGTCATCCTAGTGTTTTATGGGGCCTTGTTTTCGTAAACCTCTTGTGACGTCATCCTAGTGTTTTATGGGGCCTTGTTTTCGCAAACCTCTTGTGACGTCATCCTAGTGTTTTATGGGGCCTTGTTTTCGTAAAGCTCTTGTAACGTCATCCTAGTGGTTTACGGGCCTTTAGGATTGTTTTACCTATTGTTTTTTTTATAGAATAACGTCCCTGTCGGGTGTTTCTGAATACTTCTCTATACCCGGGATAATGGTTCAAGTACAGTAGAACACGGATATAACGAACTACTAGGGACCAGAGAAATCAGTTCGTTATATCCGTTGTTCGTTATACACGTTTTCGCTCGTATCCATTAGTTCGCTATAGAGAGTTCGTTATATACGTAAATTTTATATGATATTATATAGGAGATAAATCGGGGATTTTTTAACAGTTCGTTGTATCCGTTTGTTCGCTATATCCGTGTTCGTTATATCCGTGTTCTACTGTACTTTATTGCCTTTGAACTTCCTTAATGCCAGACAACAGAGTAAACACATACACTGTGTGTTGTTGTTGTTGTTGTTGTTGTTGTTAGGAAAACACTGTTTATTGTTTTTGCGGTAGTGCTCTACTAAGCTAATAAGCAGTGCTATTTGCTGTTTGATGGATTAGTGAAGGATATGTATCATTCCACTGGGGATGGGGTGGGGGGAGTCACATTGATATTGAGTCGCATTTTTGATAAGGGTCAGCAGTCGTATTAATTTGGAGACGCATTAATTTCTAAATTTACAGTATTCTATAGAATGTCCCCGGGTATTCCAGCGGGTAACGCCTTTAAAGTGGGTTTGTTTAGTTCCCTAGTTTAATATTTATTTTGCTATTTAACACAATTTACACATTACAATTCTAGATTTTCCAAGTACATGAATTCCACCAAGATGTATATATATTACGTCCGTTTCCTGAAGTTTATGGAAAGGGTGCTTGAAACATACAATTGTAGATAAATGGTGTTTCAGATTTCTTTCGGTTTGTAAGTCAAATACGGGAAAACCCTCCCCATCGCGTTTCCGTTCTCAACCGAACCCTCGCAGTTCGCTTTATCTTTAAGATAGCAGGTTGGGTGAGAATTACAACAGTGAACAATTGGAAGGTCACAATGTAAGCTGGTTTGAATTTGTTCACACATGAGTTCATGTAACCTTGACACTGCCAATTGTGTTTGTTGTAGCTTCGACGGTGGCTGTGACGTCCGTCATGGTCGGCGACCCAAGTGAGTAATATACGCTAGCCTCTTACCTGTTGCAGTGCGGTGTACTATAATAATGTACAGTAGACCGAATGCCTGAAACACTGAGAAAAGACTGTTTGTATGTTAATATACCCTAGTCTCTCACTTGTAGCGGTAGGGTAGCCCAGTGGTAAGAGTGTCCACACACCTTACCAAAGTACCGGGTTCAATTCCTCCAAGGAAGCACTTTCTTGGTGTACCCTGACGGGGCATTGCTGAAATATTGCCACAAACTGCGTTAACACCCATCCACCTTCAGACGGTTCGGGTGCATTGTGTGTTGGCTCAATGGTTAGTACTAAAGTGCGTCTTAATGCTCTAGACCCGTGAAGATCCGGGGTAGAATAGGCCTTCAGCAACCCATGGTTGCCCTAAAAGGCGACCATGCTTGTCGTAAGAGGCAACTAAAGGGATCGGGTGGTCAGGCTCGCTGACTTGGTCGATACATGTCATTGATCCTAATTGCGTGGATCGATGGTCATGATATCTGTCACTGGACTGTCTGGTCCAGACTCGATTATTTACAGACCGCTGTCATAGCTGGAATATTGCTGAGTGCGGCGTTAAAGAACGAATAAACAAACAAAGAAAACGTAATGCTCTAAGTTCTAGGCGCTTTTTATCGGACGAATGGTCTATGTTGTTAGACATGCACGATTTTGTTATTATTTAAACCGATCCATGTTACCGTGATTTGATATCTTTGAATATTATAGTATTTTCCAAAGTGTCGTTACAACAAGGATCAAAGCTGTATTATATTAACACAATGTAAATGATCATTCTCATAAAACAAACATTCTGATCTTCACGTTGATAACTGCTGTACATAATTTCCACTGTCACGCAAATGAACGAAAAGCCATTCCATCAAAATAGTCACAAATGATAACATTAATGTATATTCTCTGTTTCTCTTCTCTACCACCTCACCCACAACAACGTATACGCCCTTACCCACGGCCGTCATCCCACCTGATCTTCATTCCTCCAACCCTCTAGACTGCAAGGACAACATGACTACATGCAGCAGCTACGAGCACGCGTCTTGTACTGGGCCCTACGAGGACTGGGCGAGGGTCCACTGTGCCGCATCCTGTGGTTTCTGCATACGTAGGTTCTCGATCTTATTTCTTTATTATATTTACAAACAAATTATTCCACTCCTATTTCATTATGTTTTGAATTTGATTTTATTTCGTTTTATTGTATTTTGTTGTTATTTTTTCATTTAATTTTTTGGCATCTGTTGTTAGTCTTATTTTGGGTACTTATACATGTATGTGTGTGTATTTTTCTTAGTTTCTGCTATTTGTAATTTAACTTTATTCGCTTAATGATGTTTTGTTAAATGTTTACTTCTAAATATTGTCTATTTATTTATTTATTTATTTTGAAGGGGATATGTGAAATCAATATTTATCGATTGTTTTGTTTCCAGTACTAATAGATATTTCACGCAAAATGATAGTTATCAATATTCTAAAAGTGTTCGTGTTTACGTTTGTGTTTACGGGAATCAATGAAACTTGTTTAGGTTCAGGGGAACCTGATGCCAGGAAATAAAACATAATGTCTTAACTAAACTATTGACCATTCAAACTGCCACATCAGTTTAAGGTTCTACCTTATAGATTTAGTTTGTATCCCTGTTTGTATGCAGTTTGTTTTTTCATCAGCCATCACCTCGCCGTTTGACTGTGTAGACAAGAACCCCCTCTGTGTCAGCATGAACTCCGATCTTTGCACCAACCCCCTATATACAGGATTCGTCAGAAACAACTGCCTCAAGTTTTGCAACTGGTGCCCAGGTAGTGAACTCATACTGAAGCAATACTGCTCTTTCTTTCATAGGGATATTCTTATCATGCATGACACAACAAACGTGTGGTTATACCAAAACTTTTACGATTTCCGAAAATTATTACTTTCTCTGAAAATATAAAGTATGTGGTGCTTCACTTTGTTGAGAAGAGGGGGGGGGGGGGGGGGCTTAAAATAAAGGCGATGCAGCGAAATTCGGAACATTTACTTACGTACTCATTAAAAGGACATTACATGAGCTGTTTTCTGTTTAGGTGGTGTTACAACAACAAGGATTCCAAAAATAGGTGAGTTATAAACATTGTCCTGTGCCATTAACCCTGTTACCCCATACGATACCCTTCCGATTATACATTTCATTAACGTCTCTGTTGTGTGTAGCAGTCATATGTAACAATAAGAGTCCGCAAAGCGAAGTGTCTGGATTACCAAAGACCGGACTAACCAGGTTTTCTAAAAAGAATAAAAAGAATTGATTGGTCACATGATAAAATCGAGTGTCCTTAAACTTCTTTATGGTATATTTGGCCCAACATTCCATGCCTAAGGGGGGCGGTCGGGTAGCCTAGTGGTTAAAGCGTTCGCTCGTCACGCCGAAGACCCGGGTTCGATTCCCGACATGGGTACAATGTGCGATATTGCTGGAATATCGCTAAAAGCGGCTTAAAACCATATTTACTCACTCACTCACTCCCATGCCTAAGGACACGCACCTTTAAGTTCCTTACTACGAGTATTTCACAGTAGTCAACCATTGGGCGTGGGCATACACGATTCAGTATCGTGTATGCCTTCCGTTGCAAGATTGTTCACGTCGTGGCATTGCGCAAGTGAACGATTCAAGTTGCTGCTGGGGACACTACTGCCATTCTACACAGGCGATCTTCTGAAGGTTATCACCTGTATTGGGCTGCATATGACCACAAACCCATGTCACGAACATGCGCAATAGAAGCTTGGTCAGGGGCCAGTCCTTAACTGTGATGTCAGCAAGGAGGACGTCGAGCTCCACGTGGGCAGGGTTGTCATCCAGGAGGAGAAGGTATGACCACCTGGTTGTAGCTCAGGAACGATGACCGTTGTTATGATTTCATATAAATCCCGAAACCTCTCATGGTACTCCGTCACGACATCGGTTCGGAGGCCAATCTGAATGTCTTCCCACTCCACGAAGTTTGGACTTGTAAAATGCTGGATGGTACAATTGAAGTATCGGCGTCCCTCCAGACACGTGCCCTGCCTCCGTTGAAGTCTGTCTGTGAATGTATGGACATTTCGCTAACTGGTTCGCCGACTTTTGCCCAAAGCATCCTTTGCTGAAGATGGTGTACAGTAGGGCTGGGATGAGTCCAAATTTACTACCCGGGTACCCACCTCCCTATTACCCGACCCTACCCGGGTACCCACTGAAGGTCTCAGGAGATGTCTCAAAATGTCCTATTGGGAACATTTTTAGCATAGCCCTGGCAAAACGCATGTGTCAAACAATCTGGTCATTCATACACTGAAGTTGAATTAAGTTATATCATTATTCAATCATATGAAATATCAGAAGGAATGGGTGCACAGTCAGAAAGAAATGCGAACATGAGTGACTTGTAGTGTGACCATAGAGTTCTAGATACTTTTTGTCATTAAACAATATATCATGTGACTAACCACGGGTCCGGGTAGTCCTGTGGGTACCCGGGTCCTACACAGTACCAACCCGTCCCGGGTACCCGAGTTACCCGTCCCAGCCCTAGTGTACAGACAGTAGAATGCGTTGCGCATCCCTTCTGCATGGAATCTATTCCGAACTGTCTGTGTATAATTCTAGTCCCTGTCACCTGACCCGTGAAGATCCGGGGTAGAACAGGTCTTCAGCAACCTATGCTTGCCGTAAAAGGCGACTATGCTTGTCTTAGGAGGCGACTAACGGGATCGGGTGGTCAGGGTCGCTGACTTAGTTGATGCATGTCATCGATTCCAATTGCGTGGATCGATGCTTATGATATCAATCACTGGATTGTCTGGTCCAGGCTCGATTATTTACAGACCGCCGTCATATAGCTGGAATATTGCTGAGTGCGATGTAAAACAACAAACGAACCAAACCTGTCACCCATTGGGGGTCATTCTGTAGAGATATTGCTCTCTGAGAGAGTTCTGTAACTGAGAGAGTAACTGTTCGGCTTAGTTTGGCGGTCCTGTGTAATCGCCCTGAACAATGAGGCTCCAATGGCTCCAGTTCGTTTCTTTTTATCCATACCCACTTTACCATTCCTACGACCTTATACTCTCCAGTGGCAATGAAATGGCGCTTAACCATGTCTCGGGTCATACTGACAACAACTACTCTCAGTTGCCGGTATTTATTGCACGAGGTGGATTTCGATACACGTACACAAACCACATCGTGCATGGCATTTTCAAGGAAAGTTGTGTTTGGGCGCTTCTCATCTTCACATGTTCATGTGTTGCACAGCAACACTTTCAGACATTTTATAAGAGAGTGAGTTGGGTTTAACGCCGCTTTTAACAGGATCATACCACGGCGTCTCAGCTTAATGTAGAGAAAAGTGATGCTGGTCACTTTGGTGAAACCCACGAGCACGAGTATGGTGCTGACAAACCTAGAAACATAATCGGGGTGAACCGGTGGTTGAAACCACGAGCATAGGTTTCTGGCGTGCCCAAGGGACGCAACTCTGCACAGCGAATTTCTGAGTATTTGTTGTTGCATCATTTAAGAGTTTCAACTTCGATGAAAAAGCAAGTTTAATACAAAGTCAGTTTTTAATGCTAATTTTATTTTGTGGGAAGTAGTTCCTTGAAAATATTTTAGAACAGATTCCATGTCCTCGGCAATATAATAGACTCTTTGTGATGTCTGTCAAATGTAGTGAATAACATTCATTGGAACCTTGTGAATCTGTACGCTGTGATTAACACATGTCCGGATTAGCGAACCATGGGTACGGTGTAAGGTCCTCTGTGTGCATGACGACCTCCCTCACCGGGTTAGAAGTTGTCTCCAGAAACCCAGGCGACCAACGGGATCGGGATCGCTGACTTGGTTAATGCATGTCAACGTGTCTCATTTGTGCAGATCGATGTTCATGATGTCAATCTCTGGATTGTCTGGTCCCAGCTGGTTTATTTATAGACCGCCGTCATATAGCTGGTTCTGGAATATTGCTAAGTGGGTTTTAACACACTAACAACGAACAAAAGAAATCATCCGTTAAGAATTACGGAGCGGGGACGAGAGAGAAAACCACACGCACACACACACACACACACACACACACACACACACACACACACACACACACACACACACACACACACCCGACACCGCTAACATACTCATTCAAATACTACAGGTTGCTATGACGACTTTGAAAGGTGCGATCAGTTCGGAATAAGCACGTGTTTGAAGTACCCCGACTGGTCCAACATCTACTGTCAGAAGTACTGCGGGTTCTGCACGTCAAACACAACAGAAGGTATGTCCTTTCTGACATTGACACTCAGTGTATCGAGATGATGATTCACGCTCAGCAGAATGTTGAAGGCTCAGTACAACGTACGACATTTACCCATTGTAAGAACTATATTTGTGTGTTCCCAGGTACAACCGTGGCGACGACCACGACAGCTGCTCCAACTCCGTCACACGCCCCAGGTAGGAACTGTTTGAGTTTCTGTAGCAGCGATCAGTGAAAACAAACTGATACGTCACACATTAAACTACCGGGCAAAGAAAGTTTTCACTTTAAAAATAGTTGTAGCAAAAAAGCTGGTACAGGTTTGAACCTCCGCAGAAAACATTCGCCCAAATGCAACATGACCACAACCACAACGCAGATTTTCGAACGCAGGTTTCCAAATCATGCCTTGTTGAAAACGTGCAAAACGTGATTTTGAGACGAGTTTTCGACGAAGGAGAGAGCGACTGGCGCCAAACTGCATTAGAGAAGTTCACCCGTTTGGAGGTGGAGGCGTCATGGTATGGGCTGGCATTTGTGGCCAGATTACAACACGGCTGGTTATCATCCGAGGAAACCTGAATGCTCATCGATACAGTGATGAAGTGTTGAGACCGGTTGTGGTGCCCTTTATTCAACATCAGCCAAGGGGATTAATTTTGCAACAAGACAACGCAAGGCCTCACACCGCCCGAATTGTTCAAGACTACCCGAAGAACGTTAACGTCAACGTATTGCCCTGGCCACCTTGATCTCCAGACATGAACCCCATTGAACATCTCTGGGATTATCTCGATCGTTAGCTGAGACAACATGTACCGCCTCCAGCGAACCGACAGGAACTTGAACAGACTCTATTGAACTTATGGAACAGGATTCCTGTTGACGTTATCCGCCGACTGACGACGTCAATGAGGAGGCGTGTGTTGGCGTGCATGATTGCCCAGGGTGGTCACTCTCGCTATTGATGACGTGTTACCTGACTACTGTGTCATTAATGGACTCTTCATGCACTTTTTCAATGAACTCTGATTTGGGTAATTTTTAATTTGGACCCCTTGACTCTTTCTTTGTGTATTGCGGAGAATGCAATATCGGCATTACAATGCATTTTCATTCTAATTCATGGAAAATGATTTCTGTTTATAAATTAATCATCATAAATCTCACATATGCCTTTGTTTTTTTGGTGTTTGGTCAAGTGAAGTCGGTGAAAACTTTCTTTTGCCCATTTTGTTTTCAGGATTAATTTTGATGAAATGTAGAAAAGATTAAATTTTTCACAGTTCAGGTACAGAAGGAACCATGACTATTTTCAAAGAGGTGAAATGGGTTTTAAAGTCGCGTCCAAGATTATTGCACTGATTTAGCGACGTGTATGCACGTATTTGTGTGTGTGCGGGTGTGTTGTTGCCTGAACTAATCCGGACTGATGCCGATTTAATAGTGATAGCACACTGATATACCATGCCGCAGTTTAACACGAATACCCCACTCAGACACAGTATACTGACTCGAGCCGACCAGTCCTTGTTTTAGCCCCTTAATGCCGAGTGCTAGACAGGGTAACAACAAGTACCATAGTTTAACGTCTTTTGGTGTGTCGCAGCCGGGGATGGAACCCCCGACCTTCCCCTCTCCGGGCAGACGCTCTACCATAGGACCACGGAGGCGGTCCTATTTCCAAGGCAGATCAGATCACATTGCATTAACTTGTCAAGATCAGTGCCGGGTGACTATATTGTCGCGGGAGAGTATCAGTAGTGTCTATAGGTAAAACTGTAAGATAGGAATTATCTTGCGTTCCAGGTGACTGTTACGACCGGCTCGACTGCGGCAAGTACAACATCCACACTAGCTGCTGTGGCTCGTATGAGACGTGGGCTCGCTGGAACTGTGCCGCCAGATGCAAGTTTTGTAGTGAGTAGGCAGACACAGCAGTTGGTTCCAGGACTATTGGTGACTCTTGGGGGTGACTCCAGGAGTAGCGTATCAACAGATATGCAAGGTTTCCCCAGAAGGAATGGCGGGTAGACACAAAAACAAAACACTCACGGGGCTCTTGGCGAGTGACGTGTTTCGTGTAGACATCACATCAGTATTGATAAGTAGACAAATGTATAATATTATTCAGTATATTCCTTATTAGGTATGCCAAGAAGTATTGAACAGTAGACAAATGTATAGTAAGTAGGCAAATATTGTTGAGTAGACAAATGTATATTCCTTATTAGGTAGGCCAAGGGGTATTGATTAGTAGACAAATGTACATTAAGTATATTCCTTATTAGGAAGCCTAAGAAGTATTGATGAGTAGACAGATGTATATTAAGTATATTCCCTATTAGGAAGGCCAAGAAGTATTGATGAGTAGACAAATGTATATTAAGTATATTCCTTATTAGGTAGGCCAAGAAGTATTGTTGAGAAGACAAATGTATATTAAGCATATTCCTTATTAGGAAGGCCAAGACGTATTGATGAGTAGACACATGTATATTAAGTATATTCCTTATTAGGAAGGCCAAGAAGTATTGATGAGTAGACACATGTATATTAAGTATATTCCTTATTAGGAAGGCCAAGAAGCATTGATGAGTAGACACATGTATATTAAGTTTATTCCTTATTAGGAAGGCCAAGAAGTATTGATGAGTAGACAAATGTATATTAAGTATATTCCTTATTAGGAAGGCCAAGGGGTATTGTTGAGTAGACAAATGTATATTAAGTAGGCAAATATTGTTGAGTAGACAAATGCATATTCCTTATTAGGTAGGCCAAGGGGTATTGATTAGTAGACAAATGTACATTAAGTATATTCCTTATTAGGTAGGCCAAGGGGTACTGATGAGTATATAAGGTAGGTCACTGAGGTGGGGATCCGGCCTTGGTATAGCAATGTCTATTATTTCCAGAGGTGAAGGACACCCCTCCACGTGTGTGCAAGGACACCAGCCCTATCTGTGACCAATACAATTCGGATCTCTGCACCAACCCCCTCTACAACCACTTCGCCGTCACCGAGTGTGCTGGTTTCTGTAACGTCTGCAAAGGTTTGTACAACACCTCCCAGCCGATCTTCCCGAGACAAGGGAGTTAACTGACTGTAAAAGTCCAGTTTCCACCCTTGCCGAACTTGGCTGCAAATATGGAGTTATAGTTTGGCTGGACTAACGAGTCTATGCGTAGTCCAATCCAAATCGCGGAACGAAATCGAAATCGTTAGTAAACAACATAGATTTCAACGGGCAGATCCCGGTCGACCGTAGGATTTTCATAAGATATGTACTGTCAAGTGGTCGTCGACAGATATTTTCCAAATATTTACATGTTTTTAATCAAGGTGCTCACGTGATGTGGTGCACTTCGCGTGGTAAGACACGTTTTATTACTATTTATATCTTGATCATCGATCAGATCGTCTTGACTGGGCACCGCCATGTTTGTTTAAAGCAAATGCAAGTGATATGAGAGGTTGAATCTGATTGGTCAGTAGGAGGGACATAGAAGGTGGCGCTACGATCGAGCCCAGAAATTCCATCCTAGTTCGGCAAGGGTGGAAACTGACCTTTTACAGTCATTTAATTCCCTTTCCTTGGGAAGATGCTCCAAACTTGCAGGCACAAAAGAAGTGGTGTTCTCGAGGTCACTCTCGACATGTGCAGCAATAGCAGGACAGAGTACATGAAGGATAGGGGCGCGTTGCAAGCCATGAATGGCTTAAGCCCCCATTACACAGGGCTGCGACCTTTGTGCCACCTTCGAGTGATAAAAAAAACTGGCCAGGACGCTCAATCGTAGCCTAAACCCAGAAAATCATGTTTCTATGTAACTGCTCCAGCAGTTGTTCAGCAGTAACTGCTCGAGTTGTTCAACGTCTGCAACTACAATGAAACACTGCAGGTACAAGCCCTCTATTTATCGGCAGACTGAGGAGGCACTACAGGTAGCTCAAAGGAGGCAGAAAAGAGGCAGAAGCATTGCCATGGTGTCTCAAGTGTTGCCGTGGTCGCCGAATGGAGGCACGGCGATCGCCATACTCATCGTTTAATGCACGCTGTTGGTCGCCCAAAGAAGGCACAAGGGAGGCAGGAGCATCGCCCAGATTGACGGGACAATATTTCAGCAGAACGCATCTATTACCTCGCGACCATTGGGCGACCACTGCGCCTTCATTCTGCAACAACGGCAATGCTTGTGCCTCCCTTCTGCCTCCTTTGAGCGACCTTTGAGCAACCAACCTCTTCGGCGACCTTTGTGCGACTGTTTTAAACATGTTCAAAAATTCACGGCGACCATGGCGTCCATGGCGATGTCTGAACCTCCTGTGTACCACCTTGGAACGACCTAGGCACCATTCTGCCTCCTTTGAGCCTCCAACGACGACCTGGCAAATTCTATGGTCGCACACGGGAGGCACAAAGGTCGCCATCCTGTGTAAAGGCCCCATTGGAGAATGCAAGGTTGCCTTGCCATAATGAAGAACATAATCGAGGAGGCTCGATCACAATCTGATGAAATTTAGGTGCACTTTAAAGATGCGGAGAAGAATGAGCATGATGGGGTGTTGGCTGCCTTTGCTCATTTCCCCGTTGACCCAGTCAAGAATTTCTTGTTCCGCTGTCGAAATCAGACGCCATTTTGGTTTGAGAACGAAGCGGCCTCAGCCAGCGATTGTTTCGCTTGCAAGCGGCTGAAAGTTGGCGCACTGTTGTCAGGCGAATCGCCGTACATCGCTTGCAAGCGATTTACGCTTTGCAACGCACCCAAACTTACCCCGATGAGAAGCAAACCAGCGTTCTCGATGTCTACTTTGACTTGGTAGGTGACCCCTCTGTAGAAGCCGACTTAGATCTTCAGCAACCCATGCTTGCCGTAAAAGGCGACTATGCTTGTCGTAAGAGGCGACTAACGGGATCGGGTGGTCTGGCTCGCTGACTTGGTTGATGCATGTCATCGATCCCAATTGCGTGGATGGATGCTCATGATATCAATCACTGGATTGTCTGTTCCAGACTCGATTATTTACAGACCGCCGTCATATAGCTGGAATATTGCTGAGTGCGCGTTATACAACAAACCAACCAACCAACTAAGATATAATGTATCTGTACTGATGTGGTCAGTGATCATTGACTGATTGAATACGGCTTGACGCCATAGTCAGTAATATGCTAGATATATCACGGTTGTCGGTAAGCAATCCCGATAGATACATGAAGTGATTGATGACATAAGCAAAGGGCCACGTCTTCGGGGCCGGCTGACACACAATCAGCCATGTCGAGCGTTGTTATGACCTGATCTTCATGAACCGTTTCTTACGGCAAGCATGGCTGGCTGGGACCTGAAGTTGGTTATCATCAGCGTAAAGGTGGAGCTTTAAGACATGTTTCCATAGAATGTCTCCCATGAGCATAATGAAATACAGTAAACTACGGTTATAGCGAACACGCTTATAACGAACTGACGGATATAACGAACTTACTTTTTCGGTCCCGACAATTTGCTGAAGTAATGCTGTATATATGCTTATAACGAACTACGGTTATAACGAACTAAAATTAGTAGTCCATTGGAGTTCGTTATAACCGTGGTTTACTGTAGCTGAAATGCAGCGGACCGAGAACTGAACCTTGAGCCACTCCATCTCGTAATGGTCTAGAAGCTGAGGTCACATCTTCTATCTTGACTGACTGTGTTCGATTGGTGAGATATGGATGTAGCCATTCAAGTGCTGTTCCGGTTAGTCAAAGTCTTGTTTCCAGTCGACTAGGGGGACACAGTGGTCGATGGTGTCACACACCGCTGATTGGTCCAGTAACACAAGCAGTGTAATACTCTGCTGATCCATTGTTGCCATGATGTCGTTATAGACATACACAAGTGCAGTTTTTGTGCTGTGTTTGGTTTTATTTGCTGACTTGGTACATTTCAAGCAGACAGTTCCTCAGGAGCTGATGAAGCAGTCACAATACATCTCATACGGACATATATACCACTCAAAGAAGTTAAGGTCCATCCGATCAACTATAATAATATGAAATAATCTGGTGGTCCTATACTTTTTATGAGTAGTATATACTACTCAAATGTGATAGGGATCCATAACTTTAAGATGCACCGAACTGATTACTTATATTGTGTATGTAAACAGAGTATTTCTTCAAACGCTGAGTCGTATATATTGTCTGAGAGTCATGTTGTGTTACCAGTTAAAATATTCACGATCGTCACCTTCTATTCTGCTTCCAGTGCCAGAGTACTCCCCACCCTGCGCAGTTGACGCAAACGCCACTACACCTTCGGGTACGTATCAAAAAAGACTGGGATTGGTCTCCGTTTCCAAAATTAATATATTTAACAAAACATTCCATATTTCACGTAGTGCGTATGGTCCAAATCGATTTATGTCGAACTTCTTTTTGTTTCATTGTTTAAGGTAGTGTCATACTCTTTATATATCTAAGTAGAATACAATGGAGACTGGTCCAATCAAGTACACGTTTTTTTTCTGTGTGGCGTTCATTTATTTCGGAAGGTCCTGTAGACAATTAATATTGTGATGCTTACATATAATACAGGCGTTTATTTCATAGCAGAGGGTCGTTGGACCTAGTGTTTATTCAAAGATTTACGGCACGCACGCACGCACGCACTCATACTCAGTTTCTTGTAAACAATTATCAAAGTTGATTTGTCTGTGGCGGCCAAAAAGTGGCTAAATGTCAAATTGTATTTATCACTCCCTAAAGCTATTTCAAGCAAAATCACAGTGTACTGTACTCCAAAAGAAGGAATATGAAAGTAATACTATGTTTATATATAATTAAAGATGCCTGTAAAAGGAATTAATATGGTCGCCTTCAGCAACGACCATGACCTTCTTGACCTAAACGTATACACCTACCAATCCTTCGTCTGAAACCATCTCCCCTCCCTTGATCTGTTCCTCAATGTTGCACCGGGAGAGTGGGGAACAGGGAGTCTGTTCTGACGTCACTTTTAGCCACAGTCCGGACATAATGGCGGTTCTAGAAATTGGTTTCCCACATTGTGAGTGAGTGAGCTGAGTTTAACGCCGCTTTTAACAATATTCCAGTTATATCACGGCGTGTCAGCTTAATGTGGGAGGAAGGCCCGAAGTGAAGCAGGTCTCACACGTTTACCACTTCGGTGAAACCCACGAGCACGGGTATGGTGCTGACAAACCTAGAAACATAAACGGGGCGAACCGGGATTGGAACTCACAATCATAGGTTTCTGGCGTGCCGAAGGGACGCAACTCTGCACAGAGAATCGCGGCGCCTTAGACGACTGGGCCACCCGCGCTCCCTCCTACGTTGTAGCCATATGGGGAATCGAACCTGGGTATTCGGTGTGACGAACCGATACCATGCTATCCGCCCATACCATGAGAGGAAAGACCGTTTCAACGTTCGAATGCACCGTTATAACATTTTAATGGATAGCTACTGGACAGAATCTTGACCATTATTTTTTATTATTATTTGAATCTTATCGTAAATATTCTCCTCTACATTTTTCAGCCCCTGTGAGCGTATCTGTGCCCATGGAAAAAGGTCGGTAGAAGTCACGAATTTAGTTAAATAAATGAAATTTATTTCAAACCGCTCTGAGGGTTCGGAATTCCGATCATTTTCAGTGTACACAATGCCATGTTTAAATCAGTGTGGTAAACTAATCATGCATTTGTAAATGAATTCATATGACTTTAAGAAACCTATATAATAAACATCCGAAGAGTGAGTGAGTGAGTTTGGTTTAACGCCACTTTTAACAGTATTCCAGTTATATCGCGGCGTGTCAGCTTAATGTGGGAGGAAAGCCCGAAGTGATGCAGGTCTCAGACGTTTACCACTTCGGTGAAACCCACGACCACGGGTATGGTGCTGACAAACCTAGAAACATAATCGGGGCGAACCGTGATTTGAACCCACAATCATAGGTTTCTGGCGTGCCCAAGGGACGCAACTCTGCACAGCGAATCGCGGCGCCTTAGACGACTGGGCCACCCGTGCCCCAAACATCCTAAGAAAGAGGTCAAGCAATGATAGGGGAACATTTATTACATGTATCACCTTGCATCAGGGCACTCTCTGAAGGGTACGTCTAAACAATAGATCAGACTAAATCTCGAAAAGAATTCGTTTCTTTATATCACGAAGAGAATTCTGTGCAAAGACAGGGACAACGATCTTTGAAGGCTCCAATGCAGCGCATGGCATAATCTACATTGTTTGGTAGTTATGTCACTGTGCGAAGCTTGGAGAAATGTCAGACTTGTAGATGTATACAAGACCGGAAGTTGCCACACACAAAATTATAATGAATGTGGGTCGTTGTGTTAGCAAAAAATAATCACATTGGTAAACTATATATAGACAAACTATTCAATGTCGGGAATCAAATTAGGTCTTCAGCCCTTTGGTTTCAAATACGACATCATAGGCCGAGAGATAAAAATTCCAAGCATAAGTCTGGTTGCGTTGCTCAAAACCAAATCTTCCTGGATGAAAAAAGTCAGCATAATTTACCCTTATTAAATACTGTATTAGATCTTTGAATGAAGTATCCATACGTCATGTTCACGAATGTTCCTTTGGATCAAATCATTCATAGACAAGGCTGTGTTGGAGGTTGCGGTTATAAACTGAGTCACGTCACTCCATGTGACAACCACTTATTCTGTTGTCTTACAACGTGTTAAGCCTTTACTTTGCAGATAAGGTAAATCTTTAACTTACAATCGCCACAGGTTGTGTGCAGGACGGAGTGCATCATCGCGAGGGCGACTCGTGGGACTCGCTGGACTGTTTGGACACCTACACGTGTGTGAACGCTGCATCAAATAACATCTCTACACGCCCATTAGAGTATGTACTATGAGGAGATTACGTTTACATGTCTGTTTGTTGTTTAACCCCACAATATGTCAGCTATATGACGGCGGTCTGTAAAAACTTGAATCTGGACAAGACGATCCAGTGATTGACATTATGAGCATCGATCTACGCAATTGTGATACGATGACATGCATCAGTCAGGTCAGCGAGCCTGACAAATCGATTACGTTATTCGCCATCAAAAATGATACCTCTTGTTACCCTGCCTGTTGCTCAGTACTAATGGGAAAGAACAAGGACTGGTCGGTTTGGATTCGGATTCGTATATAGAGTCGGGTATTCATGTTAACAAGTTTAAAAATTTTCCTTGTTGTCATCGGAACACACAGGAAAGAAGTCACTAGATTCGCGCCATGCGCGTGCGCAGTGGCGCCTCTGGCAAGGGATAGGGTTTCCCTCACAACTATGGATATGTTGGCAGTGTAGTGGACGTCTGTTGAAAATTTATAAAAATTTATAGTGTGGTTCTCAGCATAAACAGGAATTTATGGCACTGATGTGATAGAGGTGAGGTATTCACAAGAATTATGGTATCTCAGTGGGCTAGCACAATTAACCAGCAATAGTCCGGACTGGTACAAGCAGCCACACCAACTCACACGTCTTTGTATCAGTGCAATAATCTTGGAATACAAGTTAGATCCCACTTAACCTGGTCCATGTATGTCTCCACTGCAGGTGTGTCAAAACAGTTCCTAAACACTGCTTCTTCGTGGTGAAGATTGGAGCATGCTGTCCACTTATCAGATGCGAGTACCCCAATGTCATCCATGGGGAGAGAACACAAGAGCATGGAAACCTCATTGGTTGATATTCAAATACACCTGCTGTATTGTGATTAATAAATAAAATATACTACTTATGACATAGTCTTAATATCTGCTTACGAGTAGCAAAGAGATTGTGATTGAGTATGGTTTTACACATCTTCCCGAGGCAAGAGAGTTAACTGGCTTTTAAAGTCCAGTTTCCACCCTTGCCGAACTAGGCTGGAATTCCTAGGCTCGATCGTAGCGCCACCAGTGGCTATTACGAGTAATGTCCTTCCTATGCCTCTCCTATTGACCAATCAGATTCAACCTCTCGTATCACTTGCATTTGCTTCAAACAAAACGGTGGCGCCCAGTCAAGACGATCTGGTCGATAATCAAGATCTATATTGTGATCAAACGAGTCTTACATCGCGAAGTGCATCAAATCACGTGAGCACCTTGATTAAAAACATGAAAAGATTTAGAAAATATCTGTTGACAACGAGTTAGCGGTGCACATGCTTTGCAAATCCTGCAGTCGACCGAAATCTGCATGACACTTTACGAACCGGATTTCGATTCCGGTGCGCGATTTTGATTAGACTATGCATAGACTCGTTAGTCCAGCCAAAATGTAACTCCATAATACCAGCCTAGTTCGGCAAGGGTGGAAACTGGACTTTTATAGTCAGTTAACTTACTTGCCTCGGGAAGATGGGTTTTACACCCCTTTTAGCAATATTCCAGCAATATCACAAGAGGGAAGGAGGGACACACCAGAAATGGGCTTCACACATTGTACCCATGTCGGGAATCAAGACCATCTTTTAACCTCTTTAGGTATGACACGGCCGGGGATCGAACCCCAGACCTTCCGCTTTCTGGGGCGGAGGTTCTTCCACTAGACCATGAAGTAGGTCCCCAACATCGTAAAGTAAAACAGAATCGAGTGTAGGAGACAAAATGATTTTTTGTTTAAATTCATGAACAAGATACAAACAATAAATGTCCAAGAATGAAGATGGTGAATGTTAACAATCCCACTGTTATGTGAATAGAAGTATATATACATTGTATAAAACCTAGACAACAAGGTCAGTCTACTAGGAGGATATTACAACTGCCCTACAAGATAAAGCACTACAAGTATCACAAAGTAGCCACATATCTGCCACATTCACACAATGATCAACTGTTGTGTTGGCAATGGAACATGGAGGGTACAGTGTTGGTATGGCACGGATTGAGTGAAGACTAACAACACTGACTAGAAGGTTGTGGTTCGTCATTCAACCAGCTCCTCACAGCTGCTGGAGGCACATCTCATGCAGCTGATGGGGGTGGGGGGACAGGGGAGGGAGTTTGGGGACATCATGTTTATAGGAGTGAGGACAATTTGGTAGGTGGTGTGGTGATGGAGTTTGATTGGTGTTCATGGTGTTTGCGTCTCGGGATAGGAAGCCAGGGACATCTTGTTCAACTGAGTGAGTGCAATTTGGAAGGTGGAGTGGTTGTGGAGTGGGCTTGGTATTCATGGTGTTTGTGTCGTGGGATAGGAAGCCAGGGACATCTTGTTCAACTGAGTGAGTGCAATTTGGAAGGTGGAGTGGTTGTGGAGTGGGCTTGGAATTCATGGTGTTTGTGTCGTGGGATAGGAAGTCAGGGACATCTTATTCAACTGAGTGAGTGCAATTTGGAAGGTGGAGTGGCTGTGGAGTGGGCTTCATGTTCATGGTGTTTGTGTCATGGGATAGGAAGCCAGGGATATCTTGTTCAACTGAGTGAGTGCAATTTGGAAGGTGGAGTGGGCTTGGTGTTCATGGTGTTTGTGTCTGGGACAGGAAGCCGGGGACATCTGGTACAACCTTTTAAGTGGGTGGGGTGGGGAGACAGTTTTGAGGGTCTGTGTGCGTGTGTCCTGGGGAGTTTGTAGGTCTTGGAAGGGGAGGGTTGTAGATGGCTAGGAATGAAGGGCATCAGACCTGTGCTTTTAGGACTGGTTGGGGGCTGCTGGGAAGGTGGAGATTCTCAAAATGGATTTGAACTTCTTTTACTTTTGAAATGTGACCTTTCAGTACAGATACAAATTTTAAGTACCACTTTCTTCATAAAGGTACAAGTACATGAACTGAAATGTCACACTGAACAACAAAAGGATGAAATCCAAGTCAATCCTACATCATTGACAATATTTCATTAAAACCAGGTGTGGGGGTGTGTTCAGGTGGTCTGGTTTTCTGTTTCAGATTTTAGGTTTTCAATACGGGACATTACAAACACCTTTTCACATATACATGGGTCAGCCTTTGCACAGAAATGAGCATAGCTTGGGGACATAAAAGTTTTGTCATCTAATTTTGAGCCTACTGGCCCCCTATTTAACTATATATTTCTGCTGCTGAGGAGTGTGCCACCAGCTTGCTGGAGGGCCTCAGTAACAAATCTGGATCAGAGAACTGAAGTGGGTCACCTAAACAAGAGCAACCTAAACAGCTTCACTCAGGTGTCTGTCATGTCTGTACTACATAAGCACAAAACACAGAACATCCAAGAGTGAGAACCAATAGAAACATGGTCCTGAACCATGACACGAGTGAGTGAATGATGAACATGCCACAGGCAGCACCATTAGGCTACTACAGGCCTGACAGACAAACCCAGAACAGAGAGTATGAGCAACAATCAGCCACTGATCACCTGATCCATACAGAACCTGTGGAAGAGATACACCTAACTTCAACAGCAGCTACATTAAAGGAGCGTCTCCAAAGTTCAATGTTGGATTAATACCTTAATCTTTGAAGCCCTCCCAAAAACAAATATCTCCAAAACACAAAATTAAAAAAAAAGAAAAAATCAATAAAATGTTGACCTTGAAGATATTTTTTGGTCAAGCGATTCCTACTTCCCATGATCCCAAACAATGGCGGTGCGTCAGAAGAGCTTTTTTACTCACTCATATTTATACCTAAGATGGTCAGATAATTTCAGAGCAAACATAACGTTATTTATTTATTGACTTGAACTGAAGATCCCCTGAAAAGATGGAAAACAGCAGACCTGTTAAACCCCAAACCCAAAAGATATTATTATTGAATCAGCATATGCCCACTGAGTCTTCTTGTCTGGCTTTTCATAGATATGTATGGACCACCACTGTCTATTACATGCTACAGTGGTTGTCGAGGTTGCTATGGTTACTCTGGTTGCTATGTGACCCAGCCAAGTCCTCCTCACTCACCCAGGATGTGGTTTAACAGCATTATAAACATAACAACATTCATAAATAGTCAACAGCAGTCTACAAAATAATTTCTACTTATAAAAATATCACATCAATGAAGTGGTACAATATTTGAAATATTTTGACAATATGTTTCAACACAGAAAGCTACAGGATATGTTGGGGCACTACTAAAGTTCATATGGATACATTTCAAAGCAAAGAGTTCCCTCAATCATTTCATTGCTTTTTCACAAATCTATATCCAATTATGCATGAAAGAACAGAAATGAACAACTCCGAGTATCATCTTCCCGAGGCAAGGGAGTTAACTGACAATAAAAGTCCAGTTTCCACCTTTGCCGAACTAGGTAGGCATTATGGAGTTATGTTTTGGCTGGAAAAACAAGTCTGTGCATAGTCCAATCAAAACACGTAACAAAGTCAACATCTGGTTCGTAAACTGACATACTGAATTCAGTCACTTGCAGGATTCAGCCGACTCAGCATCGATCAGATCGTCTTGACTGGGCACCGCCATGTTTGTTTGAAGCCAATATAAGTGATATGAGAGGTGGAATCTGATTGGTCAAAAGGAGGGGCATAGAAGGGACGTAACGTAATAGCCACTGGTGGCACTACGATCAAGCCAAGAAATTCCAGCCAAGTTTGGCAAGGGTGGAAACTGAACTTTTATAGTCAGTTAACTCCCTTGCATCAGGAAGATGTCCGAGGATAAGACATCCACAATTATCCAGTGTATTATGTCTCCATTTTAATTTTAGAACTACAAAGGACCCATTCATTTAATCAGAATGGTATGACACTAAAAATAACTGTCCAATCATATCAATTACATGACAAGAAATTCTGAGCTGAGCCGAAACCAGGCTACAGTGCAAAATGGGTCCAGGGTATTTATAATGATAGAATGGAGACATAACAGTGAATAATTGTGGATGAGTATAAGATGTTACAAAAATATCAACTATATAATACACCACACATCTTCCATAAAACAATTTGATTTAGCTCCATTTTACAAATGAAATAATTATGCTATGCCTTTGAATCAGCTTCATACAATAATATTCTAAGACTAAAACATAAATGCCATTGGTTCTCAGGCAACTGCTTTTGAGAATTTGGTGCATCACTTTCTACAAATGAAAAATTTGCTATCTTGTTGTCCGAATGTTATGACTTGATTATTTATCGCCAAAAGCAAACACCATTTTTCATTCAAAGTTTCTAAATGCCTAAGAACCAAGACAGTTTAAGTTTCAAAATACATTTTTTAAACAGTACCACTTCTTAAAAAAATACTGCTCGAGACAAAGTAAATATCTGTGAAGGAAGGGTAGTCATATACACAAAGAATTAAGAAAAAAAGCATTCTAAAATAAGCCGACATTATCAATATTATGCAAAACTACCACAAAACATACATTTCACATAAAAAATAAACACAGAAAAGTTGATAAGTACATCTTGTTGAGTAAATATATTCAGGTTGGAAAATTCAGTTCAACACATTTCTACTACTTACTAAACAATTGAGAATTTTTTTCCCACAACATTTCATGCAGTGCAAGCTTTAATAGTAATGCAAGTTTCTTTCAGAGACAAGTGATAATACTTTCTAGCCAATTCCTGTTTCAAGACACACTATTCAGTTAGTTTGGTCTTTGTGATCTAATCAAAGAGACACACAAAGATACATCAGTAAAACACAACTCATTAACTTCACTCTTTCTCTGGTGCAAACTGCGGCCATTTTGGTAAAGGGAGATAATCCACACACAACTAGTCACACCATTGGTTCAATTGAAACATGATGTTGACAATGATAGTTACTCAGGTGAAAACATGATGGTTGTTCATTTCATAATGATTTCTCTCTTCTATAACTATTTCACACCAGCTGACATCCCGCATTGAAACTATAGTGAAGAACATAAGTGCCTAAACACAAGTTGCAGCCTCTAAACTTCAAACTGCAACAATATATCAGTTTATTCACATCACTTTCTCTGTAAACAGCCTTTGAAATTCACATTTACCCCTCAAGACTTGTAAGCTTTATCTCACTTGACCTCAAGAGTTTGTAGCTAGCCTGCTTGAACAAGACAAACATGTTTCCTATGTTTACACTTTCAATTTTATTCAGTTTCAAATTGCAGCTAAATTGAAGCATTCAGAACTGGTTCAGAATTATAGCCCTCAAATGATACTAGTCTATGAGGACACAATCACTGGACTTCTACTTGCCCTCAACACAATTTAGTAGTCTTGTGCTGGCAGACTAGGGTCAATATAAAGGCTGTTTAAAGCGGTCACAGCTTACACTGATGACTTATGATGGCCATTGTGATCAAGACGTGGAGCGGGAATCCTGTAGGCTGACTGATATTCATATCTCACACACCAATGCCAATCTTGTTTAGACCCCAAAACGCAGATGTCCGACTGTCCAACAACACATTCTAATAAAGTCCTATAACCATCAAAACATGTATTCTGTAAGTGATATTTACTTATGATAATCCTAGCACTAAGACTTTGACAAGATGAGATGAGAATCATTACATATGTTTAGGGCAAAATTCCACAAAGTGATCTTAGCGCCATGCTGGTTGTAAACTCCTAATCCTAGCATAGACCTACTCCACTAATAGGATCAGATAACTTTGTGGAACACCACTTTGTGTCTCCACAAAGAAATCTTGGCATGAAAATTGAAATAAATTACATTGTTACAATTGCTTAGGGGGCTGGCATTTATTATAGGGGAGGGGTTAGAGGGAGTGAGTTGAGGGTTGGGGGTATCACTAAAGATATGACAGTCTCTTGGAGAGGAAGGGGGGAAAATGTATGACGGCATGGGGATTGTGATATTCATTTAATAAACATTCAAAACTCCCCCTGGAATATGACATGGTTGCTATCTTATGCTAGTCATAGCGCTAAGATCGCTTTGTGCACAAGACCCAGGGCCTCGTTTCACAAAGCGATCTTAGCGCAAAGATGGTCGTCCCATACTTTAACACTGACTTAGGGCGGTCATAGCACTAAGATCATTTTGCGGAACGGGGGTCTGGAGATAATGAATAATCCTTTCCTACTTTAATGAGTATCATATCAATTGTTGGTTCATCTGAGGTAGGTACAAGGTTCACACATTTAAACAAGGTCCATATATTATGCAATCACTCAGAATAACATATATGATATTCCATGAGTGCATGTTAAGTAACCCAATCCAACAGAACTTTTGTTTACTTGGTAAACTGAACTCACACAAACAAACTAAAGACACATGGTTCTCCATTCATTTGAATTCGTATATCGTGGTGTCACTCCAATCTCATTAAAATCAGAATTTTGTTCTCGCTACTGCTAAACAAAGATCTGTGGACATCCCATTACAGGTCACCTCAGAATGACCTTCATCCGACCAATCAGATCTTACCAGATCAGGGTCGGAATGTGTTTTCTCATCATGCAACCTCGGGATATTCTGAATGACAGTTACGGTCTGTACGACTGATAACGTCAAACTTTTCGTCTGTCTGTTGCTTCAATGACATAATCATTTAATAAGGAAGATATTTTCTTTCGCCTTTTGGACATACTGCCATATAATCATGGCTATCTTTAGACATTCAAGAATTATCTTTGTTCAGTTACCAAATTTTGAATCAATGTTTTTCAAAACATAGTCTGGAATAAAAAACACCAGAAACTACTGCCGTAAAGCTTGAGAAAGCTGCCTACTGATTAGCTAATGTTGATTTATTATTAGAAATGTCATTGGTTGGTCAAAGTTATTGAAAGGTCGTGACCTGTAATGGAATGCCCTCAGATCTTTGTGATTTTAATGAGATCGATGTCACGCTTTCGTGCCACTAAGGAGCCCTGTCATGGTAAATTCTCAGCCTTACCACTGAAATGTGATTAGAGTTATCTCCCCTTGTCATGTACACAAATTTAGAGACTTGAGGACAAAAAGGCTCTTTTCTTAGAGGGGTGGGAGGCAAATATGGTTCTTGTTAAGATTCAGATTGTGCAGGTCAGGCATTGAGAGAACACAACACTCATGGACTAACGCTGAACAACAAAGTAGATACAGGTGATGATGTCAATATGAAAACAAACAGTGCATAGCTAAAGGGGTAAAGTAATTGGCCTTGTAAAATATAACCGGCATGATATGCTTCAAGCCATCATAAAAGACAACTATGTTAAAATTATACAGGTCATAAATATAGTTTTACACTGCTTTTAGCAATATTCCAGCAATATCACAGCAAGGAACGCCAAGACAGACTTTAAATATTGTACCCATGTGACAATCAAACCTGGGTCTTCAGCCTGACGCGTGAACACTTTAACCACTAGGCTACCATCTTGTATGATACAGATCTTGAGCTCCTTTCAACAAAAACAATCCCTACTAAATTACTAAATATGAATGAAAAATATATAAATCACTCCACATCCAATTATGTATGTGCATCTCATATTACCTGAACAATCAACCTACCGACAAATACAACCAAGATCTTCGTCTTCTCTGCACATTATTTCAAATTCAAAATTAATGACCAAGAAAAGTCGAACAGCAATATACATCGTCAATGTTAAAAAAGCTCAGATCTCCAATGGTTCAAATAAATACAAAATTCATAAATGATAAATAAAATAAATAAATGTACAAAGAGTACAGAATTTCTAAAACATAAACCTTCTGTTCCCTAACTATGAAAGTGGTATATATAAGCATGACAAATAGATAGTGATTAAAATAATACTTATTGATGATGATTATTGTTGTCACCTGACAATGATACTGTGCTGTAAAAGAAAGTGTTTTACAACAGGAAGAATTCATCATTAAATGCTTGACCTTTCTGACATCTGTAACCAGTCACGTTCACATAAAATATATTTCACGGACATGTCATTGTTAGAAGCACACATACAATCACAACTTAAGCATTGGTAAGATGTTGAATTCAGCAAAACATATCCTACAGCCAGCATATTTTTCTCCTATCAACTCCATCATTTCAATAGGAGTTTGACATATGGAGCAACCCTCGAGAGGACAAATTCCCATCCTACCCATAACATACCACCTACGACTTTACTTCAAATTTCAGAAAATCTGAAATGAGTGAGGATAAATGTTTGATTGTCATGACAGTAAATATGATTGAATGCAAAATTAAACATTGGTAGCTTGTTGTAAACACTGTGAACAAATCTAATGAACTTGTTCAACCCCTCTCCCTGTCTGATGCTGTCTGAAAATAAACATTATATTGTATCACAGAGTCCAAGTAGTAGCATATCACAGGCAGTGCCACATTCAGGGGCCATAACTCTTGTCATGTATTCCTTCAGAAACAAGCACCTGTTGTAAGGATATGTCCCACAAACACAGTCCTGGCTTTTGTTTCTGTGGAAATGATGACCGCCATCTTGGCAAGACGTTCCTGAACACAACACTGGTCACCTTTCCATCCATGAACAGGTCACGTCATCAATTATGAAATTTGGCTTGACGAAGCTGATTATCATACTGTATGTTTAAATGTTCTTTCACATATGCTATGAGACGAGGAAATCATATCACACTTTCGCAGATTGCCATTTCCCTTAAAGCACTGTCAGATTGTTTTTAGTGCATGTTTCATTTCTGTCACCTTTTTCAACCAATCACTCTTCTTTTTCAACTCAGACTTCTGAGTGCTTTACTTGCATGCTCCTGTGTTGGTAACTTGAGATTTCTGAAGCCATTCTTCAATATTTGATGTCAACATAATGCGTGTCTTCCACTCAAGTTCTAGCTTTACTCTAAAGAAACAGAGGATGTCCAGTGACAACTGTTCCTGGGATAAGATCATGCATCCTAGTTCGTTTTTCAAAAGGATTTTAGCCTTCATCACATCCCAAGGTGCTGTCAATGTTTGATGCTGGACCAAACACACTTCAGCCATCCGAACATAGCAAGAGTTACTTCCCTTTGATTCTCCTGTTACGATGGCAGCCTCAATGACACAGAGGCAGGACATGTCTTGTTCACCTCAGCTCTCTCCCCCTTGACCACTAAAACAAGATGGCAGCCTCCATGACCGTGTGCCACCATGAACTCTCAGAGCTAGCCAGTCGTCCATGTTGGGCACACTGCAGATGTCCGACTCGTCGCCGCAGTCGCATGTACCACCCTCAGCCTTGCTGGTGCTGCTTTGGGGGCTGATGACGTCAGAGCTGTACTCGCAACCTACACATAAGAACAGAGAGGTTATGACTTCTATTTTGATTTAAACTATTATGATGATGTCCCACTATTATTCTTGTAATTGATTCCTATAGCCAGGAATTCACTGGCCATTCTGAACAAGTAGAACTTGAATCTGTTGATTCCGGAAGTAGAATCAACTTGCTCCAACAGGGCTCATTGATTCTACTCCCAGAAACAACAGATTCTCACGATTTCTTTATTACAGAATCAAATTTCCCCAATTCGTTGAGAATTTGAAATCTGTGTCATAGATTTTGAATAAACAAGAGTTTGCCACTAACGTGGCTATATCCCCCGCCCCTGTTTCAGAATTTATGACATGATTAAATCTGAACAAACCCTAACCTTTTTTAACCGAGGTGGAACTTGTCATGGAAATTGTAAAAAAAAGATGAGTTTGGAACCATGTCCATCTTGTTGCCATGGAAACGTAAAAAATAAATATTTCTAAAATTTCTCAATAGCAAAAGGCACCAGTTCAGCATGAGCCTGACAGACCTGCAAAGTTTGATGAAAAAATATTGAACGGTTTATGAGTTGTGCTCCGGAAACGAACCCTACCCTCACAGAACCTAAGTCCATCTTGTTGCCATGGAAACGTAAAAAGTAATAATATCTAAAAAAATTCAATAGCAAAAGGCACCAGTTCAGCATGTACCTGACAGACCTGCAAAGTTTGATGAAAAAATATTGATCGGTTTATGAGTTATGCTCCGGAAACGAAACGTGACGGACGGACAGAGCCCGTTTCTATATCCCCCGCCAACTTCGTTGGGCGGGGGATAAAAAGAAGAGTTTGGAACCTAAGTCCATCTTATTGCGATGGAAACGTAAAAAATAAAAATTTCTAAAATTTCTAACTAGCAAAAGGCATCAGTTCAGCATGTACCTGACAAACCTGCAAAGTTTGATGAAAACATATTGAACGGTTTATGAGTTATGCTCCGGAAACGAACCCTACCCTCACAGAACCTAAGTCCATCTTGTTGCAATGGAAAAAGGTAAAAAATAAATATTTCTAAAATTTCTAACTAGCAAAAGGCAACAGTTCAGCATGTACCTGACAGACCTGCAAAGTTTGATGAAAAAATATTGAATGGTTTATGAGTTATGCTCTGGAAACAAAACGTGACGGACGGAGCCAGTTTCTATATCCCCTGCCAACTTTGTTGGGCTGGGGATAATAAAACAAAGACAACAGCTTTTTTATACAAACTGTCAGCAGATATGCTGTAAAAACAATGACAGCTCTCGGTTGGTTGTCGCTTTTCTGTTAATTGTTTGGTTTACAATCCCCGACATCACCCTTGGACTCTTGCACTCATTAAGGTTATGCTTGAATCGCAACATGCCACATTTTGTTCTGACCCGTGAAGATCCGGGGTAGAATAGGTGTTCAGCAACCCATGCTTGCCGTAAAAGGTGACTATGCTTGTTGTAAAAGGCGATCGGGTGGTCAGGCTCGCTGACTTGGTTGATGCATGTCACTGTACCTCAATTGCGTGGATCGATGCCCAAGATGTTAATCACTGGATTGTCTGGTCCAGGCTCATTATTTACAGACCGCCGCCATATAGCTGGAATATTGCTGAGTGTGGCGTAAAACAACAAACAAACAAACAAAACCTTACTGAAACCTACATTATCAACACACCACAAAATTCACCAACAGGAAGTGACGTCAGCAGAAGAAATGTATTTCTTCTGCTGATAATTATTATTTTGTGGTGTGTACTAACTAGGTGGCTTTTATTCACCTGATGAAGGAGTAAGAATATACTCTGAAACATGTTCTTCATAATTAAGAAGTTGACATCCATAAATTCTCTTCCTTAGGCTAAAAACAATAATACAATGGTTCTCAGGCACTGCCCACATGATCATAAAGTCTGACACACGTTTCATTTTTTTTTGTCCATTTCCAAAAAAATAAAGAAATCCTAATACTTAAAAACAATGCAATATAACATAGCACGCAGTTACTTCCCTTTACATGCACACTGCTTTACTGCACATCTTGTGTTATGGTCATGGCAGCAATAGTTTGCGTGTCCAGGTTGATGGTACACAACTGTTCATTTGGTTACGTACTAGTTTGAACAACAACAAAAAACTAAAAAACCAACTGAATGCCAGCACTATATTTTCAAAAGTCATTGCCTGAGAACCAATTCTTTCATTTTCTTAAGCCTTATGTACACAACATTCATCAAACAGGTGCACATGGTGTATACACAGGCATGAGATCAGAACATTCTGGTCTGGGATGAAGGCTCATTCAAACACCATGAATGATGCAAATTACAATATTCCACAAGGTGCAAAATGATTGAAAAGAGGATGAAATTAAAAATGTAGAATTGTTAGGCTAAAAAACATAATAGTCTTGGTTCTCAGGCACTGCCCACATCTTCATAAAGTTTATTGCACGTATCGTTGTTTCCGTTTTCAATTTTTTTTGTGCATTGTGTTTAAGTATTAGGATTTTTATACTTTTTTGAATATGGAACTAAAAACAAAAGGTGCGGCAGACTTTACGATGATGCTGGTGGTGCCTGAGAACCAAGACTATTATTTTTTTAGCCTTATGTCTGTGCATGCACAACCTGTATAGTGTTACAATTAATGATGATAAAGAGGTGATGGTCTGATACACTTTCTACCATTTGAATATTGAAACAATATACATATATGTCCCGATACATCGTATGCGTCAATAATACCATTGTTCCTAGTTTTACATCAACATGCCTATGGTCTTATATCTATATACCAAAGTTCTGAGATCTACAAGTCAGTGATCTAAGAGCTACAAGTCAGTGATCTAAGAGCTACAAGTCAGTGATCTAAGAGCTACAAGACAGTGATCTAAGAGCTACAAGTCAGTGATCTAAGAGCTACAAGCCAGTGATCTAAGAGCTACAAGCCAGTGATCTAAGAGCTTCAAGCCAGTGTTCTGGGAGTTACAAGTCAGTGATCTACAAGCTGATCTTGGATCTACATGCTAATGCTTTAGTATCTACAAGCCAAAATACAGGGAATTCCATGCAAGTTTTTCAAAGTTAATGTTGAAGCTCATGTTTTTTCAACATGATGACTGACAAAAGAGGATGTATAGTACACTGTGCAGATGGCATAGGAAGGCAGGGCCATTGCTGACTATAGTTCCAATGTGTGTGTGAGCGTGCGTGTTTTTAGGAGCAATAGGAAGGCGAGGCCATTGCGCTGACTATATTTCAATGTGTGTGTGTGTGTGGGGGGGGGGGGGGGGGGGGGGGGGGGCAATATGAAGGCAGGGTCATTGCTGACACTATATAGTTCTAATAGGGGTGTGGGTGTGTCTGCTCAAAGTTCTCGACGATATCTATACATTATATGCACACAAGCAATGACAAAAGCAATAGGAATTAAAAGCAAGCAGTGATAATGACTGGTAAGACTGGTAAGAGCCAAACATGTGGCTGAAGGAACAGTAGCTGAATGATTTTAGGTGATGTTTCAGATCTTGCAAGGGGAAGGGCCAATGCTGACTACATTTCCAATATGAGGGTGTGTGGGGGGGTGCTTTGGGGAGAAAGGGCCAGTGTTGATTACAGTTCCAATAACAGTGTGTATGTGTGTAGGAGGGAGATGGGGATGCGTGCAGCAGGACCATTGCTGACTATAGTTACACATACTTAAGCACTCACTGAGGTCCTCCGCTGAACAGTCGCGTAGGCGACTTGCTGTACGCTTCTTGGGCTGCTTCTTAAGAATAAGGACAATACCATTGAGAAACTTGAAGATGGACAGGTCAAGGACACTCTGTTTGACCTCTGGGTTAGTTATGGCATTACCAATCCAGGACTTTAGGAAAGTGAAGTCAATACCAAGTTGTTGGGCACCTGGGACACTGAAACAACAAAAAAACATTTCTGAGTGAGGTCAATCTGGTCTTAGGGCTGCAGTCAGTAATATTCCTGTTCCTTCACACAGCCTGTAAATAGACAAGGTCGGTGGATGACTGCATGGATCCACAACACTGAATTACAATGACACAATCTATTGGCCATTGTTACCACCAGATCATTAACAGTCAGAACTAACCACATGAATGGTTCACTAAACCATAAAGAATCTGTGACTTTTTAGCCACTTGTCCACGAGTCTAGTAAAATTTCTTTTGGTCTTGCAAGCTTTGCGGAAAAAAGTCAATATATTAACACTAAGAACTACTGAAAATGATGTCAAGTGACAGGCCTGGGCAGTAGTCTGAAAAAGTTTGGCAAATACAGCATAACCTTCAAAACAAATAGTAAAGATATATCGTAATCTGCATGACCAAGTCACATGACACCTAATTTTAGCAAGGTTCATACAGATATGGAACATTATAATTCAAGGCCTTTTCAAGGTTTTCAATGTCCATTTCAAGGTCTTTTCAGCTGAGTTGTAAGCCTTAGTCAGTCAATATGTTTTTTTAAATGCTGCATATGTAAGACCTAAAAAGCAGTATGAACATCACAAATTTTCCAACAAGATTTTTTTTTTTTACAACCAACAAATAAAATAAATTGTCTGTCATGAAATGAAATCTTCATGGTCTTTGACCCACAAATCTATCACTTTGATAAATCACACTTCAACTTTTACTAACAAGTATGTATTTTTCACTATTTTGTTTTTTTAAAGCTGACACTAAAATTCAAGGCTTTTCAAGGGGGACCTTTTCAAGCCTGAATGAACCTTGTTTCAGATTTAGAACAAGGCCAACAACAAAAACAAAAGTGAAACAAAAGATTAGACATGAATTTCCCCATAACACTAACTTTTCCTATGCTCCCGTTTCAAAACGTTTGGTGAAAGATCATGGCTTGGTGTTACTATTTATCCCAGACTAGAAACGTTAATCAGTTTCCTTAACGCTTTTGAAAGGTGTATTACGCTTTGAAAACAACTTAATTCATTTCTACCTTTTAAGACATATCTTATGGGGTTTTTTCAAGACAGGCCTGTTATACATGTCGATTACCTAAACTTGATCTTTTCCTTCAGGATGAGGTTTGTCCAGGCTTCACAGATGGCCACAGTTGCCAAGGAGATGACACTGAGCTGAGATGGCAGATTGAGTTTACTGACTCCATCAATGACCGGTTCCAAGATGGCCTCCAACACCTGCTCCACATACAGATTCGCTGACACAGGGGATTCTACAAATGTCAAGGTCACATGAGACACATGATAGCAGCAATAACTTCCAATGGTTCAGACATCAACAATTTTTCCACTGGAATCATGTAAATGTCAAAGATGTAACGCTGACTTACAGTTAAGGATGTCGTGAAACATCAATCGAGGCAATTTGATGGTTCAGTCAAGATAGTCAGAAGATTTAGATGAATTTAGGTCAGAATAACTTATCCGACCGCCTCACTATCAAACAGCCGGACACACATCATTTCATTGTCCCTACAGACAAATTAAACCCCGATGTGTTTCCCATTCTTTCTTTCCACGATGAAATACTGTAAGTATTAAATGCGAAAAATGTGAAAGGCCTTTGCGCGCATTATTAAACATCGCATTTATATAAAAATAAGACATTTTGGATAGCAGGAATACCAACTTAGACATACTGAAAATAAACAACTATGTATTCAACACCACTGTTTATTGAGCAGCACTTGTAACAAGTATATACATTTGTACTATCAACAATGTCATTCAAACACTAATTACATCCTGTGTATTGTCACTGCCTGGGTCAAGACAAGAGTTCTCATGACTGATCACACCTGCAAGTCCAGACAGACGCCACCCACGCAACACAATGTTTGGTTCTTTGCAACTGCGTCAAAGGCCGATACGAGCCAGCGCACATGTATTGTTTTAGCTGAAGTACTCTACTCAGCGCTAATAAGCGGTGCTATTTGGTGTGTGACTGGATTAATGTAAGATTGGAATCAGGTGAGGATTCTCCTGTAAACCTGACAGAGGACATTTTCTGCTTGAGAGAAGGGGGGATGTCGCATTCATATTGAGTCACATTTTGGGCTAGGGGCCAGTGGTTGCATTCTTTTGGAGACGCATTAATTTCACGATTTACAGTACACCCTACACATAGTCTAACCAGACATTCATGCCTCATGTGAATCAAAATCAACAGTAATGTGACATCGTCTTGAGGAAATTGTAACAAAAACAGAAAATGCTAAATGCCTACAGCCTCATATTAAAAACAAATAATGGATAAAAAGCTAATAATCAATTTATTGTGGCCCTCTCAGGTTAAGTGTATACAGTTTTACCAATATTTTTTCTTGACAAGTACACCACATGCATTGTCGTACCAAACATTCATGCTTCTTGTGACCCCTGAAGATCCAGGTTAGAATAGGTCTTCAGCAACCTTTGCTTGTCGTAACAGGCGACTATGTTTGTCGTAAGAGGTATAACGGGATTGGTTCGTCAGGCTTGCTGACTCGGTTGATGCGTGTCATTGTACCTCAATTGCATGGATCGATGCTCATGATGTCAATCACTGGATTGTCTGGTCCAGACTCGATTATTTACAGAGCTGGAATACTGCTGAGTGCCGGGTTAAACAACAAATAAACAAACAAAATCTTGCTTCATGTGATTTACAATAGTTCAAGAATGAACACTTTGTTTAAAAAAGACATCTGGATGAAAATCAAATACATTATTTATTGTGGCCATATCAGGGGAAGTTTGTAGTGGCTGGTTTAAAAGGAATCCAGGTCCGGGGAATGCATGCATGTGAATGACAAATGGAGTAATAACCCCTCCACATCTGGCTTGTGTACCTACCCAGGGCAGTCTTTCTTCTCCACGGTTTGCCCAATGGCATTGTATCTCGAAAGTAGTCTGACGCAATCTTTCCACACTTCTCAGAAAACAGCTTCATTGATGCTCCAGAGAGACTCTGACACAATAAACATTGAAAATCATTATTTTTTTAGTCAGAACAAAAATCCATAGTAGACATACATCAATTCATTATTCTTATCTTCTTGCTATTTCATCTAGCCCAACTTAGATGATCCATGTCTGTGAGTTCTGACCTCTTGGTTCACTAACCTGCAGCTGAGCATCGATCTCCCCGTGTTGATGACAGATCTGACCTCTGACCTCTTGGTTCACTAACCTGCAGCTGAGCATCGATCTCCCCGAGTTGATGACAGATCTGACCTCTGACCTCTTGGTTCACTAACCTGCAGCTGAGCATCGATCTCCCCGAGTTGATGACAGATCTGACCTCTGTCCTCATGGTTCACTAACCTGCAGCTGAGCATCGATCTCCCCGAGTTGATGACAGATCTGACCTCATGGTTCACTTACCTGAAGCTGAGCATCGATCTCCCTGAGTTGATGACAGATCTGACCTCATGGTTCACTTACCTGCAGCTGAGCATGGATTTCCACGAGTTGATGACAGATCTGACCTCATGGTTCACTTACCTGCAGCTGAGCATGGATTTCCCCGAGTTGATGACAGATCTGACCTCATGGTTCACTAACCTGCAGCTGAGCATCGATCTCCCCAAGTTGATGACAGATCTGACCTCATGGTTTACTAACCTGCAGCTGAGCATTGATCTCCCTGAGTTTATGACAGATCTGACCTCTAACCTCATGGTTCACTTACCTGCAGCTGAGCATTGATCTCTGTAAGTTGATGACAGGTCTGCGAGATCTGCCCCCCTGACAGGAGATCAAGTGTGGAGTTTTGGGTGACCCCGGACTGGGTCAGGTTCTCCAGGTAGTACAGAACCTGCTTGGTCTCGTCCACTAGCATCTGTAGGACAAAAGGACCACTCATCAATAACCTGTCAAAGTGCATGATATGTGTCCATATCACAAGCAAATGCATGATTTGTGAGTTTTGTCTAACTTTGCTTTGAACAGAATTTCAAACATCTCAAAAGAAGTTAAAGAACACCCGCTTCTTTCATACCTATAGTAATATGAAAGTATTGCATGTTTCTTAACTTCTTTTGAGTTGCATATATCTATCAGAGTGATTCAGCTTTCGTGAAACCCATGGGACAGGTATGATGCTGACAGACCAGGAATCATAATCAAGACAAGACTGGGCTTGAAACCAATGGCCGCCAGGTCCTGGAGCATTTAATGAATGAGACTTCACAGCATTGCATGATGGGAATGAATGAGGAGAGGTGGAGTTCACCTCTCAACATTCACCGAAAAAGTGAATCTTCATCTATGGCTGAGTGAGTGAGTGAGTGAGTATGGTTTTACACCGCTTTTAGCAAAATTCCAGCAATATCACGGCGGGGGACACCAGAATGGGCTTCACACATTGTACCCATGACGGGAATCGAACCCGGTTCTTCGGCGTGACGAGCGAACGCTTTAACCACTAGGCCACCCGACCGCCCTCATCTATGGCTGAACAGAAACATGAGATGTGGTTTGATTTTATTTCAATTCTGATGGGGATTCCAGGTAGGAATATATCTCCAGGAACCTATACTTGTCATAAGAGGCGACTAAATAGATCAGGTGGTCAGGCTCAGTGACCTGGTTTTCTGGGGATCATTGAACCATCCACTGGTTTGTCTGGCCCAGTCTCGATTACAGTACTCATTACAGGTTTGGAAATAGCAAACTGTTGTATTAAATAACAAAAAAAATTGCAAAAACATTACTTTAAACTTTTAACCGTGGTTACCTTACATAAGTCATGAACATGTACATTTACAATCACTGACCCAATATATGTCTTATACTCTTAACTCACCTCCAACAAAATTGAAAATTATTCATTTATACTTCATACAAACAGGTCAGACAAAGGTTATGTTGGGCCAGGTACATCATGAAACAAGAATGCACTTTGTATCTTCATTATGCCTGAAGATGAAAGGTTCACAATGTATTCTCCCATTGAGGTCGCCAAGAACAGCTGCGAACTTGCTGATGCATCACATAGCAATAATCACTCACTCAAACATTTTCAGGTCAACAGTGCCAAGAGTAGTTCCAAAAGTGCTGATGCAGCAGAGTAGTTCCAAAAGTGCTGATGAAGCAGCCCCGTAAAGATCCGGCGTAGAATAGGTCTTCAGCAACCAATACTTGCCGTAAAAGGCGACTATGCTTGTCGTAAAAGGCGACTAACGGGATCGGGTGGTCAGGCTCGCTGACTTGGTGGATGCATGTCATCAATCCCAATTGCCTGGATCGATGTTCATGATATTAATCACTGGATTGTCTGGTCCAGACTCGATTATTTACAGACCGCCGTCATATAGCTGGAATATTGCTGAGTGCGGCTTTAAACAACCAACCAACCAACCAACCAAGCCGATGCAGCAATACTGCCATTTCCCTCACTAACTCACCTTGAGGTCACTGTGTGTGATGAGGAGGAACGCGCTGACTGACCAGGAGGCCAGAAACTGATGTGTCTTCACCATACACCAGCTGTGAGCAGCCCGACACGTCATCAGCACACGCAGGCAGATGCCGGCCACCAGCGACAAGTCCACGTCTTGTCTCGCAAGCAAACTTGAGGAATCTGAAGGCACAGTAACAATATGTTAATAGTTTTTTCTTGATTTTATGTCTTCGAAAATTGAAAACATATCTGTCATCAGTGAGTTGCCCCTCAGTGCTATATAGCAGTCAACAAGTCTGTCACGAGGGACTTGCCCCTCAGTAATATTTAGCAGTCAACAAGTCTGTCAGGAGAGACTTGCCCTCAGTAATATATAGCAGTCAACAAGTCTGTCATGAGAGACTTGCCCTCAGTGATATATAGCAGTCAACAAGTCTGTCATGAGAGACTTGCCCTCAGTGATATATAGCAGTCAAAAAGTCTGTCATGAGAGACTTGCCCTCAGTGATATATAGCAGTCAACAAGTCTGTCATCAGTGAGTTGCCCCTCAGTTATATATAGCAGTCAACAAGTCTGTCAAGAGAGACTTGCCCCTCAGTTATATATAGCAGTCAACAAGTCTGTCATCAGTGAGTTGCCCCTCAGTTATATATAGCAGTCAACAAGTCTGTCATCAGTGAGTTGCCCCTCAGTAATATATAGCAATCAACAAGTCTGTCATGAGAGACTTGCCCTCAGTAATATATAGCAGTCAACAAGTCTGTCACGAGAGACTTGCCCCTCAGTGATATATAGCAGTCAACAAGTCTGTCATGAGAGACTTGCCCTCAGTGATATATAGCAGTCAACAAGTCTGAAATCAGTGAGTTGCCCCTCAGTAACATATAGCAGTCAACAAGTCTGTCATCGGTGAGTTGCCCCTCAGTAACATATACCTAGCAGTCAACAAGTCTGTCAGGAGAGACTTGCCCCTCAGTAATATATAGCAGTCAACAAGTCTGTCATCAGTGAGTTGCCCCTCAGTACCATATAGCAGTCAACAAGTCTGTCAGGAGAGACTTGCCCCTCAGTAACATATAGCAGTCAACAAGTCTGTCATGTGGAACTTGCCCTCAGTGATATATAGCAGTCAACAAGTCGGTCACGAGGGACTTGCCCCTCAGTAACATATAGCAGTCAATGAGTCTGTCAGGAGAGACTTGCCCCTCAGTAATATATAGCAGTCAACAAGTCTGTCACGAGAGACTTGCCCCTCAGTAGCATATAGCAGTCAACAAGTCTGTCAGGAGAGACTTGCCCCTCAGTAACATATAGCAGTCAATAAGTCTGTCATGAGGGACTTGCCCTCAGTAATATATAGCAGTCAACAAGTCTGTCATGAGAGACTTGCCCTCAGTGATATATAGCAGTCATCAAGTCTGTCATGAGAGACTTGCCCTCAGTGATATATAGCAGTCAAAAAGTCTGTCATGAGAGACTTGCCCTCAGTGATATATAGCAGTCAACAAGTCTGTCATCAGTGAGTTGCCCCTCAGTTATATATAGCAGTCAACAAGTCTGTCAAGAGAGACTTGCCCCTCAGTTATATATAGCAGTCAACAAGTCTGTCATCAGTGAGTTGCCCCTCAGTTATATATAGCAGTCAACAAGTCTGTCATCAGTGAGTTGCCCCTCAGTAATATATAGCAATCAACAAGTCTGTCATGAGAGACTTGCCCCTCAGTAACATATAGCAGTCAACAAGTCTGTCATGAGAGACTTGCCCTCAGTAATATATAGCAGTCAACAAGTCTGTCAGTCTGTCATGAGAGACTTGCCCTCAGTGATATATAGCAGTCAACAAGTCTGTCACGAGAGACTTGCCCCTCAGTGATATATAGCAGTCAACAAGTCTGTCATGAGAGACTTGCCCTCAGTGATATATAGCAGTCAACAAGTCTGTAATCAGTGAGTTGCCCCTCAGTAACATATAGCAGTCAACAAGTCTGTCATCGGTGAGTTGCCCCTCAGTAACATATACCTAGCAGTCAACAAGTCTGTCAGGAGAGACTTGCCCCTCAGTAATATATAGCAGTCAACAAGTCTGTCATCAGTGAGTTGCCCCTCAGTACCATATAGCAGTCAACAAGTCTGTCAGGAGAGACTTGCCCCTCAGTAACATATAGCAGTCAACAAGTCTGTCATGAGGAACTTGCCCTCAGTACTATATAGCAGTCAACAAGTCGGTCACGAGGGACTTGCCCCTCAGTAACATATAGCAGTCAATGAGTCTGTCAGGAGAGACTTGCCCCTCAGTAATATATAGCAGTCAACAAGTCTGTCACGAGAGACTTGCCCCTCAGTAGCATATAGCAGTCAACAAGTCTGTCATGAGAGACTTGCCCCTCAGTAACATATAGCAGTCAACAAGTCTGTCATGAGGGACTTGCCCTCAGTAATATATAGCAGTCAACAAGTCTGTCAGGAGAGACTTGCCCTCAGTGATATATAGCAGTCAACAAGTCTGTCATGAGAGACTTGCCCTCAGTGATATATAGCAGTCAACAAGTCTGTCACTGGGGAGGTGTAAAGATGATGCCCCACCTGGTCTGGTGATGCCAAGGTCCCTCCACACCTCCTGGATGAGGCTGTACATGGGCTTGAAGGTGTCTCGCAGGAGCATCCCGGTCTTGGTGCTGTACTCCCCATCCATCAGGGGGCAGGGGTAGCACTTGTCTGTCCCCTGGGAGCTGACGGCACTTGTCAGGTCTGGAACAGGAACAGAATAGGGCTAGATATTTGACAAGTCTTAAATTGCAATAACCAGGATAACAAATTGTACTTTTGTGGGAAGCGTGCGTGCGTTCGTGATGCTTTCGTGCGTTCATTTGTTCATTCATTTATCGCTGTTTAAAGCAGCACTCAGCAATATTCAAGCTATTATGACGGCGGTCTGTATATAATCAAGTCTGGACCAGACAATCCAGTGATTGACATCATGTCTTCATGCCACGTAATTGCAAAATTGGGATACGATGATATGCATCAACCAAGTCAGCGAGGATGACCACCCGATCCCGTTATAGTCGCCTCTTACGACAAGCATAGTCGCTTTTTACGGCAAGCATGGGTTGCTGAAGACCTATTCTACACCGGATCTTCACTGGTCTTGTAGGAAGTGGATCCCTGTCACTCTGGCTACCAGAGGGAGTCAAATATCATAAGTCAAAGTCAAAAGTCATAAAATACCCTCACATATCACCATAATCCAATTCATTTTGAGTTGCTTGCAAACAAATACACTTGAAAATGTTTTTTAAAAACAATAGTGTAACAATTCCCAATGTAGCCTTTTCAGCATGCGAATATCTTTACCTGAATATATTTACTCATCTTTATTCACTGATCAAGTGCAGGCATCACCATTACATAAACTCTGCTGTGGTGAATATTACACAAAAGTGCTACGTCTTTGCAACTGAGACATGTGTTGTTGTTGTGAGCTTATGAAATGTCTGAGACATTTGGGACAGCACATGAACAGAAGAAAATTAGAAGTTACCTGATACTGTATCTAAAGCAGAATTATTTTTAAAATTCGTACCGGTACCCATGGGTTTAAAAATACCCACTAGACTGCATCCAAGAGAGTTAAATATATTCAATACTCAAAGAAAATTATCAATTTCTCAATGAATGATAACAACATGTGAGTAAATACTCAATGACAGACAATTATCTGGAGACCTGAGTGAGTGAGTGAGTATGGTTTTACGCCGCTTTTAGCAATATTCCAGCAATATCACGGCGGGGGACACCAGAAATGGGCTTCACACATTGTACCCATGTCGGGATTCGAACCCGGGTCTTCGGCGTGACGAGCGAACGCTTTAACCACTAGGCTACCCGACCGCCCCCTGGAGACCTGAGAATTCTATCATTGTGTTAAATCAGAAAACACTTAATTGTGATGTGTGTTGGAATTTGTGCAGTCCCAATTAAACAGTTTTAACGATGACTGGTTGGCTTCAATTTCCATGAAAGGAATCATGTTATCAAGGATTCATTTACAAGAATGTTTCACAAATAATAAAGTTCAAAAGGGATATCTTTTGAATTGCGAGGCAGTAAAAAGTGATCATATCAGTCTGTGACTTTAGCTACTAGTCCAAAGCCCGAAAATAGTTAAATAATATTCTATATAATAACAATAAATTCAACCAAAAATTCTGCCAAGAGTCACAAATATTTTTGGCCAAGACTGCCTGGAGTAGTGTTAAGATTCAAGGGAAATAACTCTGCCAGACTATTTAGCTGAATATGTCATAGGATGTCTATTTGTTCCAGGAAATACTCAGGTGTTGTAGAAAATAAATAATTGTTTGCTGAACATGCTGTATGGCCTGAAAAAAATGTGTGAAAACAAATGAATAATTGTTTAGTGCTTAAAAATTATGTCTTGCAGCAGTGCAGCCTGCACTCCACTCCATCTCCCAGGTGAGAGGAAGGTCAGTTGTTTGATCCCCGGCTGGGTCATACCAAAAAATGTTAAAAGATGGTACTTGTTACCCTGGCTGTCGGTGGACGGCATTCAGGAGATAAAAACTATGACTGGTCGGCTCAGAGTGTATATACTATTTCGAAGTGTTGCATGCATGTTTAACATCGGCATCGTATTTCCGTGGGCTAGCACTATGAAACTGGCATTAGTCTGGACAAGTAGAAGCAGTCACACACTCAGCCACGCCTGCATGCACGCACGCACGCACGCACGCACGCACAATCCATCTGTATACATCATATGAACTCATTTCTCCATTTCAATAATACTTTTGTTTCATTATACAAACTGTTTTAAGTCCATTCTAACAAACACCAACAATATTAGATATTGAGAAGCACAGGTATGTGTGGAGCAAGCTACACACATAAAATGCTAAGATTTACTGTAAATACTTGAACAGATGCTCAGGAGTATATTTATTTCAGAGTCGTCTTACATCCAACATCCATTTAATTATGGGTAAACACTTTTAATTATTGACTAGGGGACGTGTAATTTGAATACAAAACATGTTTGTTTTGCATTTTGTATGATAACGGCTTTCATTTCAATATCACTTCATTGAGTACCTAAAGGACTCTCCTTGTTTAGCTATCTTGACCCAGCATGTACTTAAGGCAGGCGTCTCAAGGACGGTATACCCTACGCCCACACAGCGTGTTTACTCCCCTGTAGACAAACCTCACTGACAGTTACATAAAGGACAAAAGTCAACAACAAACATGTGATTATCGCATACCACTGTGTTTATACGCCATGGTACTTAACAGTGATGATGTCAGTAAGCAGGTAGAGAAATTATAGCAGTCAGCGCAGAACTAAGTTCTGTTTTCTCAAGTGGCAAGTATTCTTGGCTTGTAAATGAGATTCTTGTTTTCTCCTTTCCTCCTGTTACCAGACAGCTCACAACAACCACTACTGGTGTATAAGTACAATAATAACTGAAGATCTTTGTTTGTATTAACCAGTCAGGTGGCCTCTTGAAAATATGGATGATTAAATTCCTACTACGAAACCTGGTTTTTCACAAACTTGGCCACTGAAGTGCACATTTGCATGTCCTGCGTCCCGGTACAACCTATCCATGAGCACTTAATGATTTCGAGCTATGGTTTTCTTTTTATTTACAGTCAATCCTTAAAAATAACCTAATAAATAAATAACTACCATGAATAACTAATAACTTGTCTTTCTTAAGGTGAGTTGCACTCCTTTGATAACAAAAGGGCAAACAAGGTTTAAAAACAGACCTAAAATGTTCTTATTGAATTCCAAAACACTATAACCCCTCGAAAAGCTGCATAAACAAGAGGACATTCTGACTGGTAACAACTTTTCAGTTTGGGCTGAAATATTTATTTAGGGGACTGACTACAGCATCATGAGATGTCCATCTACAAAACAAATGCTGCATGATAAAAAGAAATTCTTCTTATGCTCATGCAAAAATGTCTGTCTACTCCACCTATAGATGAAAAATCTTTTGCGTCTGAGTGTCTGAGAAACATTATTTAATTGAATATACTCAAAAGAAGTTAAAGAACACCCAATGTTTTCATATGACTCCAGTTAATCTGTCATAACATGCCATTCTTATGCTCATGCAAAAATATTGTCTTTCTACTCCACGTATAGACGAAAAATGTTATAACAAGGCAGATTAACTGTAGCATATTTTCAACTTGGTCGTCACACACCAAACAGGCCCCTCTTCCACTAGATAAGCCACCGTTTCATGTCAGTGAGCCATTAGCCTCACACCCACTCAGTGTCCAATAGCAATGTGGTGATAGCCTCTCGTGTTCTATTGCATTACTACAAAGTATTACAAGGATGGTCTCTCCCAGTCCTGCCTTGCTTGATGTACAAGTGGTTAGCGACCTGACCCAGAGACACGGCCACTTCAAAGCACTCTACGTATCTAAGGTGGAATGCCCTCACACCCACCCCTTGTGTGTGTTGTGTACCTGTCTCTCCACATCGCTGACAACAAAGAACAATATTCATACGTTCTTAAAAGATAATGTACTACAAAACCTTATTCAATATTCATACTGAACAAAAAAAATTGGATCATCAATATTTTTGGGTATATTTTTTTGTAGTAAAGACTGAGCACACAATTTCATAAAAATATCCTGAAATAAATTCATGACCTTTTATCTTTTTTATATATATATAAGGTTTCAATTAAACAGACACTTTCACGTCAAATGTGTGTGGTTTTTAATCGTTGCATTTAAAAACTTTGGAATGGAATGTTGCCGATGTTGTCTGGAACTTATTATTATAATATGAGTGAGTGAGTATGGTTTAGCGTCACTTTTAGCAATATTCCAGCGATATCACGGCGGGGGGCACCTTAAATGGGCTTCACACATTGTACCCATGTCGGGAATCAAACCCGGGTCTTTGGCGTGACGAGCGAACGCTTTAACCACTAGGCTACCCGACCGCCCCTATTATAATATGAAACAAGAAAACAGCGTCATCACTATCTCTCACCATGGGGGGATCTGTAGTTTCTGAGAAAACGTGTCCCCATTGCAGACACTATGCACTTAGTTAAAAAGCACAGAGCAAGGGCTGTTATTCTGCAAAGAATTATTTACGGCACTAATTTTTCATACTCAAGTCTTGACAAGTGTCTCTCACATAAGCATGCAAACTTTCATTCATGTCATTTCAGTGGTTTCTGAGAAAATCTGCCTCCATTTCACGAAGTATGCACAAAGCAAGTAGAACGGGCCCTAACTGTTAAAAAAGGAATAAAAGACACAAATTTTTGATAATCATTTGAGATCATGGCCAGTAACATCAGTGTGTGAAATTTCATTTCTCTAACTCAAATCGCTTTTGGGAAAATTTGTCCAAAGGAGAAGCGGACGGACAGACAAACAAACTCCATGCCACTCTGTGGCAGGGGATAGTAAACCTGAAACAGTGTTCATTTTCCTTGTTCATCAAACCAACGAGAGTAGCCTCCCTTTAAATAGACATACTTGAACCCAGTTTTGCCACAATTGGGCTCAGGAATGTGCACTGAAATCTTAGCTAATTGAAACATGTAAAAAGAAGTCTTGCTATTAGCTCTAGAATAATTATGGACATGATGAAAGCATGTGAAAACCAAACTTGATGCTGCCAATAACGATACTGGTGAAATATTGCTACAAGCGGCATAAATAACGCACAGCACAATATTTGAGATAAGTGGCCTACCACATTGGGGTACTTTCTCAATATTTGGGTCAATTTAATATCACGTTATTGACAGCGAACCCATTGGTAATTTCAAGGACCAATCAATATCAGCATCTAGAATTATCTCTGGACTTTGGGGATAACTGAGAGAATGCTCTCTGCTCTATCCAGTAAGGAGACTTGAGGCTGGGCTTATCCTGGAAGCCTGCTGACAGTGCACACATGCATATATAGCATCATATTTCATTATGATACTGTGCTTTGGACAGATTCCAATTTGTCTATGAAGGGAATTGAGCAAAGGAAATCTGAGCCTCAGCTATTCCACCTGAGGTTATATATCTGTGTTATTCATTCATACAGGCTATACTATGGTACACACACGCATGGATGCACATGCACACGCAGAGGTAGACTAGCATCAAGTCTCTGATATTTTACAGAAAAAACAGTCGTTAATTTATCTTGACAAGACAAAACAAGAGTCTTCAGAAGATGACAAATCCCCACGATCCCCACAATAGCAAAATGCACCACTTCAGCCCCTGGTTAACATATGTACCAAGTTTGAATGAATAATCTTTCACAGTTTGCAAGTTATGCTCCGGAAACGAAATACAGACGGACAGTTGAAGACCAGAGGATGACTACATACCCCTGCATTACATGCAGGAGGAAGGAGCCCAGAGACACTCTTCATTTTCAGTAACTGCAATCATCAAGCTAGACTTGCCAATTATCATAGACTAGCATGGTCTGTATTTGATGTATTTGTTTCAAGGTCTGTATGACAGACAACTGGTAACACAAGGGGAGGGAGGTGGGATAAGAAATGTATATTTTTGTTTATGTCTGTGGGAATGTGATAATAGTGAATTGGGAATAACCTACCACTGACTTACACACAAATTTACATTTTTTTTTTAATCAGATTTTTTGCAGACTGCAGACTAATAGAAAAGCACCCACCTTCCCCCAAATATTAGTTACATGATAGTTGAAATAAAATAGATATATTCAAATTGATAAACGAACAAAACAAAGTAACTGGAGAAGGGTATTAGGTTTCACGGCAGTCATCACTTGTTTGTAAACATAATGGTCAGATGGTTCTGAGTTTAACTCCATTCATGGGGTCAGGCCGCCAAGCACAGTGCGGAGCTGTGATTGGTGGCAATGATATTGGAGAGGCTGAGTCACTGTGAGGAGCTGGAGGGTTTATGTGCACATTCAAGTTGTGGTGACCGACAGTCGTTGCTGGCACAATCTCTTTCATTTTCAGGAATTGAATATTGTGGCTTTTTGCAAATTGTCAACTATCATTCCGCATCATATAGGTAAACTTTGTTAATTAGTAAAACGTGTTTACCAAATCAGCCTCAGCATGAACCAGAAGATTTAATCTCGTAATTGTTCATCCACCCCGCAAACATAGTTCCCTGTAATTCTCACCAGGGAGAGAAATGTAAACAATGTTTAGGTCTGCCCTTTGGAATTCAAGAGTACTAACAAGACAACTTTTGATGATTTTGATTCATGATCAAACTTGGTGAATGTAATTTCACCGGTACCAGGAGCTCGATAATAAGCATTAAGCAGTTGTAATTAAAAAAGTTTGCCCCATATTCAATTTCTGAATCTCCAGGATTATTTCATAAATCACACTGTGCAATCAGTGGTTGCATACGGTCATCATTTTCAATGTGTTTGTCAAGTTTGCATGTGAAAGTCCATTTGTCGAAGGTAGTACACAAAAAACATATTTGTTGAAAAACATGATTCCTTCACAAGCCCTTGAGGCACCAGGAACATATTTTATCCATGCTATTTTGATTTTATCTGTGCCATTCAAATACGAGGAATTTCAAACCTGATATTATTTTATGACATGACCGACCTTCCACTCTCTATCCACTAGACCATGTGGAGGTCACACTAACACTAGAGGGGTATTGGTGTGAGTTAATATCGGAAACCTGGTTCTGCCTAATGTGGCTATTAGAGTGTACAAGAAGGGTAAAAAAGAATTCATAAGAATCCTGCCCACACCACTTACATTGATCCCATGCTGCGTTCGCTGAGATGATGTGGAGCCGCATTGCCGTCCCAAGAAGAGGTTGGACTGATGCAAGGGGAAAAAGGTCTGGAACAAGAAAAGTATAAGGCATTTAGCTTCTCTGATGAGAAACATGACATTTAATACAAGACATAATAGACCGCCTCCGTGGTCTAGAGGTAGAGCGTCCGCTCAGAGAGCGGAAGGGTCCGGGGTTTGATCCCCGGCTGCGTCATACCAAAAGACGTTAAAAGATGGTACTTGTTGTTGCCCTGTCTGGCGCTTGGCATTAAGGGGCTAAAACAAGGACTGGTCCATTCGGAGTCAGTATACTGTGTCAGAGTGGGGTATTCATGATAAACTGCGGTATGGTATCTCAGTGGGCTAGCACTATAAATCGGCATCAGTCCAAACTAGTACAAGCAACCCCACATACACACGTGCATGCACGTCGCTATATAAGTGCAATAATCTTGGACGCAATGTTAAACCCAATTTCACCTCACCTCACCTCAATACATAATATATTATTCAGGGATTGGTCGTTTATTATAGGGGTGGGGTAGGAAAGTGAGATTGGTCTGAGGACTGTATCATATTTTGCCGCACCTGTATAGTTATTTTTTCATGACACTTCCTCCCCTCACCCCTATATAAATTACCAGTTCCTAATAACTAATGCTCACAGTAGCTGTTTGTTTCTTGTTTAACGCCGGACTCAGCAATATTCCAGCTGTATGGCGGCGGTCTGTAAATAATCAAATCTTAACCAGACAATCCAGTGATTGACATCATGAGAATCGATCCATGCAACTGGGATATGATGACATGCATCAACCAAGTCTGCGAGCCTGACCACCCAATCCCGTTAGTCGCCTCTTATGACAAGCATAGTCACCTTTTATGGCAAGCATGGGTTGCTGAAGACCTATTCTACCCCTATCTTTACGGGTCTCAGAGTAGCTGACAGGATAATAGTTTGAATTCTGCCCAATTCAATACCTGTGACAATGTTCTCCAAAAAACTATTCATTAGGCCAAGAGCTAACATAACAAAAACTAAGGCAGGCAGCTGCACAAAACACTTTACATGACAGCAAATTATTTCTGCTTATTTTTTTAAGAAAGGCAAAAGTTATGTCATCAATGTAGCTCAGGATCGCGAGCACCATTTTTTAAAAAGTAATTTTATCATCAGTTGGAGAATAGGCGATTTATCAAAAATACTGATTAAAAACATTGCTATTTGACAAAAGTCTTTTCCAAGTTTTTTTCAATTAATGTTTCTCTGGAGATCATAATAGCGTTTGCTACTTCCAGCTATTCTAAAACAAGACATTATCGAACAGCCTATCTATTGTCAGATAATAAGCACATGGCCTTCTGCTGGTCACAGTGTCTTATCTAGTGCAGTTCAATAGCTATACCCGGACTGGTCACACTTTCTATCTGATATAGTTGACAGGAAACTATTTCATCTTAAATTATGTTCTTTCGCATCCAAACATAAATGTTTGGGTTCCAAATACATCCATTTTCAAGGTAAAGGTCACTCGGATATGGCAATATAGGTTGTAATAAGTATTCATTAAACAAAACAGCTTCAACAGAGAACTCAGTTGTAGTCAGTAACACATCAGCAGAGTGTATGTAGTAGACAACAACTAACTCTATATACTGCCAGACTTGAGAACCTCCCCTGCCTACAGTGACAGCAGAGTGTATGTAGTAGACAACAGCTAACTCTATATACTGCCCAAGACTTGAGAACCTCCCCAGCCTACAGTGATAGCAGAGTGTATGTAGTAGACAACAACTATCTCTATATACTGCCAGACTTGAGAACCTCCCCAGCCTACGGTGATAGCAGAGTGTATGTAGTAGACAACAGCTAACTCTATATACTGCCACAGACTTGAAAACCTCCCCAGCCTACAGTGATAGCAGAGTGTATGTAGTAGACAACAGCTAACTCTATATACTGCGCAAGACTTGAGAACCTCCCCTGCCTACAGTGATAGCAGTGTATGTGTAGTAGACAACAGCTAACTCTATATACTGCCAGACTTGAGAACCTCCCCAGCCTACAGTGATAGCAGAGTGTATGTAGTAGACAACAGCTAACTCTATATACTGCCACAGACTTGATAACCTCCCCAGCCTACATTGATAGCAGAGTGTATGTAGTAGACAACAGCTAACTCTATATACTGCCCAAGACTTGAGAACCTCCCCAGCCTACAGTGATAGCAGAGTGTATGTAGTAGAAAACAGCAAACTCTATATACTGCCACAGACTTGAGAACCTCCCCAGCATACAGTGATAGCAGAGTGTATGTAGTAGACAACAACTAACTCTATATACTGCCACAGACTTGAGAACCTCCCCTGCCTACAGTGACAGCAGAGTGTATGTAGTAGACAACAGCTAACTCTATATACTGCCACAGACTTGAGAACCTCCCCAGCCTACAGTGATAGCAGTGTATGTGTAGTAGACAACAGCTATCTCTATATACTGCCACCGAATTGAGAACCTCCCCTGCCTACAGTGATAGCAAAGTGTATGTAGTAGACAACAGCTAACTCTATATACTGCCACAGATTTGAGAACCTCCCCAGCCTACAATGACAGCAGAGTGTATGTAGTAGACAACAGCTAACTCTATATACTGCCAGACTTGAGAACCTCCCCAGCCTACAGTGATAGCAGAATGTATGTAGTAGACAACAGCTAGCACTACATATACCACCAGGGACATGGGAACGTCCCCAGTGCTGCAGGTGCCACACAGTATGTGAACTGGTAGACCAGTAAGCACAGTAACTCTATCTGCCACTAATCCCAGCGTCTGAGTGCAGTAAGCACTGCCTGGCCAGGCTCATGTTGTTGTAACATTATTGGCAGGAATGTAACGAATGATCAGACAGACAGCCTGGCTTGCGAAATAAGCGGAAGCCATGACAACAGACTAGAGAATCAGGCTAGAAGTCAATCAGGTAACACTCACAAATGCCTGGCAACAGAAAGTGTATTCATGGCATTTTCTGCAGATATTACCTCAGAATTAATTTACTCCTTTAATGTCAAAGTGTCCTGTGCATTATCAAAATTTCAAAGACTTTCAAATATTAGATTTTCAGCAGCACCAGGGCCCACTTGCACAAAGTGATCTTAGCGCTAAGACTATTGTATGCCTGTGTTAATGTATGGGAGTAACAATCATCTTAGCGCTAAGATCGCTTTGTGAAAGTGGGCCCTGACCAAGTATATCTGTACAATTATAGCACGCTTATGCAACTATGGGTTATCACCTCAGACTTGAATACCATCTGAAAGAAGCACTCATAACATGAATTGTTAATTTCAAACTCAACACTGAAACTACTTTTTTTTACCAGTTCCATCCTCATCAGTAACCAGCAATTGCTCAGCAGATTGAGACTCGCCAAATTTCTTACCTGGATTGTTTCACTGATAAAACAATTGTTCATCGATAACTGTTGCAATACACTATAATACAGGTGTGTTTTGTATTCAAAATGACCCACAAATAATGCAGAAACCTTTGGCAATTCAGTGATAGAAAGTAACAGTTTTTGTCCGGTAGTCCTTATAATGATAACATACAGAAAAACCCTTTAAAATGGCAAATTTCCACTGGTCCTTATGATACCTTAACTATTGGGCAGATTGACAAGAACAATAGGACTAGTGCCAGTTTCTAATGCTGCAATTTGTCAGGCCACCAGTACTGAGGTTGTCAGGTGTAATGAAAAAATAAATAGGTTGGGCATCCAAATGATACAGGAAATGCTGACTTTCAAGTATCATGTATCATGACTTCTGCTAGTTCCAGCATTAGTTTTGAGGGATACAAATGTACAGTGACAGGAACAAACAGGTCTTAAGGGGCCTTGAGGATACAGAATTTGAACTTAGGCTCCCCTAAACATGCTAAGCACACACAGGGATCTACCTAGGCCTGCTAAGAGGCCAATATTTAGCCCCAAGTCTGAAACAAATGGCTGTAAAAAAAATCAAATTGAAATAAAAACTATCCCAATTGATGCTGTTGTAGTTGTAACTGATATGATGGCTTGGTAGAGATGACTTGTATTCCACCAATACAGAGCAAGAGGCTTTATTAGTTCTATATATTGCATCAAATGTAATGTTAAACTTCATTGTTGAACAAAAACTTTTCAATTAAAATCTCAAAGAATTATTTTCACCAGTTTGCCTGCTAAGGGCACTTACATTTGAAATCCTTGATAAATTTCTGAAACAAATAACAGAATTCAAATGTCATTTTTATAACCTTTCAATTGTAGTACCCTTTCAGAATGCCAAACCTTACTTCTCTGACATTCAGAAATTGGTAATATGGACACCCATATGACTAATGGCATACATCATAACATTAGCTGGGATGATCATCTTGTAAAGTCAATTATGTTAACATTTCTACATTACACCTACGATACACACTGCAAATAATCTTCTTTTTCACAATTTCACTCTCTGGGGAAATATTTTGACAGCAAACACTCCTACATACAGAAGATAACAGAGGCAAGGGGGCTGTAGAGAATAGAGAGATACGCCTCATATACTACAGCAAAAGGATTGATCTGTTAGAAAATCTGACAAAAGGTCACGCCTACATATTGTACAGTGAGCAGTGAATATCCTAGAGACAAATAGCTTCATGACATTTTCATGATTTCATCAACATTCTTCTATATCTAATCATATATTTGGGAGAATTCCTACAGACCCTATCAACACAAGAGAGAATGTCTTCAGACCCAAGGAATAAGGGACATTCCCTCCAGACCCAAGGAACAAGTGAACATTCCAACAGCCCCAACAACAAGGGATAGTTCCTACAGACCCAACAACAAGAGAGAATTCCTACAGACCCAACAACAAGAGAGGATTCCTACAGACCCAACAACAAGAGAGAATTCCTACAGACCCAACAACAAGAGAGAGTTCCTACAGACCCAACAACAAGGGAGAATTCCTACAGACCCATTAACAAGAGAGAATTCCTACAGACCCAACAACAAGGGAGAGTTCCTACAGACCCAACAACAAGAGAGAGTTCCTACAGACCCTATCAACAAGAGAGGATACCTACAGACCCAACAACAAGAGAGAATTCCTACAGACCCAACAACAAGGGAGAGTTCCTACAGACCCAACAACAAGGGAGAGTTCCTACAGACCCAACAACAAGGGAGAGTTCCTACAGACCCAACAACAAGGAAGAGTTCCTACAGACGCAACAAGAGAGAGTTCCTACAGACCCAACTAGAAGAGATAATTCCCACAGACCCAACAACAAGAGAGAATTCCTACAGACCCAACAACAAGGGAGAATTCCTACAGACAAGAGAGAATTCCTACAGACCCAACAACAAGGGAGAATTCCTACAGACCCAACAACAAGAGAGAATTCCTACAGACCCAACAACAAGAGAGAATTCCTACAGACCCAACAAGAGAGAATTCCTACTGACCCAAGCATCAAGGGAGAATTCCTACAGACCCAACAACAAGAGAGAATTCCTACAGACCCAACAACAAGAGAGAATTCCTACAGACCCCAGCATCAAGGGAGAATTCCTACAGACCCAATCATAAAGGGAGAATGTCAAGTGAAAGGATCAGAGTGCACTCCATTTTCAATCTCAACTCCTTGGGAAGTACACAATCCCCAGCTACAGTCATAAAACCATCTCATCCTCCCAGGTACCCATTCACTGCTGAGCATATCCAGTTCTATGAAGTTGGTTAGGGTGTTTGTTTTTTTATCCAGGCTGTTAATGATTATTGATGGACATGGCGCTACTCCCTCAAGAGACACAGAGATCTTTTATCATAAGAACTAGTTTACTCTTTTCTAATGTATTGTGGATATAACAAGGTTTTTGCATTCAGATGTTAAAGAATGATTGATGCTCCCCAGCACGAATGATGAGCGGCCACTACAAACTGTCATCACAAGTCACTCATTAGTCAACAGGGGATCACAGCAGCTAAGTGTATACCTGATTAAACCCTGTGATAGTCTCACCTATTGATAGAGAGGATTACAGCTATTTCCCTTGATCACCCGACCAAATCTAATGTCGTCTAGTCACACCATCTATCAATCCACTCCGCAGAGGTGATCAACACACTTGACTTTCTACATACAGATGTAGCAATCTGGTAGTTACATTAACTCGAGATAGCACATTTTTGAAGTAATGGGAGCATTCCATCGTTGCGGTGTCAGGCATCAAACACTTACTTTTTCATGAAAATTGTTTATGTGGCGGGTGCTACAGGTAGAGCAGGACGTGCTCACCCTTTTTGCGAACACCTGGTGCCATCACTGATTTTCAATAATCCATTCATATAATTGTCACCGGTATTTTGCCTTTTACGTGATGGAATCTGTTTCGCCAGATAATCTGGTGCTGGCGTATTATATTCATACAAAAGTTGAGAGGGAACACAGTTTGAAGCCAATAATCTAGTAACAACAAGTCAGAAATTGAAATAGATACATAAAGGACTTAACCAGTAGGCTACCCTAACGATGCCATTACATAAGAGAATTTTCCAAAGGAGAATTTTTCACAATAGCACAAATATGCACTATATGCACTAACAACAGTGGGTTGTTTAATGCCACAGTCATCAATATTTCAGCCATCAACATGATCCACACGGAAGTCTAACACTAATGAATTCTGGTTCAGGCAAACCTGGTTCAGGTGTTTGATAAATCGTGCAACGATCCATGCCAATAGTGTACATTGACACTTAATCAGCTAGTTCTTTAACACAGAAGAATCAGGGGCCCGCCCACTCATCCCATTTGTGTAATCTGAATCGATCAATCCTACGCTTGAGTTTCCTTCTGCTAAATTACATTTTTATTCCTTACCACGATGTCTACACATTTTGCAATGTCAGCTCCTCATCCAACAACAATGTCTAGTAAAATTTCATATGGTTTGACAAGATCAGCTTCAAATAAAAGTTTTGGAAAGTGGACTCAGAAGTTTTTGGGACAGACTTCCTGCAAGTTATTAAATTATTTTAAAATGATTAATGTGTAAAAGCAATTTAAACAAGGATGTTCATATTCAACAAAAGCAAATAAATAATGAAACATTAATGTTTTGTTTCTCACTTAACATGCTTAACTGAAACTTGTAACAGTAAGAAAACTGAGGTTAATCAATGTAGTTTGTTGATACTTTTTATTTGGCACAATTTTACATCAAATTGAAGAAAATGATTACAAACTTGTTGGGATTTTTTCACATAAAGGAAAACTGGCAACGTAATTTACATAACACGTCCCAAATTACCTGACCGTAAACAGTCAACTCAGTGCGAGTTAGGAGCTATAAATATATATGTTGTTTATTCCAATGCTAGATTCTTATGAATTTCTCATCAATAAATATGAAAACAAAGCCATCATCAAAACTACAATGGACAAGTCGTGACCCCTTTCGATGAGTGAGTGAGTGAGTGAGTGAGTGAGTGAGTGAGTGAGTGAGTGAGTGAGTGAGTGAGTGAGTGAGTGAGTGAGTGAGTGAGTATGATTTTTTGCAATATTCCAGCAATCTCACAGCGGGGGGACACCAGAAATGGGCTTCACACATTGTACCCATGTCGGGAATCGGACCCTGGTCTTTTGTGTGATGAGCGAAATCTTGAGATATTGCTCTGGAATATTGCTTAAAGTGGCATAAAATAATACTCAGTCACTCATTTACAATATGTCAAGTGCATATATAAATAGAATGACACAGCTGATTATTCCTATGAAAAGCGGAGTAGCATAGTAAAAGTTTTCGGTTATTTTCTGGTAGCACTTTCTTTGTCCATGTCGTCTATCAGCTGACAGATAGTCATGACATCACAGAGGAATGCTGAGACGTCATGATACAATGGAGGGCTTTATATGCCTCCATGACAACTGAATACACTGCCTGGTCAGCAGAATGCAGGACAACTTACTGTAAGGAAGTGTTACTTCTTAGGAAAGGACAGTGAAGAGTCCAAAGGTGAGGTGAAATGGGGTTTAACTTCATGTTCCAAGATTATTAATCTAATATCAAGAAGTGCATGCACATGTGCATCAGCTTGTCTGCTTGTACTAGGCCGGACTAATGCCAAGTTTATAGTGATAGTCTACTGAGATACCATGATGACTCCGAGCCGACCAGTTCTTGTATTATAAAGCCCCTTAATGCCGAGCACCTAGAAGGGTAACAACAAGTACCATATTTGAACTCCTTTTGGTATAACGCGGATGGCGATCAAGCTCCAGACCTTCTGCTTTCCAGGTATACACATACCACTAGACCAGGGAGGCGGTCGAGGAGTCCATAAGATATCCCTGGCTTGAATTTTATTCAACAACACTTTCCAATCAAATTGCTCCACACCCTCCGATTGTGTCATATTTAATATATATAGCAACTTGTTGTTTGAGTGTGTGAGTGAATACTGTTTGAGCATCTGAGATAGTGCGTGTTTGTATGAGTGATTGTTGCATATCCTATAATATTGTCACATACTGTTTCAGCTTGTGGGTTTGAGAGTGAGTGTGTAAGCCTGCAAGTGTGTGTGAGTGAATATTGCCACACAGCACCAAGTTATCAAATGAATAAAACTGACACCTACCTTTCATACAGACATGCTCGATGGTGTGTCTGAGGAGAGTGATCAGGGTGTCGTTGTACAGCAGGATACTGCCAAACTCTGAGTGAAGAAGATTCTGGCTCATGTCCCAGGTGGGCTCCAGCAGAAACAGCTCGAGATTCTCCCCGAAATGTTGCCACAAGATCTCCATGTACTTTGCTACTACCTGATTCCTAATGGATTGGTCAGCATTGTCTCCCCACGACACTGTCTTCCGTCGAGAGTCCGCACGAGATAGCACCGGTGTGTCAGACATTCTTCGAACAGACCGCCCAATCATAGGACTCTGATTTATTCTCAATTCCTTTTGTTTCTTGGATTTACCCGTATCGTTTTTCCTGAGTAGCGTTGTGGAATTACATACAATCAGCAGAAAGTTTTCTGCAAATTCCTGTTCCTTATGCGAGAATTCAACAAGAGGCGACATGTAAACAGACAGGTCTGGAGCCCGAAGTGACCCAACACGCAACAGTGACGTGGACAAACTGACATTGCTCCCGGTGGCCGTATGATAGTCAGACGTCTCCTGCTGATTGGATGATGTGCCAGATGCAGAATCCTTTCCATGATCCTCGAACCAGTTGTACAGGGGAAGTCGACCACAATTCAAAAACTTTTGGAAATCTTCGTTGACTGTGAAAAAGTAATGAGTCAGTTTGGCAGCATACCGTGATCTCTCATTGGCCAGGATCCTGAGGACTCTCGGGAAAGGAATCGCTTTGACCGAGTCACCAAGTTTGCCAGGGAAGTTGGTGGAGGCTGGGTGTAAGTGAAGACAAGAAATAGATTGGAATTCTGGAAGATCGACCAGGGAAAGATGGTTCCACTGAGATCCACTCACTGTGGCTGCTGTCCTAAACGAATTAACAATATTGTTGAAATCCTCAAGACCTCGCGTAATATTCCACATCACCTCTGGAGTCAACTTGTCAACGTCACAGTGAGCAAACACCTCAAATCCTACATTGATGAGGCGCTGCAGCAGCCATATTGCTTTATCGCTTAGCTGGATGAGAGCTCTCTTTACATATTCCACTTCGAGACATAAACGGCCCAGGATTGGCTGCAGCCATTTATTGGTGTTAAGATGTTGTTTAAGTACATTCCAGTGGTTGACATGTACACGCAGGTCTTCACATAGAGCATTCAGACAGTACAGTTTACTGATTGGAGCATCATAGGCACAGCCATGACGAATAGCATAAGCTGTTCTATACTCGTGAAGCACCAAACCTTCCAGATCTTCAACATAAGCACTTGTTGCACGGATCCTGGTCACACAGTCACGCACAAATTCTAACTTCGCCCTATTCTCCAAAACCCTTCTCAGTTGTGCATAATCCTTTCCAAGACGAGACGATGTTCGGCAGTGAACAAAGTAGGTTCCTCCATGTTCGGGGCTTCGCTTGCAAGCATGGCGTCCGGGACTTACCAGCTGAAATGTCTTCCGTAGAAGCTTGACAGCATCTTCAGCATCACTGACTTCGAAGGTCGGTTCAACTCCAGAAGACAGTGAGAAATCACCATCTGCGTCATAGCCGTACACTTGTACTGGTATATATGGCGGGTCATCCTCGTCGATGGACTGGACCTTGCCGATGGCATGGATGGGGGGAAGTCGGCCCCTCTGAGAGCTGTGATTGCTCGATTCAAACATCCTACCAGATCAACATCTTGGCATCATCTGCAATAAGGAAAAGATAGTTTTCATAAGAGTTCATAATCATAATTTTCATCTATTAGAATTTTCATTTCATGAAGAATGCTTACATCACCACAATGCAATGTGTAGACTAACACAATGGTATTGAAGGATAAAGGATAAAAAAAACCTTATCAGAGGTTGTACTGGAGGCAAATGGCAATGATTTCATCAGTATGTGATAAACATCCTATATCATCACAAGTTTGGAAAAGAACCTTCTGGACATTTCAGAACAGCAATGATCAAGAACTTAAACCAGCTGAATCCCTCGTCATAATCAACGTGCGTTGTAAATATAGTACTGATGTAAGCGCATCTTTTAAAAATTAATGAACGAGTTCACAAAACCCCTTTCACAAATACCGTATTCGACATAATAAGCACCCTGCTCTAATAAGTGCCCATGGCGATATTTGCTAATATATTGGCTACTGAACAATCCCAATTAGCACCCCTTCCGATTGATCAATGTACACAAGACTTATTTATTCGCGTACAATACGCACTCGTGTGTTATATGCACCTTTAATTATGGTCAATTAAAATCTGGAAAAATATATCTGTTGTGCATAAACATTTCAGGCTGTCAGCATAAACCACGATTTTTTTTTTTTCCACCAAAATAATATTCTTATAAGAGACCCCAATTTCTAATTTTGAGAGCGCCCTGGGCGCTTATTACATCGAATATGGTAGTTAACAAATCTGTTTTTTAAACAAGAAGACAAAAACATCTATCTCCCCCATCATAAAATGTGTTCATAAAATTCCTAAATACAGAAAGAAAACTGCAACACAATTTTCAAATCTGACGTCTTCAGATGGGAAGGCTTTTGAAACAGAATATCCAGATATCCAGACATTGCCTCAACAAAACTCAATACAGTTAAAGGTTGTTGTTTGTTTGCTTAACACCCCACTCAGCAATATTCCAGCTATATGACAGCGGTCTGTATATAATTGAGTCTGGACCAGACAATCCAGAGATTGACATCATCAGCATCGATCCATGCAACTGGGATACAATGACATGCATCAACCAAGTCACCAAGCCTGACCACCGAATCCCGTTTGTCTCCTCTTACGAGAAGCATAGTCGCCTTTAACGGCAAGCATGGGTTGCTGAAGACCTATTCTACCTGTACACAAAAAATGACAATTCAGCATTAACTTGAAGTTTGCTTATGCAATTGTTAATGTCACTATCCTAATACATAGATGATAAGTGAAGATTTGAACAGTTGACCTCCATAGAATAGTAACTAAATAAAAAAATACCGAAAATAAAAATTAGATACACATTTACGTAATAAGTACAAAACTACACCATGTTTGTGGAGACGATGTTCCTGACCAGAATCAGATTCAACTCCATATGAAAGTGCAAATACGAATTTCTGGCTCTGTGACTTTGGTTGGTTGGTTGGTTTGTTGTTTAACGCCGCACTCAGCAATATTCCAGCTATATGACGGCGATCTGTAAATAATGGAGTCTGGACTAGACAATCCAGTGATTGATATCATGAGCATCGATCCACGCAATTGGGATCGATGACATTTATCAACCAAGTCAGCGAGCCTGACCACCCCATCCCGTTAGTCGCCTTTTACGACAAGCATAGTCACCTTTTATGGCAAGCATGGGTTGCTGAAGACCTATTCTACCCCGGAATCCTGTGACTTTGGTGATTGCAGTGATTGTGCCTGGTGTCGTGAATCGTGTCAGCCTGATCCAGACATGTTTATTTTAATGTTGCCATTAAAATGCAGGAATATTGGAATAATCAAACACAACAATGTCATTTTGTCACCATTCTTTGTCATGCGATTTAAACAAATTATGTGAAGTTGATTGTGCATTTTCAGTACATCATAAACTGTCGTTCGTCAACTTATGAGAAATAAATGCCTATCAAACAACACAACATTACTGCTTGTAAAGATGTCCCCAGGCATCCCCTAATGTACATAGTATCAAACTGCTGCAGTCATCCTGTAACGTTAACACAAGGATGGAGCTGCCACTACATAGAAAAATGATCTCTACATCTTCCCACAACTCTCCAGGTCCATATAAGGTAGAGATTTATCCACCTACTTCTTCAATAATCACGATAACATAAAACTGTGTCCTAAATACCAAACGTGGAAATCTTACGAAATACCTTCTCGATACTTGTAGAAATCTTAAAAGAAATAGACTAATAAATGTTGGCATCTCCCATTACAAAGTCTATTGGGCAACACTGTAACTAATCCAGTTCTGTATGTTCAGGAATGTGTTAAAAACTTGAGCTTCTTAAGTTCAAATGAGTCAGTGAGATATTGGAAGTAAGTGAACTTACAAAATAGTGAGCTGAGAAATGACAGACAATTTAACTTTCAGCACAGCAAAATATTTGAGCATGATTCTATGGGCAAGGCGAAAATTTTTGCCAAATGTCAGATGCTCTCATGCTTTAAGTCTACTGGAGTCCCCTACATCTAAGGCAAGCAGAATACTGGTGTAGATATATGTCAACAATATTAAATCATACCTGATTAATATCATCAAGAAATAATAGCTAAGAGGAAGGAAATAAAAATTCCTGATCAAAGTGATGCCATTTTGAGCATCTGCTTCCTCGAGTTCTCTCATAAAAACATGTACTAGGGACCTAGAAGCAAGCAAAGTGTTTCTTCAAATCTTATGGGGGACTATACTCCCTGATTTGGTAATCATAACACGCATACATTTCCCCACAAAAATTTGTGTGAGTGATTTTTTTGTTTCAAAAATGCCACTTTGAGCAGTATTCCAGTTATATCACAATGTTTCAGCTTGATTTGGGAGGAAAACCCAAGTAATGCAGGTCTTACTCAGGTACACTGACCTCTTTGCTGAAACCTATGAGCACAGGTATAGTGCTCACAAAAAAAGGCCCATATTTTCAAATACAATGGGGCATTTTAACATTGTGCTGTATGGGTGTACCTCTGGAATATTTAAACTCTCCCATAAAGGGCCCTAATGTCAGAAAATTCCTCACGTGAACCCTGCAGACTAAACAAAGCCTTATTCGAATCGAGCTTCGAACTTATGTTTGAAGTTGCAGAAGTTGTGTGAATAATTATACTGTATGTTTATTATATATATAAACCGTCAACATCTCGATTATCCGCTGAAACAGATTAAATTGGGCATGAAAGGCAAAATAGTGGGGGAAATTATATAAATGGATCACTGATAATCAGTGATGACACCAGGTGTTCAAAAACATCCATGTCCTGCCCTATTGGTTGCATCCACCACTCACACACTGTACACAAGAAAGTAATTGCATCAGAACAAGTCAGCGTAGGTAGACATTTAAAGTACTTCAGCAGAATCCCAGACATATAATTTAGATTATAAACATGTCTGGTTAAGTGAAAACATCAACTATGAACTCTCTGATTACACATAGACTAATGACACACGAAGCCTTGAGTAACTGTTGATTAAGCTGGGGAGAGCAAGTGTTGAGGCAAATAAGAGCAAATCTTTCCACTGCATTATGCAGGTAGCTTCACAGCTACCAAGTCTAACTGCCACCAGTACTAGCACACTCAGCACACACAGGAAACAACTGCCAAATGTTCAATAGCTAAAGAACTCTTTCCATGATAATGTTCCTCCATGGAACTATCAAAAGATAATCAATAACTGCAGTTTGAAATGTAAATAAGTTCATTCATATCGGAGTGGCTGCTGAGGCGATGAAGTTGAAATGAAATGTGTGAACGTAATTGATCAGAAAATTATGTAACATTCAACCTGGGTAGTGAAAATATTAGCCCAAAATAATGCTGTTCATAATTTCCCCGATTGATCTCAAACTCTGCCAGTGCAAAGAAAGAGACATGTTGTCAAGCTGCAGCAAATTTTCATTTACAAAATGCAAGAATTCCACCAGTTTCTTCGATTCATAAAACATGGGCATCTAAAGAATAATGACAATAATTTCATTTTTATTTCACAATGATGGTAATTTTCAGATAGAAAAACATGAATAATGTTAGAATTACTGTCAACCATGTCTATTATTTATATACTTTATTCGCCCAGGGCGCTCTCAAAATTAGAAATAGGGGGCTCTTATTAGAATATTATTTTGGTGAAAAAAAAACAGAGTTGAAAATAAATTTCGTGGTTTATACTGACAGCCTGAAGTGTTTATGTACGACAAATATATTTTTCCAGAATTTAATTGCCCATAATTAAGGGTGCATAACACACGAGTGCGTATTATACGCGAATAAATAACTCTTGTGTACACTGATCAATCGGAAGGGGTGCTAATTGGGATTATTCACTAGCCAATATATTAGCAAATGTCGCCATGGGCGCTTATTAGAGCGGGGTGCTTATTACGTCGAATACAGTATATCTAATAATTTGAAATGTTTTAACTGGAAATAGACTGCCGCAGTTAATAGTCCTGCGATATCACAGCTGCCTGTCAACAATCTCATCTTGACCGGACAAACCGACATCAAGCGATACCCAAAGGCTGAGAGACCTAAAGTTACCTGTGACCTAAAACAGTCACAATGAAGACCTAAAACCTTCCCCTTCCTTTGACAAAAGCAGTGACGTGTAACCTTTTCTGTAGAGAAAATATTAGCACAATAATATAAGCATCGTTTTGAGATTAGCCAGCACTTGGAATTTGTGCCTGATAATGACCTCAAATATGAGTGAGTGAGTGAGTGAGTGAGTGAGTGAGTGAGTGAGTGAGTGAGTGAGTTGGGTTTAACACCGCTTTTAACATTATTCCAGTTATATCGTGGTGTGTCAGCTTAATGTGGGAGGAAAGCCCTTCAAAGTGATGCAGGTCTCAGACATTTACCACTTCGATGAAACCCACAAGCACAGGTATGGTGCTGACAAACCTAGAAACATAATTGGGGCGAACTGGGATTCAAACCCACAATCATAGGTTTCTGGCGTGCCCAAG